GGACGGCGACCACGAAAATCTTCGGTATGACCTAGGCCTAACTACATACTCGGGTATGCCAGGTTCTAAGGCGTTTCCATCACTCCTTCGGACATATCCAGTTTCTGGTTTCCCTAGCATGCATGTTAATAAATTCGTCCTCGGGTAAATCCTCCATACAGGGCAATATAAAAGCCAAATTACGAATGTGGAGATCTGGTACACTTAGAATAAACTACTCCAAAGATAAATTACTTGAAAGACCCAAGAATCACGCATTCCACAAGTTGCACTGCACTAAGTTGCTATGAGCCAATCCACACATAGGCCCTCCAAGACGGTTCGAGAATTGGGAGTCCACAGGTGGCAGCAGGTTATCAGCAGAACAAATAAAACGACTTGTCACACTCACCAAAAACTGGGGCCACCAAATAAAAGACACTGTGCAGAATTCAAGAGTTTGGACCGAAGACCCAAACAGATTTTGGGGTCCCTGATTTTCCCAGACAGGACAAATTTCTGCGGTTCTGGGGTAAATTGGCCCACAAATGGTGGGATGGCCAAATGTTAAGTACAAGGCCCCCCTATGGGTCAAAGAGTTACAGCCTAACTCAACTACGAATAATTTTAGGTGGGTAAAAATTTTTAAACTTTCCTAGCCATTGTGCCATGGAGCCTTGCATGATATTTTCCATGTTGCATGGCATCATAGTTATCCCCAAGCGGTCCTTTCTAGCACGGTCTCGTATTGTAGTTCGTGGCCGTGTGGGCCAGAGAGATAAACAAAGAATCTCTGGAGCCTGTTCACATGAGTTAATGGCTGGACTAATATATGGCATGCTTGTAGCCACTCTTTAACTGACTCCTGAGCTATTAGGATTTTGGCTGTGTCAATCTGAAGTGATAGCGTAAAGTTCGAGAAGTCAATTTTTTGGGTTATTATATCAATGCCTTGTTTCCAGTCTATTATAGCTTGTTGATGGGTGAAGACAGATTGGGGCCCAAAGTCAAGGGAGGCTAGAGCGGAGGTGTGGAAACGCATTAGATGGAAGTCTTTTAAAAACTGCGTGGTTAGGACAGGGACCGTGGGTGATTGTTGTGTAAAATATGCAACACGATTGCGGCGGATGGTGGGGATTAAAAAAGTATTATAGCAGTAAAATATTGAAGTGGCGACCTTATGCACCCTCTGACAGACCAGAAAAAGGGGAAGGGGCAATCTCTAATAGGTACACCTAGTTGCATAGGCTGCATGGTAGAAGGAGAAGCAGTAGTTATTAAGGAAATTAGTGTATATCTTGCAGCAGTTAAAGGGGACTAAGCCCAGAACAGAACACCACTCCATTGAAATGGCGCCACAAGGTCGGTAAATAACAGGATATGCTCCAAGATCTTATCAGGCAGGTGTGGTGTGGTAGGATGGCTGGAATTCTGGGGTATTTGGTCTATTAGCTGAAGGCGTATGGATCGGGCTAGAGAATAGGTTAAAGTGTCTGGGTTGTGGCCGAGACGAATTGAATAGTCACGAAGCAAAGGAAGACATCCTAAAGATTTAGCAATGCTTCGCGCAGTTTGGAAGTCTTTAGTATCACAAATAAAACTTAGTCGAAGTGACCGAGGCTGAATATTCGCTGCTAGGATTTGAAGGATAGTCTGCCACTCCTGCAGGACTACCTGGTCTTGTCGAGCCACACTGCCCAGTGGTTTATTATGGAGACCATAACTCTGACAAAGGGGATGACGTGCAAACTTAACCGGGACGGTAGTCCGTTTATATTTAAATATGCATAAGCAGCTGTTCAGGCGAATAGTAATAGATTGTAATAATTAGAGTGTATGTGTATTAAGCCTTCGCAATGGCTGTAAGCCCCGGGAACCACTTTAACTAATTGTAAACTTGTTCTCAGAGTATAAAATAGATAATACCTTATTCGATATGGTCCGCGAGACATAAAGCAACAAAATAGGTAGTGGTGGACAGGAGCAGCTGGTAATATATTTAATATCTAAGTGCCTGCCATAGAATCGCCGTGCTACATAGAAGCATCCGTATTCTGCATATCCTTTGATCTGGTATTTGCGAATATCAAGCCCCTCCTGGTTGAGATTGATGGGACAGAAGCGAACCAACCCCGTTAGAATATAGATATAGCGGCGGAGTGGATACGAAAGGTCTAAAAATGTAGTCCTTGATGCAGTGAATGGCACTGGCTTGTGGGAAAACCATGCATCAATATAATGTTGTGGCATACTATCTAACCTTGTAGGAACATATGACGTTGAGCGAGGCAGGTTTGCAGATCAGTTGTTGGACAAATCTCACAAAATCAGCGGAAAAAATGTGCACGTGGAGTGCTGGTTTAGGAAATATTGGGATTTTACTAAAACACGAGAAACTATGAATTCAGCGGACTGCGAAGCGCCTGAGGATCTGCTCTACACAGAGGATTTGGTGATCATCAAAGGAGCAGATATGTACTTGTTGTGGAATTCAGGGGAAGTGATATGCAAGGAGCTATTCTATCAACTACAGGCCAACCTAGCCTAACTAGGAAGTAGATGTCGTTTGGTGGAAACACCAGGAATCGCAGTATCTCAACCAATTGAGCCTACTAAGCGGTTCCCTATATTCTCATTGAGGTGGTCTTCTAACTAAAGGATTCAGGGATAGAATGAATCGTCAGATACTCCGCACCGCCAAGTTGGGCGGATCATAGTGTTTCCGTAACAGATTGAAGGTGGTGCGGGTGCAGTAAAGATAGATATCTTAATATGTTGGACGAAGCTCACCCAGTCTCGGATTAAATGCTTTCTCGAAGATATGTGGCAGGGGTCGCAACCTTAACCCAGATAGAGGTACATCCCTGTTCTCAACGTGTTTGCAAAATAAATGCTAACCAGATCTAGTACGTCTTTCCCCAGCCAGACATGAATACTCCCCAATACATTACGATATTCCGTGGCGAGCTCTTTGGCCCAACCGTCATACCAAATCCCGGCCGAGTGTACCAGCTAGTCTCCAAGAATTAAGAAACGAAACTTTGCCTCTAATATTAACGGAGGGTTGGGTGCTCGCATAACAGCAGAACGCATTCTGATCGCCTGCGAAGGCGCAAGAATTTAGATTAAATTCTCTAGAGTTAGTTAATGGCTATAACGCTTTAGTCAGGAGTAATATAATCAAGAATATAAAGGTTAATTAGAGTCAACCACTGGTCAAGTTAAAGAAAGCATATACAACCACATAAGAAGATCCTAATTTCAAGAGCAAACCACCATACAACTAGAGATTCCAGAAACAACAACCCAGGCAGGAAAATATCGAAAGCAACACGTCCAAGGGTTGGAAGGATCTCCAGTTAACTTAAAGAAAGTATTTAGTAAGACCACACGTCCTAGGCTGAGCAGTTACAACTTAAGATCTACTAATATATTTTTTAATTTCTTTCTCAGCTCTGAATATTTTATTACTTTGATTTTTGTGTTTGCTGTTTTCTTTCATTTTGTTCCAGGAATCATTTCATTCACTCAGTTCACTTCTCTAGTCCTTCCTACCTATCTCCGTTTCAGCTTCATTTCCTTTCTAACATGGCAAAAAGAACGTTTGCAGTACCGGTATGAATACATGAGAGAAGATAAGAGATGCCGCTTCCAAAGACTGCAGGCGTGTGGATTATAATTTAGTAAGGCAATCATAGAATAGCAGAGACCCCCCAGGATTAGATGCGAGGTAAATATCTCGCGGTCTGGTCGACCTATTAACGCATAGCGAGTGGAAACTAGTCGCAGAACACTGGACACCGGCATAACACCAATGATGAAGAATGGCCGGCAAAAAATGTACCTCTCACTGACCTATGGGTTGCCCGCGCGATCGCTCATCTTACACCTCAAACTTGAAGCCAGCGCTGGGGAGCAGACGTCGACCGTAATGGCAATGTACGCAAGACTCGCCGTCTCCCCAGGGGCGATGCGGTCGCCGCCACTGAGATCGGCAAGCAGTGGATCTTAGTATGTAGGCAGTACGATGTACTATGTGGTGAAGTGTTGGGGAAGCAACTTTCCTGGATAATCAACGGATGACCCTTTATGGACAAATAGCCAGCAGACATATTGCCAACGGCCTCTTCGTGCTGCGTGATGTGTTGGCACAACTTTGATACGCGGCAAGATATAACAAACTCCGCGAAGAATCCGGGTCACTTTACCAGCAAACTACTCATATATTACGAGCTGATTTTCCAGACATTTGACGCATTGTCGCGAATGACCCCGGGCTGAAATAGGAAGTGAGCTGGCAGCGGTCCTTTTTCATCACGCAGGTCACATAAGTTTAATGCCTCGTCCAGCCGCGAGGTCCCTATGATCACTATCGAATAGTGAGTCAGAATTGTTACCCTCTACAAGGGAAACCAAGATTAATACTTACAAAGTTTCTCTCACGAATTTCAGGAATTCACTCTGATTCAGTGTGCCCTGTTTCTCATAAACAGGTCAATAACCCCCGCGGTGTGGGCATCACTTTCACCACAATGCCTGGCAGGCAGGTATGCTTTGGGATAGGGTTGCGCATATCCACTCTCAAGACAAGACAACAATCTCGAGCTTTGGTGCTGTTGGAGCGGCTGTAGCGAGACATCAGCGATACTGAGCTTCGTCCTCGTTTTCGTTTTTCTTTGTAGCTAGATAGATGGACAGATTCATGTCATTCATTCGAGCTTCCATCTAGGCTGGTGCCACGTGTGATTCGTCTATTATTAGCGAGAAAAAAATGTTAGTCAACTGGGCGGCTCCGCCAGCGAGAAACAAAGCCCACCTCACCAGTTCGGTTGGGCGTTGCATTTGCACTGCCAGAAATGACTCATGGAGTGGCTTGGGGGACAGAAACTCCACTTGTCTCAATCATTTCAAATCAGGCTACCATTGCCTGTTTGTATGTGAACGTCTAGCCAAGAGGCATCCAGTCAGATATTTCCGACCGGCTCTGGCCAATAAACTATCCCATATCTGATCCATTAGCCATGCGCGGAATAAGAGCCGATCAAGAACTCCTGCAACTTGAGGTCGGTGCCATCTTCGGACTCGATCCTACATCGTCGCAACCGGTACACAAAGACTCAAAATATCATGCGGTATACGCTTGGTCCCCTTCCGCGAAATTCCTTGCACTTAGTCCTGAGATATTGTTTGACCCTTCTCAACTCCATAGCCGTATCAACCAGGCCTACGAATCAGGAACAGTCCCACAGACTCTTGTTCATCTTTCAGAGACTTTCCCCGGCACTATTGAAGGAGGTCCCTGTTTTACATTTCCAGACCGACAGCTGACACCACCTTCCATAACACTGCCTATTTACGTGTCAGATTCGGCAGGCAAAGCTGCAGCTCGGGAATTCATTCGCCCCAGCAATTGGGAACCCGATGAATGGGCCAAGTTAATCACCGGATCTATGGGAGAATGGGCTATGGCGGTACATGATAAATCCCCGGTGTCTATTTGCTTTTCACCTGCCATGAACTCGACTGTAGCTGAGGCCGGTATCTGGACATATCTGGACTTCCGTGGGCGTCGTATCGCTCCAGCGGTGGTGGCCGCGTGGTCAGAGTGTGAGAGACGGAACAAAGAGATTCTCTTGTATAGTATAGTGGGGAATAACCTGTCTTCTCAGTCGGTGGCGCGCACATTGGGCTTAGATCCTCTGGGATGGATTTGGAAACTCCACAAACCGTCTCCTGACCAGGTTTCTTCAGGGGAGGATCGGCTTGAGTTAGGACGCCTAATGTGATAAGCCAAGAGAACATATTTATCTAGTCATTTGCTATGGGCCAGCGGCTCCAGGTTCATGGTGTGAGTCTTCATGCATACGTTATTATGTACCTAACTTGTAGTTCAAAAAAAAAAAAAAAAAATCTCGCAAATAATCAGTACATTCTCATAGTAATCCAGAGGTGGAAATTGTACCGGCTCAGACACACTGGAGTAGCTATCACACTTGATTTAGGCAAACCTGGACGATGAACACCGTTTCCGAATTAGAGAACCCGACTCCTATTGCTTTTGACAAAAGGCTTACATTCTCGAACTTTACCAACAACGTTGTATTTACGATGATCTTAATAAGAATTGAACTGCGCGTGCTTTTAATATGGAGTATGGATCCTCATGTGAGAAGAGAAGCTTACAGGAATTTCTCCTGAGGTCGTATATAGAATTACATAGTGCTAGTGTTACATGAGTGTTGTATAATACCGCTCAAATATAGGATAGACAACACATTGCTCATTCTATATGATTACTGACGTCAGGATGCCATCCATGAGATCTGCAAGCCTCCTACCAAGGGTATGAACTCTAATTTAGTCTCAAGAGTACATCTTAGCTACAGATCCAAGGGGATGTCAATTTCCTCAAAACCTGGTTTTTGCATGTTGAGAAGAGACCGGTAGAATAACATGCATGCTCTGGCAGGCTCAGCGACTTATGATACTGGTTTTCTGCTTCTTATTTTACGGTTTAGATACACCACGTGCAGCTATAGCACCACTTCTGATGCATTTATACTATTCTACTCCGATAGTTAACGTATCCTAGGGACCGATGGAAGTTCTTTGAATATCCACTGAGACAATTTTGCAACGTTGTTCCTATAACCCTTTCCACTTCCAGGTCGCTACACTAGCCATGATTTTGTTGCACGCACCCAGCCTGGTAATAGCCAGTACCCACCGCGCTTCGCACAGGGAAACCTGTGGCGAGCAGATGGTCAGTAATACAGCAACAAACTATAAAGCTATTCCCCGATTACTCAATTCAGACAGCACATTACACTGCTTGGCAAGGCTTGATAATTACTACTTATACCCGTGCCAACAATCCTTCTAGTTGACTACTTGCAATCTGCCCACATGCAAAAAAAAAACTAAACCCAAACCAAAGAAGAGAACCATATTCAACCAAACAAGGCCTCCGAATATCTACAGGTAAAATGATTAATAGCCCGACACAGACGGTCAGCTATATCTTCTAGCTCCTCTGGGCAAAACGCCGTATCATATACCGTTAACGCAACAAAAAGCTCATCCCCCCCATGCGGACCAGTCACCACATGAAAAGGGCTGGTGGTATTTCGCTGAATGACGTTCACAGGACATTCTACCCCACCGAAGGACACTGTCTTTTGAACACCCTCATTTTGATAGGTGCAAAGACTACTGAATTGAGTATTTGCGGGCCAGTGTGGCATCACCGACCGTCGTATTTCCTGCAAATCCACTCCGATAAAAGGCATAGATTGGATATATTGCTGCTGGACATGGTGTAGCAGGCTTCGCACTGTCCATGAGCGCTGCATATTGACTCGCAGTGGCGAGACAATCACACAGGGCCCAGGGACTTCTTCAACATGAGCGATTGGTAGCTCTCGACCGTTCAGAACGTGCCCGAAAACTACATCGGTCTCGCCCGTCAGCTCTGCAAGCACGAACGCCCATGCAGCCTTGGTTAATGTGGCCACGGTGATTCCCTCTTTTGTTGCTGGAAACGGGATCGTCTTGAAGACCCTCATTGGGTTTGTGGGAGTAGGACCAAATAACGGAGGCGCGGTTTTTTCGGCTCTGAGAACAGTCACCTCTGAGCCGCGAAGGTAGCTTTCCCAGAACTGAAGTGCGTCTTTCGGACGATTCAACAGCCGGTATTGCAGGTACTGGGCAAATGACGGGCCCCGAGGCTGCCGTTGCCGTCCTTCGTATATAGCCGATATGTCTTTCAGGAACAGAATCGCAGATACGAAGTCTAGCTGTGCGTGTGATGCTCTGACTAGCAGCCAATGGCGCGACGCTGCCTGTGTGATAAGATATATCCTCAGCTGGGGTGCACCCAAGGGCAGTGGATCAGCGTAGTCGCGGGTACAAGCCGATTCGACAAACTCCTCCGGGCTGGCATTATCGTCGCAAACAAGACGGGTGACGGGGAGTTTTATCTGTCGGAGAATGATTTGGATATATTGACCTTGGTGGAAGGTGAACACGGTACGCAGGCTCGGGTTTTGCGCCACCATTGCTCGACAAGCTCCCTCGAGTTGTGTCAAGTCGATATCAGTAGGAAGGGGCAGAGAGAAATAGGTGGCATTCTTATCCTCGAGGAGAGAGCTCTGAAACTCCGTAGCAGGTAAGAGGTCTACCACCTCTTCAGGATCGAATGTCATAGGACGTCCAGGGAGACTTGAGATAAAAGATGTTAAATCAGTCACCCCTAGCAGAGACCCGGGGCGGTATTCATCGTTTGCCGCATCGTGCAGCGAGGTCTCTGCGAACTTCGCGAGATCGGACAGTGTGGGATACTTGAATATGTCTAGTAGGGAGATGTATATCTTTCTTGGCCGAGCCAGACTGCACAGCCTCATAGCTTTGACGGAATCTCCCCCGATATCGAAGAAGTTATCATCTGTCGCAATCTCATCCACCGGCACTTGGAGAACATCGGTCCACAGATCACGCAATATGCGCTCGGAGTTTGTTGTGGGTTCTCGCAACAAAGCTCGCTTAGCCACGAAGCTATCAAGGCTGAGGACGGAAGCCTGCTCTCGCAACATTCGGCGATCGATCTTGCCGCTGCTGGTCCGGGGCATGTGAGATACCTGCAGAAAGAGTCCCGGCACAAGGTACCGTGGCAGCTGACTGCGAAGACGAACAGTCGCTGTATGGGCTGACGCAATAAACTCAGTGTTCGGGCCGACAAAGAGATCCGAATAGCTATTTGTTCGACACTGCGTCGCAATGAAGACGGTTAGAATTGGGTCACAGCGGTTCCCACGACGAAAGACAACCTCGGCTACTATCTCGTTAACGTCTGGGAAAGCTTGCGCAGTATGATACTCTACGTCAGGCAATTCAATTCGCTGTCCATGCAATTTAACCTGAGAGTCTTTGCGGCCGACAAATCGAATACCCCCATCATCCGTATACTGCATCAAATCTCCTGTCCTATAAAAACGACCTGCTTCTGATGGATCTCGGAATTTCTCAATCCACAAGGGTGCCGGAATGTATGCTTCTGCGGTTCTCTCCGGATCGTCCAGGTAGCCACGCGTCACAACGGGACCTTCCATCACTAATTCTCCCACAGCACCAATTGGAGCCAGCCTTGAAGGGTCGGAGCTAGTGGTTATCCATCCAACACAGCCGGTGGTTCTGCCAATGGTACCTGTGGTCCATCCCTGAGGTGGAACCTGGCCAGCGGCGCAGATAGTAGTTTCCGCTGGGCCATATCCATTGATAAGGGCCAACCTGGAAGCCCAAATATCAACAATATCCCGGCTAATCGCTTCACCTCCAAGGACAACGGTTAGAAGGCTCGGGACTTGATCTGGATGCAGCAAGGTGTTTAGCACAGAAGGAGTGAAGACAGCCCAATTCACTTGAAATGCATTAATGAATCCTGCAAGGTCAGTCATGCGGCTAGTCTCTGAAGGGATACACACGCAACCGCCGTTAACAAGTACTGAGAAGATCTCATACAAGCTCGCATCGAATGCATACGATGCAAAATGCAACCCACGGACCCCGGCCTGGATATTTAAGGGAGTCGTGTGATCTCGAATACTGGTGCAAAGAGCTGTGTGGTCCATAAGAATACCTTTCGGTTTCCCAGTACTTCCGGACGTAAAAACGATAAATGCAGCATCTGATGGGTTCGACTTTGGAAGCGATCTTATCTCACTCCACACTTCCCATTCCTCTTCCTCCTCGGGGATAAGAAGGACTGTGACTTCAGTGTCGGTGAACCGGTGCTGATAGGCGGATTCTGTGAGCACAAGCTTGGCTGCCGTACGGCCAACGATTTCCTTTATGCGCTCTGGAGGATGGTTCGGGTCTAGCGGTGCGCATGTTCCACCTGTCCGGAGGATTGCTAGCATACTGATAATCACCCACTTGGATCGATCCAGGCACAGGGGAATAATCGATCCGCGCTGCACCCCCATCCCATGCAACCTTTTTGCTAGGCCGAAGGACATATGATCAAGTTCCCGATAGCTTACTGTACCATCCCAAGCCTCGATTGCGGGCACTGGGGTGTTTTGCGCAGCGTGCTCCAAAACTAGGTCATGAAGACCAACATAGTATGGTAGGGGCAGCTGTATGTTCCACTCAGACAGTTGTCGTCTATCCTGTGGACATATCAGATCTAGTTTATCCAGAGGTAGTTCTGGACTCTTCCAAATTTGATGCAGAACATGCTCGAATTGCTGGATCATCCGTTTCACCGTGGCCAGCGAAATAACCTTGTCATCATGGCTGACGTCCACAGTGATTTTGTTGTCGCCCGTTTTGCCCAGTTGACAAATGACTACCAAGGCGTAGTTGGCAAAGTCAGAGTAGTTCTCATGTAAGCTACTCTCGCTTACTACGAACTCCGGATTCACTTGTACGAACGGGGGTTGAATAGCGAGATGGCATTGGAAATCGCATGCTGCCGCAGCGCCTGTCCCAAGCTCCCGAATATTCTGAAGACCCATTTGTTCGAACGGGATAGTGGCAGTCATCTGATCGCGTAGAGAGGCAAGATTAGCCTCCACTGTGCTTTCCAAACGGAGTCTGGCACGTAATGGGAAGGTTGCAATGGTTGGACCCGTCACATCTTGGATTCCTGGAATAGGCGCGTTGCGTCCATTCACAGTTAAACCAAATACTACGTCTTCGGAATCAATGTAGTGAGACATGAGAATTGACCATGCCAACTGAATCACAGTTGATATGGTGAATTCGGTATTCAGAGACTCGGCAGCGGAAAGCTCATACTTGAATGAAGATTCTGGAGAGGGCACGTATCGTGGGGAAGGAAGTTGAGGAAAAGTAGCCGCTTGGAGGTCGGTAAATTGCGCTTTCCAGAATTCCTTGGCACCTACAGCACTGTCGATAGTATGGCTGATAAACCTATTGAATGGATGCGAGGCCAGCCTGTCGCCTCGATACGCAACTTCCACTTGTTCCCACAGGAGAGGCATGGACCACCCATCGAACACAGCGTGATGTATTGTCAGAAGGAATCTGTGCGTCTGGGTAGCATCGGAGGGGCCAACAATGGAAAGGTTAATTAGGGGCTGCCCCAGTCCCATTGTATTGGTGGATATATGAGTCTTATATTCGTGCATATCGAGAAATCGATGCCATGAATCCAAGTCGCGTACCACAACTTGGTAAAATCTACGATTCTCGACTTGTATGATTCTAGTGCGGAGGATGCTGTTAGCCGCCATTGTAGCATTCCATGCGGACATGAACCGTTGCAGGTCGATATCTGCCGCGAGTTCAAACGCGGTTTGATTGATATGCTTCCCGACAAACTTCGTGGACAACACCATGAGACCTTCCTGCAGCGCGGTACACGGATAGACATCCTCAATAGAGTCATCTGGGACATGGCAGGTCTGAGCAGCTTGTTTCAGGATGGACTGTGGGTTGGCGACGTCACGCAGCAAGGAAAGCCGTGGAATAGGGGGCTCCTGTTTACTGGCTGTTGGAATAGTTGTTGCGACTGCTGCGAGGTCACGAAGCTGCTGACTGCTGAAGATATCAGCCATCGTGACCCTGTGACCTGCCTTCTGCAGATTGGATATGAGGTTCAATGCCAAAATGGAGTCTCCTCCAAGCCGGAAAAAGTTATCTTCAATCCCAACGCGCTCCGGGGATATCTGCAGGAGTTCAGCAGTGCATTTCTGGAGAAGCTGCTCAGTAGCAGTGGATGGCTGGATTTTAGCTTCCAGAGGCGCTATATAAACTTGCATTTGTTCCCATGAAAGGGATGCTGCATCCTCGTATATCCTTTTGCGATCCGCTTTGCCGCTGGCACTCAGTGGCATACACCGAAGAGGCACGAATGCATCCGGCACCATAAACACAGGGAGAGCCTTGCGAAGGTCGGCCTTCAGCTCCTTCACTCTGGTGTAGAATGCCTCAAAGGGGGCAGAGAAGATACTACCATGGTTAGATCCTGGACCGCTAGCCTCCGTCCCTGCATCAGTCAGGGCTGACGTCGAAGGTCCGTGCAGGAACGCAACTAGGACTGGACGACAGCCAGCATCTTCAACTTGAATGAGACCGACGATAGCGTCAGTCAGATCTGAATAGAGCCGATGAATGTGTGCCTCTACTTCCCCAAGCTCCATCCGCTGCCCTCGCACTTTGACCTGCAAGTCCTTACGCCTCACATGGACCAGTCGCCCATCTTCGAGATACTGGGCAAGATCGCCAGACCTGTAAACGCGATAGCTGTTGCTTCCATACCTCTGGCGTAACCAAGAAGGGGGCTCAATGAATACCATAGAGGTTTTTTCCGGCTCATGCAGGTAACCTCGGCCGACATTCGGCCCTTCAATCAGTAACTCTCCAACGGCCCCGATGGGTAGTAAGATCTCAGAGTTATCGGGATCAGCGATCCAGCACCTACATCGGAAGGGCGTCCCAAGGATGCCTGCTGGGGTATTAGAACAGTGTATCCAGCTGTGTGCCGACGAAGGCGTGCATTCTGAAGGCCCGTATATGACACCAACGTTCCTGTCCTGCCACAGCTGCAGTTCTTGCCGTGTTATCCTTTCACCACCGATGACTATCGTTTTTATGGTTGGGAAATTCTCTGGATTCAGGCTTCGCGCCAGCGAAGGCGTCATCGTGATCCAGTTGGCTTGCATCCGCAGCACAGCTTCTGCTAGATTCTCTTGCCACTCGGTATCAGAGGGGACACACAGGCAAGAACCAGATACCAAACCATGCAGCATGTCCTGAATGCTTGGATCCCAAGAATACGAGACGAATTGGAATATTCTACATCCTGGACCCATTTTATATGCTACGATCTCGTCGTTGACACGAGCTGCGTAGTGTCGATGTTCAATGACCACTCCTTTCGGGGTTCCAGTGGACCCTGAGGTAAATACGGAATAGAGGGCGTTCTCCGGCGATGCGGCTCGACCTTGCAGGCAAAACGATTCGTCCATATCTCCCCAAGGCTGTTCACAATCTCCCAGGATGATAACCTGCGGGCCGAGTTCAGATGCTAGGCTAGCCTTTGAGTGGCAGGATATAAGAAGATGCGATTTCGTTGTTCTACAGATAGCGCGAAGCCTCTCGGATGGCTGAGATGGATCCATCATGATGAAAGCAGCGCCTGCTTTCATGACCCCTAGCAACGCGACTATGGCCCATCGAGACTTTTCGAAACAAACCGGCACGAAAACTTCGGGCCCCGCTCCTTTCTGTCTAAGAACTGCAGCGAGGCGCGCGCTGAACCGATCTAGCTCAGCATAGGTCAGATTCCCATCCCAGGCGCATACGGCAGACGCTTCGGGTTGCAAGATGCAACGTTCATGGATCATCTCAGACACGGTTTTCTGCGGAGTGGGGACGGGGCCTAGGGCTTGCTCGTTCCATTGCAGTACCAATGTCTCGGAGTCTCCTCCAAGAACGGCCAATTCTTGTGGTGTAATACCAGGGTCACGAATGATGGTTTTGGTAGCTTGACAAAATGCATCCAGGACGTGGCTGCCCTGGCGCTGGGTAAGAATGGTCCGCTGGTACTGAAGCTGGATGAGCACACGGTCCTTTAGAACACCGATGTCCAGTAAAACATCATACTGCATTAATAGATATTTTATCAGTAATGAATAGGAGGACAGCAAATACAGGAAGGAAGCGAAGATCAAATTGCCAGCCACTTACCTCGGTAGGAAACTCTCCTTCACTGTCAGCAAACACCATGAATGATTCTGGAGCAGAGTAGCTCTCCAGCTCTTTCTGCACAGAGATGGATGTATTAAACAGTGGACTTGCTCTGCTGTGTTTCTGTTGGTGGGTGATATCCGCCAATGAATAGAATTGGAACTCCAGACTCCTGGTGAAGTCAGCCTGGCATTGTTTGAGCACATCAAGGAGAGTGGTGCCTTGATCAAGTCTTATGCGGCGGACTAGCATGTTGATAAAAGGACCGACTGCATCGTGAATGCCCGTAATTGGGACGTCTCTGCCCGAGGTGATGTATCCAAAGCACACATCGTCAGAACTAGTGTATGCTTTCAGAACCAGAGCCCATGCGAGCTGAAAAACTGATCCGATCGTCAAATCGTTGGCCTGACAGAATGCGATAAGCGAAGAGGATTCCGTCAAAGAGAGCCTGATGCATCCGACTCCCCTCTCATCAACCGCGTCCGGATTCCTGGGAAGACTGGGGAACAGAGACGGCTCTATTTGATGTAGATAGTCCAGCCAATAGGCTCGTGCAGTATCCAATGGCTGCTTATGGATATACGCAATGTACTCCTGATATACATGGTCAAGTGGCGATTCCATTGCTCCGTCGTATGCGAGCTTCAGGTCGCGTAGGATAATCTGATGGGACAGACCATCAACAATAACATGGCTGACCTCAAAGAGGCATGCGACCTCCCGGTTCTCTGTATGGCATACCGTGAGCCGATGCGGGGGTTTCATTACCGACAGAGGCGGTGGCGTGTAGCTAGCGAGCGTTTGCAAAGGGTCTCTTTCAGGCGACTGGATGACATCCACATCAGCCCTATATGTCTCCAGCACAATCTGGTCGGTGGAACCATCGTTTCGGCAGCTTTCCAAAAAGACCGTTCGCAGGAGAGGGTGTCTATTAATAAGCTGCTGCCAGGCACTGATCAACCGGGATATGTCTATCTCTGCTTGGGCTTTCCGCGGGCGAATCCTCCATCGAAAGTTATTCATGTAGTCTCCCAAGCGTTTCGCCTGGCTGAGCAACATGCCCCGCTGGATCGGACTGCAGGGGTAAGCGTTCGAGATTTCAAGTCCTTTATCAGTGAAATAGCTCTGCGTGCAGCTTTGGAACCTGTCCAATTGCTCATAAGTCAGGGCAAGCAGTGGGAAATCTGATTTGGTGAAGGTTGGCGTTCTGGATGGCATCAGAGCCGTAAGTTTAAGGAGTGCTTCCTTGCATTCGCGAGCCCAGTGTTTAATGGTGTGGCATGCTTTCATGTAGCGGTTCGATATAATATGGACTACTAATTGTGAATCGATGACTTCAGCCCACACATCAAACAAAGCAAAGCGAGTTGCCTCTCCATCCAAGTTCGGTAGAGGGGAGTCGTCCAAAGAGGTCCTTTGAAAACGGGCACCGGGACGGGACTGCGACGCAGAGAGCCCGGAAAAGTTGAACAGAATTTCGAACCCATCGAGTGCTTCGCCACGTACCCCAGCATTAATGCGGGCGTAATGAGCGGCTAGATACTGTCGCTGATGCCAGTTTTCTGCTTGTCGTCGGCCATCCTTAGATCGCCTCACAAATTCCATCAGACTCTGCTGAGTTCCTACCTCCACGTACGCGGGCCAGAAATCAGTAAACCAGCCCACCGTTCTAGAGAGGTCTGCACCGGTATCCCGTGTCTCACGTCCGTGGCCCTCACTCCAGATCAGAGGTAAGTTCCGGTCAGGGAAGACACGAGCGAAGGCATATAACAGGGCAGCATGAACAAGCTCGACGGGCTTTGTCCCAAAGGCGTCGTTTGCACTTTTGAAGAGTACCTCGGTCTCGTCTGCACCTAGGTTGAATCTTGTTTCATCCACATCAGCGTAGCAGTTGCGTTTGCCGTCCAAACCCCAGTATTCTAGCAACTTGGAGAAATCTAAAGGCGGATGGGGACCAAAATCGAAGCACGGCATATTCCTAGCGTGCTCGGACTGGATCTGCAGCCAGACGGAGAAGGGGAGCGATGAAGAGATGGAAGGATGTCCAGTGGCGATGATTTCCTCAAGATCATCAAGTATGATGTTGAAAGATACGATATCCACCACGAGGTGATGTACAATTAAAGACATCAACTGGTCACCGTTATCCATGGCCATGCAGTCTACTGCGAGCAAGGGTCCGTCTCGAATGTTGATGGACTTGTGGCTTGATTGACAGATCCTACGAGCCTTGTCCAAAGAAACACCTTGATGTTGCTGGATCAAATAGCTGCCGTCTATGCCCTCGGTGACAATCTGGGCCCAATTGCCAGGAAAATCGGTGTCTGGATGGAACCTCGCTCTCAACATTGAATGCTTCTTTACAATGGATCGCACCGCCTGCAACAGCGTCGTAGCGGAAACAGGGTTTCGGACACGCAAGACCATACTCTGATTGAAATGAACTATGTCATTCACCTTCTCGAAGAAGAGCTGCTGGACCGGAGAGAGCGCAAAGCGAACATTAAGTTTGTCATGATGGGATTTACCATGATGGACAGTAGTGGATACTTGCAGGGCCGAGCCTAACAACGCAATCGTCTTGCAGCGCATAATCTGCTCCACTGTCACGGTCACTCCAGACTTGATGGACAGCGACACAACCTGCATCGCACTGATCGAGTCACCTCCCAGACGAAAGAAGCTATCCTCAACGCCGAAGCTTCCGGGGTCCTTATTCAACACATCCGCCCATACCTGGTGCATGATCTTCTCAACCGCCGTGGACGGCTGCCGATGCTGACTCGGTGCTATTGCAGTGTAGACACTTATCTCCTCTGCGGATAAAGATGTTGCTGCCTGCCGAAGACGCTTACGGTCAAGCTTTCCCCCTGTCGTGAAGGGCAGCCGTGATACGGGGAGCAAGACGGAGGGGACCATATAAGTCGGGAGTGTTCTTTCCAGCTGCGTTTGAGCGACCTGACAGCGGGATTTGAAGGCCTCTGTTGGCCGACAAAAGAGAGAAGCAACTGAACTTGGGGATTCGTTCTCTTTATCCTCCACGAATGCAACCAACGCAGACGAACCTGCATATCCTGGTAGTGGAACAATCTCCGCGGCCACATTCAGATTATCAAAGGAGAGCCGTACGGTGTACTCCACCTCTGCTAGTTCAATTCTCTGTCCCCGAAGCTTTACCTGGGTATCATTTCGACCCATAAAGCGGATCGACCCATCGGCGATATACTGCACCAAATCCCCAGTCCGATACACACGTCCAGGTCGGCCTTTACGGAACCGTGTCAACCAGTCCGGGGCTTCTATGAATCCTCCTGCGGCGCCGTTCAGGTATCCTCGGGTGACAACTGGGCCCTCGATGAGTAGTTCTCCGACGGCGCCAATGGGACATAAATGACCGGGATCGGAGGGACGGGTGATCCATCCTGCTCCTCCGGTGACCGGACCGATGGTGCCGACTTTCCACCCCTCTGCGGAGACAGAGCCCGCAGCGCAGATCGTAGTCTCCGCGGGCCCGTATCCGTTTACTAAGGTGAGGCGAGTGCACCATTGCTGTGCGATATCCAAGGTGAGAGGCTCTCCACCAAGGACGACTGTCTGCAAACTGGGAACCCGATCCGGGTGTAAGATGCGGAACGTTGAGGGGGAAAAGTTCGCCCAGTTGACACGGTGCTCTTCTATAAACTGTTCGATCCCATTCAAACGTTGCACCTCTGAAGGAATGCAGATACAACCACCATTGCTGAGGATGGTGAATATCTCATAGATACTCGCGTCAAAAGCATAGGACGCAAAGTGGAGACCGCGAACTCCTTGATCTGCTCGAAGGGGTTTACTGTGGTCTCGAATACTGGTGCAGAGAGTGCGGTGCTCCATCACAATACCTTTTGGCTGACCGGTAGATCCGGATGTGAAGACAATGAATGCCGGATCGTCTGGCGCCGCTGATGATGTGTTTGGAGAAACAACATCACGGAGAGTCTCCCTTTTGGAACGAATGACCCCCCGGAAGGGCGCCGTCACCACGGGGACAGACACGCTATCGAAGAGGTGCTTTGTGGTGGCGGAGGCCAAAATGACCGGTGGGCTAATCTGGCTCAGGATTTGAGAGATCCTCTCGAGCGGATGCTTCGGGTCAATTGCGGTGACTGCAGCACCAGCCCTAAGGATGGCCATCATGGCCAGCACGGCCCACTTGGATTTTTCGAAGCAGACGGGAACGATACGGCCAGTTGTTGCTCCATTGGCCTGCAGGTGATGGGCCAGCTGTGATGATAGCGATGCAAGCTCTCCGTACTCCCAATCCCCATCCCATGCCGACACAGCCTGGGCGTCCGGATGCACTTGACAGTTTTGCAGGACAAGGTCATGCAAACAGACATCCAACGAGGAAGGCAAAGCGCCATTCCACTCAGTCAGCCGCCGCATATCTGCTGGAGAGAGCGGTGGAATGTCCTGGAGTTTGTCCTGGGGATGCTGCATAATATAGCGCAGGAAATGTTCGAATTGTTCCAGCATCCTCTGCGCCTCGTGCGCATTCACGATGTCCGTATCGTAATTCCCAGAGATGGTGACATGGTATTCATCTTCAATGCGCTGAGGATGAAAGACAATCACGAGTGCATAACTGGAGAACGCAGCGTAGTCCAGATCGCCTTCGGTTCTACATGTCGCCAACGGTCGCTCCGTCGCCTCCAGCATGGGCTGAATGCCGAGCTGGCATTGGAAGTCGCACGCTAGCGCCGCCTCACTGCTCAGCTTGCGGATATTCTGCAGCCCGACATGTTCATGGGGAAAGGTTGACGCTACTTGAGCCTGGAGGACGGAGAGCATGTGGTCAATGGATATGCCTGAGTCCAGTAGGACTCGCAGGGGATACGTGGTCAGTGTGGGACCGGAGACCTGATCAATGCCAGGAAACGGGGCCTTTCGCCCGTCTGCAACGATTCCAAAAACCACGTCATTGGAGTCAGTGTAGTGGGAAAGGCACACGGCCCATGCCAGTTGAATACTGGTCGGCAGAGTGTGTGCAGTCTTGATGGTTGGAAGATTATCGATGTGATAGATCAAGTTCCCCTTCGGGGTAGGGACATACCCCGGGGCAGGAAGCCTTGGGAAGACGCTCGCGTCGAGGTTTTCGAACTGTGAGCGCCAAAACTGCTCTGACAGCCCCGTTCCTATCAGATAGTTGAGAAACCGATTGAAGGGACGCGGTTCCAGTCGAGCCCCGTTGTAGGCCGCCACCACTTGGCTCCATAGGATGGGCAAACTCTGGCCATCGTACATGGCGTGATGGATCTTCAGGACGAAAGACGGGGGCTCAACGATCAGGGCCAGCTGGGTAAGCCTCGCATTTATTCCCATGTTACTCATACGGTATTGCCGGTCGTATTCTTCCTGGTTGCGATACGTATCCCACGGGACCCGCTCGTCGATGACAACTTGGAAGCACTGACTCTGGAAGTACATGAGGCGGCTGCGCAGGATGGAGTTATTCATCACAACCGCTTCAAATGCAGCTCGGAATCGATTGAGATCTATCTCTTCTCGCAGATCATACGTGAAGGTTCCCACATATGCATCTGGGGTCTTCGAAGAGAGGGCCATCAAACCTTCTTGCATGGGGGTAGAAGGGTATACGTCCTCAATTTGAGCGACTGTGACGTCCATAGCCATCGTAGCGGCTACGGCAATCTCGTCGCGGGAAACGTGCGCAGGAAGCATTGTGAACGGTAGGACATCCTCCTCCCGTGTTTCACCAGCTGGGATGAGCTTCTCGGCCAGGTCCAGCAGAATCGGCTTTGTGAACAGATCGCCGCCGGTCATGGCGTATCCAGAGTCTCTCATGCCCGCGACCAACTGCGTGGCTAATATCGAGTTACCTCCAAGGAGGAAGAAATTGTCGTCGATGCCAACATCCTCCTGTGGCAGCTGCAAAACACGCGCAAACATTTCCTGCAGTGTTGTTTGGGCCTGGGTGAAAGGGGATCGCTTCGCAACGCTTCTCTGGACATACTGGGCAATTTGATCCCATGAAAGGAGCGATGCCCGGTCACGCAACAAGCGGCGATCGAGCTTCCCGGTGCGTGACAGCGGTACGTATACCAGCGGGATGAACGCCGCGGGAACCATATACGCAGGCAGCCGGTCTTGTAGCCGCGAGGTAGCCATCGCAGCGTCTTCGCAGGCTTGAGAATCAGCCTCTGCAAACAAAGCCTTTCCGGGCCGAGGCTCCTGGGCCCTATGACGCGTGCACAGTACAAAAGCAACCAGGATGGGGGGTCTCGTCCCTGATTCCGGCTTGATCACCTCCGCCACTGCCTGCTCGGCTCCCGGGAAGGCGAGGTTTGCGTGGTGCGCCACTTCGTCGAGCTCAATTCGCTGCCCTCGGAGCTTGACCTGGGTATCCTTCCGCCCTACGTAGATCAATGATCCATCCGGCGCATGGTGTACGAGATCTCCGGTCTTGTATAGTCTACCGGGGAAAGGCCGGAACCGTTGAATCCAGCCAGGCGGGTCGATGAAAGCTGCCGCGGTGAGATCCGGCCGATTCAGGTACCCTCGTCCGACAATAGGGCCTTCGATCACTAGTTCTCCAACGGCGCCGATGGGGACTAAGCGATGATGATTCTGCGGGTCAACGATCCAACATGCTGCACCCAGTGAATGCCCGATATTATTCACCATGTGCTCGCCGCGCATGTCCGGTTGAAGGGTAGACATGACTGCACATTCTGCTGGGCCATACAGGTTAAGCACTTGAACTCCAGGCGGCCACATTTCGATGTCAGCGGTTGTGCTTGGCTCCCCGGCCAAAATTAGGGTCTCAATCGACGGGATTCCGTCTGGCTTCAGGGTCCGTGCAACGGCGGGGGTGAGGCACATCCAGTTGGCGTGCAAATCGTTAATCACACCCTGGAGGTTGAACATTCGGTCTTGTTCAGATGGAATACACACGCAGCCTCCCGCAAGCAGGGCCCAAAGATGCTCTGCTACGCTTAAATCAAAGGCGTGGGAAGAAAATTGCAGCACTCGTGATTGGGAGCAAAGACGCAGGTTAGCACGATTTACATTAAAGTTTGTGTGCAAGGATCCATGGCTATTCACCGCGCATTTGGGTTTCCCCGTGGAGCCCGAGGTGAAAGTCACAAACAAAGCATTGTCGGAGGTTGGTTTGGGGACATGTACTCTCGGATGCTCACGCCGCCAGTCTGTTTCATGGTCGCCCACAACGAGGACTTTCAGCCCCAGGTTCTCTACCTGGCTTTTGACCAAAGACGAGGCGAGGACAATGGAGGTGCAGGCGTCGCGACACATCTCCTGGAGATGCTGCATGGGGTGAGATGGATCAAGCATCATGACGGCGCCTCCAGCTTTGAGGACACCGAGCATGGCGACAGTGACCCAACGCGACTTTTCAAAACACACTGGGACAAAGACTTCAGGTCCAACCCCATAGTAAGCCAAGGTGTTGGCGAGGATAGAAGCCTGCGCCTCGAGTTCACCATATGAAAAACTACCATCCCATGCCGACACAGCAGGGGCGCCTGGCCGGGCCAAGCACTGTTCCTGAATTGCCTCGTGGACGCAGTATTGGGATCCAACAGGTAGCCTCCCATTCCAATCCTGTAGCTGCACCAGGTCCTCCTTACTGAGAACATCCATATCATGCATGCGGGTTGTGGGGGATAGGTCTGCCTGTTGATATACATGTCTTAGTTGATTCAGCATCCTCTGTACTTCGGATCTTTGTATGACCTGTGGATCGAAATTCACTGTTACGGTAACGCATTCGGAGAGGACCTGGCACGTAAGGCTGATTGCATTTACACCTGATACAGCGGGAGTGGACAGTGTCTTTCTGTCTACAAACATGGAAGACTCTTCTTCACACGCCGTTTGAATGTGGAGCACGCTTTGAAACTGGCATGCTTGTTGAGCATCGAATCCGAGGCGAGAAATGCGATGTAGACCGGCGTGCGCAAAGGCCGTGCTTTTCGTGGCAATGCACTGTATCCGGCTGAGCGTGTCGGAGACAGTCTCGTTTGAGTCGAGCGCAATTCGCAAAGGATAGGTGGTCATCATCGGCCCGGTGATTTCCTCCATCCCCAGTCCTGGGGGTACTTGATCATAAGTGACCATGCCAAATACAACGTCTGAGTTCTGCGTGTACAGGCTCAGCAGCAGAGCCCAGGAGAATTCAAGTTTTGCTGGGATAGAATGGCCATCGCCGCGACTGCGTTCGAGCGGGATAGTACCCAGGATATGTGCCGAGGGTTTTGGAATATAGTCTCGTGATGGTAACTTTGGAAAAGGAACAGCATTCAAATTACGGAGATGGTCTTTCCAAAAATCGTCCGTCTCGCCCGGCATCTCCGATAGGGAGTGGACGAACCTGTTGTATGGCCGGTAGGGCAAGCAGATTCCACCATATGCGGCTTCCACTTGGCTCAGCAGAAGTTGGAGGGCATGTTCATTTGCCAGGGCATGGTGGATGAGCACAGTAAAACAGAGTCGCTCCCCAAGTGAGCTTTGAGAGCTGAGAGCCAGGCGCATCAAGGGCTGGCCTAACTCCCAAGACCGCCACTCAACTGGGATGGGCTGAGTAGACTGTCGGGTATCCCATGGGATTGTTCCCCGAAGGACAGCTTGCCATAACTTTCCATCATGCCCACGCACAATCCGGGTGCGCAAGATGGGGTTGGCGAATATGGCCTCCTCCCATGCGGACTGAAATCTGTGTCGGTCTACCTCGACGGATAGATGGAATTCGTAATCGATGCTGGATGACTGATGCAGGAATTGTCCTTCCTGCCAGGCCGTACAGGGATAAATATCCTCCACCTCGGTCTCGGAGACTTGACAGTTGTCTATCACCAGGTTCATCAAGTCATCTCTTGCAGTTAGATTATCTGGGATGAGGGAGAAGGCAGGGACGTCCTTCTCCGCTGATTTTTTGGCAGCAACTTGACGAACTGTCATTCTTTCTAGTATCCGATGCGCACATGTAATGCCTGGTTCGTTTCTATGACTTGCCAGAAGTCAGTACCACATTATTCCTGGAGATTCAGAGAATTCTTTTCGGTTAATCACCAGTCACTGGGTACGTGGTGGATAGAAGTGGTGCCGTGGTGTGCCTTGCTTACTGGCCGCTTGTTTGTTTGTGTCAGCTAATAAACAGAACTAAGGACAAGTGTATATATGCCCACATCACTCGTGGAACGTCGAGTAATTGTTTAGAGTGATGAGGGTTCTTATCTGAAGGGACAAACGCATATTGATATACGGGTGGGGATCCCTCTGGCCACATTCCACAAATTTTGATAATGACTGCATCTTGTTATACAGTAATCAATATATTAGCTAGGCTGATTATTTGAAAACAGGATTAAATCGTGTTAACTCTTTTTGATTGGTCTATTAATGTGCATATGCACATAACCTTTTTAATAGCAAATACGGAGCTGTGTTTCAAAAGTCATAAGCGGCGCTAAATTTCTTGGCTGTAATGCCACCCTACTGATTCCCTAGAGTTTAACTTGAATAGCTTCAAAAAAGGCAATTTTTATTGAGAAATATGGCTTTATGATCTGTTGTAAATCTAAGAGCTTTCCCATAAAATACTATGTAAACACCCTTACTGCCAAGACAGTAAAAAATACTAGTGCCTGCTCATGGCTTTTGAAACACAGCTACGTATAGTTTGTACATAACTGTCAGAATAGGCAGATATACCATTATTACATACGAATTGTAACAGCGCTACTTTTTGTGGTGTAGTGGTATATCTGACAATAACCAATGGGGAGTGTATACAGTCACAAAATTCTAAAGCTGTGAGCACTTTTTCCTCATGCAGTCAGCCTGTTTTACAACTAGTGAATGTACTCGCTTCTGATGTGGGCGGAGTTGGTGACGTCTCACTTCTACAGTGAATCTCTCTAAGAATGCATTTATATGGACACCATGCTGTGTATCTAGGGAATGGAAACCCAAATGCTGACTGATGGCTATAAGCCCACAAACCGCATTGAGATTGCCAAATTCAATCAATCTAATAAGAACATACCACGTACAGTCCTGCCTCGCTGGCTGGGTAGGAGTCGAAACCATTAAAAGAGAAATTTCCCCGGCATCCTCTCTCCCCACATCGGCTATTATTCTATTCCGCTGTCGTGCTATGAGTTTGCATATTATGCATGCTGAGAATTGGACCGCAGGGAGAATTTTTGCAGTTGTGCAACGGCTGTATCCCACATACTCTTGTTGCCCATATGGAGTCCAAGGGAACCTGCATCGTCACACAAGCAACCTCTACACGAATCCCACGCTCCATGGAAATCACATCCTGTTCGGGTTAAAGCTGTGTCCAGGGCTGAGCTAGAAATACGTATATATCCAGCATCACAGAACTGGGCTTCTTCTGGGCGAGGGAAGACGTTGATGAAGACACTAACACCCGGGAGATACAGAGAAAGTGGATAGGCGTGCCCATCCATATGGCTCGTTCGATTTCACTCTCGTCCAGCAACCCTGTTTCCCCCGGCCGGGACAAGACAGTAGACAATGACCAAAAGAATTCTTCCAGCCTGGTCCATATCCGCCTAAGTGGCTGGAGCCAGCAAGTAGCCTTCCTTGACCTGAAATCGGAACTCATCAGAACGCTACAGTCCCCTCAGCCGTACCTGCCTTCACTTCTCCTCTGGGATGATCACGGCATCCGCCAATTCAACGCTCTCACGCTCCACCCCAACTACTATCCCAGCTGGATGGAAATGGACATGGTAAGGGCGCGGAGGCAATCGCCACGACGACGCCTCCAGGCAGCGTGATGGTCGAGTTAGGCTGCGGCAGCCTGCGCAAAACCGGCGTCATCCTCTCGGCTTTCGAGCCTCTGGGCCGTCCGATCACCTACTACGCGCTAGATGTCTCAGCTGGCGAACTTCACGCCAGTCTCAAGATGTTGAAAAATGCCTTTGTAGACTCAGCCGCGGTCTCGATCAGCGGTCTGCATGGCACCTATGACGACTGCGCCACTTGGCTCGCCTCATTCTCATCCTCGCTTCTTCCGGGTTTGGGTACCGGCCGAGCTATCTCCTTCTTATGGTTGGGCAACAGTATTGCCAACATGAGCGCCGCCGAAGCCAGCGCCCTACTTAGTAGGTTCAGCCATGCCTGTTGCGCATCGCAGCTGCAGTGTCGCTTCCTCATCACCAGCGATGCCTGCGGGGACCCGGCCACCGTGCTGAGGTCCTACAACCCGGGTTTATCTTCAGCGGGCTGCAGTGCGCCAACCGAGTGCTGGGTGCCGAGGTTTTCCACCCCACGATGTTCCGCTGCGAGACCGACTTAAAAGAGGAGCATCGGCTCCTGCAGGTGTCCTATGTCGCGAAACGGAGGACGGAGCTGGTGTGGCCTGGGTTGGGGGGCCCCTATCGCGTCGTTCTGCGCGAGGGCCAGAGAGTGCCGATTATCCAAAGTTATAAGTGGTCAGCTGATGATATGAGCCAGATTTGCCATGCGGCGGGACTTGGGGTACGGCAAAAATGGAAGGACCCGAATATGGACTATTGTGATACTTTTTCCCTCTCTACCCTACATTCTAGACGACTTTGAGGCTAATGCACCTTGTCTCCCTGTCTTGGGGATAGGTCTGTATGAGATAACGCCTCAGGATGGCTTATAGAGATGTTGCCAACTGCCAATTTACTAGATGGGTCTATTCCAAGCAAATGGAAAACAGAGATGGGGATTCTGTCGCATACGATAACCTGCAGATAGCCTTTCATAATAGAGTAGCTGCTGAGTGATGTTCAGGAGAGGCGTACAGAACAAGAAACAAAACCCTAAACCCTAATAAACCGAAAGCGAATAATGACCAAGAATCAATGATAGTTTCAACCTAGAGAATTACCATATCAGTTTGAATTGAGGTCTAGCCGCCTTTTTGGCTGAACGGTAAAGTTCGACAGATAGTCATGACGATTCTGAGAGTGTCAGAATAAAGCTAGTCCATATTGGGACAGCATGTGAAATAGTTATGACATAGTTGATCCTGAAGATGAGAGTCCAACATAAAAACATAAATACCCAACACCACACACAAGAATAATCACAATGAATACAGAGAATATTGAAGCTCATATAGAATTGCACCAATATATCGGACAGATTGCCGAATTTAGCCTTAGCGCGCTAAAATAAGTATCTAGTCAGTTGACCAACCATGGAAATATATAACTATTTGTCAACCTTTAGATAATTACCGCTATTCTGCTTCAACACTACATTATTCAGCGGCCTCTCAGTCATTCATTGAGGTCATTTGTCAAGACGTTAAGCGATGCGATACAATACTATTTATTACTCCGTAAGCCTCGCCGGGACCTGCGGGTACCCGCGGGTAGCCAAACATAGGAATGGGTGTCACACTCCGATATTAAATTGAAGAACTGATTAACTTAATATTGCTCGTATTGCATCATTTTGTTCACAGAGTTGACTCGTGGGCGACCGGGCGAATTTTAGTAAACCCCTTGAGGTTGTTGATGATCCAACACTGTAATTTTGTAGTATGCCCGTAGAGGGATTTCTGCAGGGGAAAACCCCCACCTCCCCCCAACAAAAAAAAGGTAAGGAAAAGACGCTACCATGAATTGAATTGGATTTCTATAATATGAAAGATAGGTACATTTTCTGTCGCCTCACATTACATTCTGTGACAATAGACATTGGCTAACACTTGGCTAATAGGGGCGCTTACATACTACATCCGTCGAGACTTGAATGACTGGCCGGACCATCTTTGCGTCGACATCCTAAAGAATATTGCAAATGCTATGGAACCGGGAAGGTCGCGCTTGGTCATCGCAGAAATTGTTGTGCCCCCTACAGGAGGTGATTCAAAGACCGGATGGATGGATCTAGTTTTGATGACTGTCACTGGTGTCGAGCGCAGGGCTAACGTAGTTCACTACCTGCCGCCCGACACCGCCTGCCTGTCAGAAGTACGAGCAGCTGACAGCCAATGGATGTTGGAACATATTGCCAAGCATGGGCGCCTGCCCCCGGTTTCGTCCTCGCTTAGTCATCATTTATGTAAGCTAGCTCTTAGTAGTAGCGGCCACCCGGCCGCCCATTCAATAGAAAAAGCAATCGCTTCCAACAGAAAACGGTTATCATGTGATCCGGTACGATGAACCAACTTCACATGGCCCGCTTGTTTGGGACACTTGCCTGGTTTTCGGCCTGTCTAGCTGACGGTGAACGGCCTCCAGATATTCAGATCGCACCAAAAACCTCTCACCCTAGGTGTCTCCAGACTTACACCTTATCCATCATGTCGGCATCTCAGCTAGAGCGACGCCATTTCCATCACCCAGCAGCAGGTTCTTAGGGCGAGTGAGGTAGCTGAAACTTGTTTTGCACACCGACATACACGCCCACAACGCTTTTGGGACGTTTAAAATAGCTATATAGCTTCTTTATAGCATATTTTTATTACTTCAAAAGATCTCTGTATAATGTTTAATATATGTGGCGAAATGGCTTCTTTTTTTGGGTGGTCTTGACCACTAAAATCGGGCCCTTGGTGGTACTTGGCATTTGGCGGTAAACAACGGTAACCGGAGAAAATGGCGCCAAATTCGAGCACGAACGGAAGGATATGTATGTCGGCATAGCTAGATAAATACGACTCTGGGGCAATTTGTGGGCTGAAATATAGCTGCAGAACCTCCTGAATTTGCTCGTATCCTCTTGGTTCTCGCGTTTGGCGAGAAACCGCATAGGATCAATACTCGAAGAGCCCTTATCCACATCGGACTCATCTACTAGCCCGACGTGCCGATCAAAACTTCGGAGTCAGTCCTCGGCCCCCGTGCTTCAGCAATCCTTTAAATGTGGTTTTGGTATTATACATTGGGGCCTATGCTGCAATCGCACATCTATCCATTACAATGACCCATCGTCGTCGTCGATGTGGCGTCTGATCTCTTATGATAGCGACGATGGTCGCATTCCAGGGAAAGGGGAGAACAAAGTTTGTCCTTGTGGTAGCTCTCTCTCTTGTCATAGTCGTTATCTATCAGCTTAGTTACACCGACCATTTTATCCACACCGGGAATTTGTCCTCGTCTGTAAGGATAATCAATAGATGCAGTCCCGATACCCTCAAGCCTCTTAATAACTTGCACCCCGGCTCTGCAATACCCAACACTGTCCACCAAATATGGAAAACAGCAGACGTGCAAAACTACTCTACAGAGCTGAAAGCATCACGCGAGTCCTGGACGACCATGTTTGAGGCCCAAAATTACACCGTCAAACTCTGGACTGATGACGACGTGCTTGAACTCATCAAAGCCAAGTATGCTTGGCTGCTGCCGACATACAGAAGCTATCCTCACAATATTCAGCGTGCCGACATCGCCAGGCTGCTGGTCATCCACAACGAAGGCGGCATCTACTCGGACCTAGACGTTTATCCCGGCTCAGCCGAGGACATACAATGCCTCCAACACCTCGGATTGGAAGCCATATTCTCCCCAACATCAGGCACACTCGGGCTTAGCAATCACTTCTTTATGGCCGAGCGTGGGTCTCCGTTCCTCCAATGGGTTCTGTACGAGGCCAAGCGGCGGGCATCTGGGATGGGGTCGCAACGTATAATCCCACCATACCTACAGGTCTTTTGGTCTACGGGCCCGATAATGTTGACGGCGGCGCTTAGGGAGTACGCTTGGCTATACGGCACGTTGTGGCATGATATAGGGCTTCTGGACGAAGGGTATGGCGGCGCAGTAATACACCATGCTGCTGGGCGGTCTTGGCAGGGGTTTGACGGGCAGGCATTTAATTATATTGCAGATCATGTGAGGGTGGGGGTCCTATTGACGGGTTTTACATGTGCATCTATAGTGTTGGCGCTTATCTATGTCGCTAGGAGATACCATGGTAGATTTAGTTATGGATGAGGTTCAGGGCCATGGACTGCACCAATTATTGGCTCCGCTGACTAGAAAAACCTTTGAATATGGCATTCTTCGAACCTATTTCACAATCATCTACTAATGCATGCTTCAGCCTAAATTGACTGTCTATAGCTAGACAAGTGTTGCCCCCGAGCAGGACATCTAATACTCCCCTACGGCCGAGCGTACTTGTCCTTGTAGGTCCTGACCCGGTAAGTTCGTTAGTACGATAGTCTTGAGTCGGACAAGGATGCCCACGAATGGAAATACACTTAACGTTACATGGAATATATTATGCACTTAAGGCTACATTGTTTATCGAATCTATAGTCAATTCACAAAAGCATCAGCTTGAATATTGATCTTCCCTGCAATAGGGATGTATATTTGTTATTCCAATCTGTCAGGGCCGATGTGGACAGCTTATACGTACTCCAAAACATGAATACCTGGTGTGGAGGAGAGTGCCATTAGAATTTTGCTGTAAACTTCAGAAAATCTACCCATTAAGAGGAATGATCTGAGCTTTTGCACCTAGGTAAGTGGCCGATCGCAGAAAAAAGGAAAATAATACTGCAACTTCACTAAAGCAATGTGTATCAACAACTAGGAGGCACGAGATCTTGAGATTCCAAGCCAGGAAGCAATTGCTATGAACGAGATAAACAGCTTGCATGCATCTCTGATTACTGTAACAGCCAAGAGGCTAAAGTAAATTGATCTGTAAGATGAATCGGACGCAGTTATCTTCCGTTCGGCTGGTGGATCACGGAATTGACTGACCGATCGGCGCCAATTGTGGGATCTCTCCGGTGATGAAATGTGATCATGTAATGTAAACCCTAGCGAAAATAGTAAGTTGATTATATGCAATATATTGTCGTTCTCCATCCCCACTGCCAAGATCCCAAGTATCTTCCGAGCATACGGACCGTGAATACTCCTTGGTTTCGGGGGTCATCTTCTAAATTAAGCAGAGTTAAGCCCTGCATGGCATGCTGATCCTTACTGGGACACTCTATAAATGGTAGACTGAATCCGTAGAATTTATCTTGAACATAGCCAGCTATAGCCTCTCTTTCTTGTCTACACACTGCGATTCACCGACCTTATTCTTTCATTCTTTTCTCTTTTGTCCATCGTACTCTCACTTGTTATTGTACACTCTTTTTGGTACTCATCGGCATGCGGTTCGTCGCCATCAATCTTGCCTTCGGGCTCTACAGCTCGGCATACGGGCTCTCCATCCGTCCCAACCCTGGCGGCAACAGCTCTCACACCCCGAGCCATGCACCCATTCCCTCCCACACCCCCAGTCGCTCTGGGGCCCCCAGTTCCAGGGGCACGCCGACCCCGTCGGTGACTCCCTCCGCGGCCCCGTCTGCTACGCCCCTCACATGGGAGGAAATTACCTGCGAGATGGGCGACATCGCCAATCGCCGGGTCAAGTTCGAGGACCGCTGGATGCAGGCCCGTGTCGACGATGCCTGGAATGATATGTTACAGTCCTGGACGGATCAGAAGAATAATCAATCCAGCGGAGACGTTCACTTGACTTTCTCGCAGCACGCCAGCTCCTACTTCAATGGTCCTGAGCGATGGGCATGTGACGATATCAACGATATCGAGTGTTCCACCACGGTGCCATGTCAGAAACCTCCGGCGGGGTAGGCCTGATTTATTCTTAAGAGAACAGAAAAATATAGCGGAGATCGGCTAACAGGTGATAGTTTCCTACTGCTGAACGGTTTCTCAGGCCTACATAATGTAAGATGAGATATTCTACCCTTTGATGTTCGCTGACTCTCCAGGTTTATAAAAAAATGTGGGACGCCCTGAACCAAGCCGAGATGGAGATGCATGGAGAAATAGGCAATTTCGCCGCCGAGTTTGCCCCCCAGGCCAAAGACGATACCAGCCAGGGTGCCCTGATGGCATTGGATATCCTCACAAGCGTTTTATCGTTCGGAATGGCAGGTGCTTTTGGTGGTAGTATGTACTTCTCCCCTCGGTACAGTATACAGATCGCTGATTATGTGCCAGTCGTCAAGGGAGTAGCCGAAGTCGTTGAAACCGCCGTTGAGGTATCGCAGACCCCGCTTCTACGACCCAGCGATGGCGGTGGGAAAGTTGGCGGACGAAAGGGAGGCAAAGGTGGTAAAACCAGTAAGGGAGGGACGGGGCGTAACGGAGGTAAAGGAGGTAAAGGAGGAAAAGGAGGAAAAGGAGGAAATGGTAAGAACGGTGGAAAGACGAATCCAGCAAAGGATAAAGGCAAGGATCATGAGGATCCTGATGATGACCAGGACCAGGAGGATCCGGTGGAAGACACCGGAGATGATGTAGGGGACGATGAGAACACCGGCGACTACGACGATCAGGAGTCCCCTCTGGTGAAACGCGCCAAATCTAATCGTGCCAAAAGTCTCTCCAGCCGCGTGACCAAGGATATGATAAAATCTGTTGATACATTCCAGCCTAGGTACTCTCTATCTCCATCTTATATTTCTGGATCTAACATGGATATAGCCCGCTATCTAATGATCAAGTGTCAATTCAAAACGCTGTCAGCCAAACAGTTCGAAACATTTTTGAAGAGTGGAAGACTGTTCTTGCGAACTCTATCAAGGCCACATTCTCTGGGGAAGAACCCTATCCTCAAGAGCTATATGAAAAAATCGCCAACGGCACCATGAATTATTTCAGCGGCAACATTTCAACGCCAGAGATAGTTAACAACGCCAAGAAGCTCGTCTTTGGTCAACTAATTGTGTCGACTTGGAAGATAGCTCCGGACGACATGGGCGCCCACCCTTTTATCTTGTAGGTTGGACACACCCAGATAGAGACACGCCTGCTGACTTAACAGCTATACCGACAAGGACTGCGGACAGGACCTCGGCAGTGACATAGGATACGCGATGGTCACTAAGGATGCTAGCATCACCGGGCGCACATGTTACAACGGACGTCTGGTGCTGCTGATGAATGCTCGACAATCAGGTAATGTTCGCGAGGTGAATGCCCTGCCCGGGGTGGACAACCTCGAGTCGGATAATTACGGCGGCGTGACCAAAGAAGATATCATTATCAGCTCGATGAAGCTGTACGAGCAGAATGGCAATAAAAACGGAGGCAAGCCGCCCAGCAATGAAGACCTTATTAACAATCTGGATACCCTCATGGACGACCCCAATAAGACTCCCCTCGTGCAGACCGCTGGGTTCTTCAACCTTCCCGTCTGCACCAGCTATGATGATCTGCGCAAAAACATTTACCAGAGCCCAGGGAGCAGCAAGTATTGGCCCTGCGATGCGCCGGAGGGTTACAATGGGAAGGGGACTAATATTGTGAGTGTTGTTACTGGTATTCTCCGACATTGGTGCTGACTACGCATAGCATGTCAATAATGGATGTATCCTCATTAATGATACCCCTGTTTGTAAAGGAGATAGCTACAGTACATACTTTCTTTGCTGCCGTTGGCATGAATATTTTTTTAACTAACTGATTATTAGACTTTGCCGACCCTGAAACCCCCGACCATCGGAACTGGGTTCAGGTCTACGCCCAGTTTGATGGCCAATCCGACGCCTGGAAAACCGTCAGCCCGGGCTGCGAGCTGACCTTCACTTTCCCGGAAAACTACGAGGACATTTACTTTGGAGACGACAACTGCGTCTACGATGCTGGTGCTAAACCCATCCCAGGCCTCCAAGGACAGGGGCAGTGCTGTGAGGCTCGACCGGAGGGATTCGGGGATCTCCGCGTGACGAATCCTTATAGGTGGAAATGATCCATCCTGATTCTGTAGTGGAATGGTTTGTAGAGTATGTATTAGAGACGCAATAGTATGGAGTATGCTTTCAATAAATCCCTGCAGGAATATTCTAGAGTAAAGGTCCGTAAAGTGTCGGCTAAGAAACAAGGAATGATGAGCAAAAAAAAAAAAAATAAAATAAAACCCCTTCCATCCCAAAACAATCGACCAACATTTTTACACCCCCTCTTTCCCTTACCATTAATCCTAATATATCGAGATGACCTTGTGTTTATGCGCCAATATGGCAACACAACACTTCTCCAATTACAAAATATTCCAGTTCTACTTCTGCTTCTATTTTCCCTCACTTGGCCCCAACAAATTATTGTATTCGCCAGGATTCAATTGACCACTCTGGTAGAAATTTCGTATGTGACTCTTCAGAACATTGGTTCCTGAAGAAAACAAGGCATGACACAGGACAATGCGGACTCTGCCCTCGTCCACAATCCCCATGACTACTTGAATTGCTGTATTTGGTGGCTGGAGATGATCGGCGATGCCTGTATCAAGGTTCGCGATGAATACCTATCTGATGACGACTTGGATTTTCTTGTCATATATATTATTCCTAAGGTTGGAGGGAGTGTCTCGTTATCTGTTTATATACTTACATCCACTGCCCGCTAGAGCCGGTGGTCATTGCCTGTGCTTGCCTGTGCTTGTGGTCTGTTTCGATCATGTTTAAACACAATCAGGGGGCTCATGCTCGTTAAATAGTCGGTTATAACAGGACGTAAGATGAAACACAGCACCCTAATCTACAAGTTTGCGAAGGTGGCGAAGGTGGCTCATCTAGGCCAACCGCTGCTTTATATTTCTCTATTCACAAGAGAGCAGCAACTGAACATGTACTGCACGACCCAGCGCTTCCTGATAACCTTACTTAGCTTGAGTTAATTGTATAGCGTAGGCCATTTTAGGCCTTGGTTTGGGCACTGACTAGTACAATAGCCTACGGCAACAAACGAACGGCTTGTGTTATAGATTGGCCTACACTACACATTGGGCCTACACTAGTATGTGTAAGGGTTAGAAGTTTACAGGAGTAGATGCATATCATCCTCTGATTTACTGGGGGGCAGTAGAAGGCATCACAGCCGTAAGTGGCCCTTAATAGACAGGGCTCTTACCACATACAGTACATGGTGATGGTGTTTCTATATCAACCTGCCTCTTGACGGTGCAACAATTCTAGTAATTGCCTTTCTATACCCAGAGCCTCCCTCCCACAGTGTAGTGCCAATTTTAAAGGTCTCATCTGGCAACTGGACCTCCTGGGAATTTTGTCGTTGTCCCATCAATTGTGTGCTTACCATTTACCCCGCAATGGGGCAGGTCAGCTTATATCTGGAGCAATGCCCCAGATCATCACACTCCCTTTGACCTTCGGTGTTCTGCTCTATTTTTTTTTTTTTTTTTTTTTTCATTCAGTGGTGGAAGAAGGATCTAGGAATACTACCCCCTCGGATTATTAGGCATAAGACAGTAGCCTTGAAGCCTGGTTTGCGCTCTGTACAGTTGAAGCAAACACCGTGATGGGATACTTTGTATGTGATGGTATGGTTCCTTCGTATATCCTGGACCTAAGATTAACCGAGTACGAGGATGTAGCTACCAATCTGGTTCCAAGCTGTCAAAAAGACTGATGCATCTAAATGGGGAGTCATGAACCTTCCAGTAATCACTGGATTAATTTTAGCCATTCTGGTTAGTGGTCCTGCGGTGCTTACACGGGATATTACACGCCTATTATAGTGCTGGGAAGTATATATGCGTCAACTGGTGCAGGTTTAACGACTACGTTCCAAGTTCACACAGAGTCTTCAAATGGGTTGACTATCAAGCACTCTTTGGTCTTAGGTGCTGAATGGGCTTCCAGAAACCATTTATTGCTACCCAGACCGTCCTTGTTAAAAAGGATATCTCAATTGCAACAGTCACTGTTGCCTTTGTGTACACTCTTAGTACCGCAACATTTATATCAATGGCTCATATTGTTTTCTTTCAGCGGCTTTTGCCTGAATTAATCACCGCGTTTCAAGATGGCCGTTGACAGCCGGTCCATTTAGCTAACAATTCATGGCGGGACGCTCGCCCAACATGCATAAACCGTTCATGTAGAATCTCATCAACAAGATATTCCTTTTGCCGTCGACCAACTAAGCTGGGGCCGGTAGTCGTCGTTCTTTTGACTCGGGAAAGAGGTAGGTTTTGCCGGTCGTAGTAGCATCACATGACAAACATCGTGCAAGCCAATTTTCTCTACAACTGTATATTTAGCATTTCGGGCATCCAGTCTCATGCTCAGTTCAGTGCGTATATTGTGAAGGCCGAGCCATACTTTATCGCCCGGACGGTAGGCGGGTACAGCGGCCCTGTAGCGAATAGCATAATCTTCATATTTCTGCTGGGCAGCAGCAAGTTCCGTTTTAGCAATATCCAACACGTGGGCTGGCTTCGTCACGATATCCTGTCCTTGCTGGGCTTTAGTCCGGTGGGACCCCGTGGTGTTTGGGCTATTATCTTGCGTGTCACCCAGTTGGATATAGACTCCGCATCATATCCATGATCTAAGAAGAAATGACTAATTCCCGTGGCTTTGGCGTTCCTTCCATTAATTGCGAGTTGAGCCATTAGTGACAAGAAAGCCCAATTAGTCTGTGTACGGCCACAAAAGTACCGGAGATAGGCTTCAAGTGTCGTGTTCATACTTTCGGTTTGCCCATCGGTCTCGGGATGGTAGGCAGTCGACAGACATCATCGGATCCCCTAGTTGACAGAAGCTTTCCCATATTTCATTAACAAATTGAGCGCCGCGGTCAGACGTGATGGCGCTAGAGATACCATGGTACTGAATAAAGTGTTGGGTGATCCACCCTGACCCTGTCGATGTCGTCGACGACGGCGAAAAATACAGCATGAAGTATGAGATCAGCGACAAGGTCACACCTGCCGACACCTGGAAAACAAGCAATGCGGAGAGATTCCTCTGGGACTTCCTCGTCAACAACGGCACTGAAGACTGGGCGTCGCAGATCACCCAACAGACCATCGGTAGCAGCGAGGGCGGATCCAGTATCGACTGCACCAACTTCCCCGCCGGAAACACATGTAGCCCGCCTCCGTCCGAGCTGTGTGAGAAATATAGCCCCCAGAGATGTACTTCATTCAGATCTCCATGGCGCGCTGCTTCGGTATGTTCCTCCAGATGCACGAGGCCATGCAGGACTACGCCATCGAGCAGCTCTCCTCCGGCATCAAGGGCATTGTGTCGGATTTGGGTACCCCCAAGGTGGATAGCTCGATCGTGCCATTGCTGTTGGGCGTGATGGCCACCGCGTCTAGTTTTGCGCCCACTTTGTGGTTTGTGGGTTCGCCGTTGGCGTTTGCTTCAGGTCTGTTTAGTTCCATGTCGGCGTTGATGAGCGCCAATCCACCTGAGTTGTCTACCAATGACGCTCTTGAGGAACAGTTGGGGAAGGTGTTTGGCCCTGCGCAGAAGCATCTAGAAGAAAGTATTAAGACTATCTTCAACGGCAAACCGCTCTTCCATTGGGACGGTGATTATGGTATTAAGCGCCACATTGCCGATACTTTTGCCGATGGAAAGTTCCTGGATAAGAATATCGTTAATAAGGCGGTGGAGAGCTGGAAGAAGGCCGTTACACATCAGATTGTGAGTTCGACGCTGTGTGAGACTAGGCCGGGGCTGACGGAAGTAGACTCAAGGGTTGGTGGTCAACGCACTGAAACATGAAGGTTATGTAGTCTTCGTCGATGTAAGTTGGTCTCCGGGTACCTTCTCGTATGACCTGACAGTCTCTAGGCCAGCCAAAACGAGGGTTCCTGCAAAGATGCTTCCGGTCAATGGATTGATAGTGTAAGTTGTTTTCGTATCCCACTAGATCCTTCTAGCAGCGACTGACGGTATAGGAATGCTACACCATCGTTAAACAATCCGACCGCGGAACCGGCGATCCCGGATCTCGACCAGAAGAGACCGTCGTTCACATGAACGGGGAGATGATGAAGAAACTCTCTGACTCGGACCATGACTTCGATATGGTGGAGTTTTTCACCAACGCCAAGAACTGCGAAGGAGGCGAGCCTTCCTTTGGAGTGCCCAATTTCGATGAGAACTCGAAACTGCCCACCTGCTTTGTCAACATATCTGTGATGAAAGGGAGTGTGTCACGTTGGTCCGCCCAGTTATCTGTATATAGCATGATCTCTGGTGACCTCGGGGGGTGACAAGTCAGTAAATCCGATCAGATTCGGTTGTTTCATGATATGACGATATGTGAGTCTGCTCCTTTTATAATCAATCTGCTTGTATGTTTTGTTGTACATTAGGGCAAATGCCAAAAAAAAAAAGAAAAAAACAAAAGGCCCCGTGAAATCTTTACTCCAGGGTCATCTCTCACAGTTACGGCTATCGAGCCGGAATATAATAAAGAAAAATACGATATGGATACGAAGCGATAAGCCGTTTAGCGACAATGGAAATATAGGAAAATCAACAGGAGGTCGATCATATGTTACCCATCCCCATTATCTTACGTTTTCGTGCGTACTATTTCGTCCCTCCAGAAGAATGCTGGATGATAAATTTCGCCATTTCCTTTCTCCCTTCTATCTTAAGCGGTGCTTCAGTATGCATCGCTCCACTAACATCCTTCCTTCGGATGTCCAACCCCAGCCTTCGACCATCCCCCTCTAGCTGATCTGCTGCATGTGCAGGAATCACCTCGTCTTTCTCCGCACATAACAGCAGAATTGGAGGAAGGGAGACCGATGATGGGATTTCCCGATAGCGGGCCATCCGTTCCATAGCGATGGAGCTGTTCCAGTTATTCCACAGAAAAGGCCACAGGTACCGATAAGGGAGCCACTTCTGAGGATACAAACTAATCAACATGTCTTTTGTACTGGAGGTGGGTGCTTCCATAATCAAGCCAGTGATCGGGACCGGGGAACCTGCCGCAGTTGACGGCGATTGCCCGCTCTCAAGACGGGACAGATAAGTAGCGACAGCTGTGCTGGCAATAGCCGAGCCCAGGCTATGGCCCCAGAGAATAATCTGGAGATCAGTATCAAGGGTCGTATATGTTTTCGATACCCAGTCTAGAAAGGCTTGGGCGTCCAGCTCAATGCCTGACTGGGTCGCGCGCCCGGAAGACGTCCAATAGCCACGGTACGACAAGGCGACCACGACATAATTAATACCATCAGGGGAGGACGAAGCCACACTCCGTAAAATTGTAGAGAGGAGCGGCAAACGGAGAGGTGTGGAACCTCCGTTTCCTTGGAAGTAGCATATAACGACTGTTTTTCGTCTTGATGCCGCGCCCACGCCTTGATCATGAATATTGCTGGGGTCCTGTTTCTGAGCTACTGGAATACGGCCTTCGCATACCGCTAATTTGGTCCCGTCCAGACTCCGAATCTGCTTTTCTGTCCATTGAACCGGCCTACACTCGTTTTCGTAGTCGGCAATTCTTTCGGATCGCGCAAATGGGGGCAACCAGGAGATGTATAAGAGCTTGTCCTGCAAGAGAACAATCCAGAAACATTTCCAGGCCCACAAGGAGACAAGCAGTCCGATGAAAATAAGCGGCGGCACAAAAACAGGGGAAATAGCGGCTGTTGTAAAAGTTCTCGGACGCTGATGATGACCTGTCTGGATAGCATGATGAGGTCGGAGGATGTATGTCTTCTGCTCTAAAACACTACTGCGAATGCGGTTTGATGGGACGTAAGACTGAGAATATCTCAGTAGGTTACCTAGTCGTATTATAGCAGGGTCGCGCTGTACGCGCTGCCAAACCCATCTTCCCAGCATGAAAAACTAAATATAAGGGAAGTGGAGTAGCAGAAATGTAGAGTCGCCAGATGTCTCGAATGAATGGGCGATGGAAATGGCCAAAATGGTCGGAGGCGGAGCCCAGTCTTGGCGGTGATGACTAAGCACTTGAGAATTCACATCGCCAGTATAGTATAGGACAGTATAGTAAGCTCTCTAGTCCCTGCGTATTATCCAGGGGGAATAAATTTTATCCCCGGATAGATTGGTGTCTTTTATCCAGCCCGAGGTATGCTGAAACTAGCACTGTTACCAGGCAATTGCTTCAATCTATGAGCTGCATTTGTCCTAGCTTTCAGGATTACAGGCGGCCCAGTAGCTGCTGATTGAAAAGCACAAATATAAAAGTAAGTATAGGCAGCTCTTGGCCTCCTACAAAGGTAGTAAAGTAGGCTATAAGCTATCTCAACGACCCTCTGTAGGATGACTAGGTCACCCATCGGAACCAAATAATATTTATAAACTCATCATCCTCTACTCCAGTCGACATGCACGAACACTACCAATCATATTTGCTCATGCTAGGAGGCAAATCCTCCTTTCCAGTCCCCCAGCCACTCTCTGTTGAACCCAGATGCAATTCTAACACGCCACCCTCTGTGAAAAAGTCATGGCCAATCCAGTTTTTGCTCCACCGCTTACCGTCGCGCTTGGCACTCTGGATGTAGATTGACTTATAGCTAGGATCAAAGTTAATGTTGCGTACTGTCGCGACCTTCCCGGTGTCACGGTTGCGAATACTGAATTCCTTAAAAAATGGTGGACTGATCAGATAAACATCCTGTCCGTGGACCGGGAAGAGACCCATCATGCTCAGGGCTGCAAAAGACCCCATGGCTCCACCATCGTCGTTTCCAGGGATTCCTGAGACAGAAGTATTGAACTGGGATGGAATATAATAATGTGCACGCTTAGTTGAAAGCGCAGGTCGTCCAGCATAGTGATATTGGAAGACCGTTAAGAAAGCCTGCTCATCACCCACATAGAGTATCCCGGACTCATGCAGATAGGAAAGGCGCTCTGTGAAAGACTTGGGACCTCCAAGTTGTGTAATCAGTGCAGCCATATCTTGCGGCACATAGCTATTTTCCAAAGTTAGCCCTATTCTTCGAAGAGCATAGAAAGAGCGCTGTACATACAACGTGTATAGCCAGCAACTACCCTCATAAGTTTCATGTCCATTCGCATTGAGATAGCACGAGTCGAAATTCATCAATGGACTGCAGAAGATAGGGTCCTGGTAAGCCCATGTGCCATCCGGCAGCCGAGGCTGTACAAAACCCGTGAAATTGGTGTCCACCCCTTTGATATAGGACTTTTGGTCTTCCTTGAAAACATTCTTCCAGTTAGAGGCGCGTTTAGTGTACTTCTCATAATCATCCTGACGATCCAGGAGGTGAGCCAACTCCGCAATGCAGAAGTCGTTGTATGCATATTCGAGCGTTCTGGAGACCGAACGAGTGTGCAGTCCCGTGCCATCCGTATCAACATCATCTTTTGGAATATACCCGAGTTTTTTCCAACTTCTAAGACCTCCACGGCCTTCCACATCCCAGTTTGGAGGCTCAATTTCTGCATCCTTTATGACTGCTTCATAGGCAGTGTCCCAATCAATATCGGCAACCTTCTTTAAGTACGCCTCCGTAATCAGGACATCGGCGTTTGAGCCACCTTGTGTGTAGCCTTTGCAAAGTGACATACGGCAGTCAGGTAGATACCCTTCATGACGATAAATATCAACGAGACTTCGCATCATAAGCGACTGAGATAGCGGGTCCATCAGCGTCAGCAGCTGGTGGACGCCACGATATGAATCCCAGATGCTGTAGAAAGGTCTTTATCAGCAATTAACCATTGACATGCCCGCACATTACATGGTGCTCACCAGTAGTAACTGTCATAATACGGCTCATCGCTTTCCCAGAGTGGGTTCTCCCCGGTGTAATCCTGGGGACTAATCATGGTACGGTATATTCCGCTCCAGAAGACTTTCTGCAGATCAGTAGAAACCCCGTCAGCATTAACACGGATGACGCCCAGCTTCTCTCTCCAGGCCTTTTCGGCCGCAGACACAGTGCCAGCAAAGTCAAAGTGGGGTTGTTCTCTCTCAGCATTCTCGCAGGCCTGCTCCACACTTATAAAGCTTACGCCCACGCGGGCCATTATGGTGGAATGCGCTGTTGGCGCATGGAGCCTAACAAAGGTGCCCGCGGATGCCGAGGAAGCTGTACTACTTTCGACCGAAATGAAGCTCTGGTCTGGGTCCACATCATTATTCTTCCATGATCCGGTATCACGAATCTTGGGCCCCTTGACATCGGCACAAAAGTGGAGCTCATAGGATCCCAGACCAAAGCTGGGGTTGAACGTGCCATTTCCTGTGAGACGTCCAGTTGATGGGTCCACCGAAGCCATGCCTTTGGAGCGAGATTGTGGTAGGTCCATTAAGTCAACAAGAACAACTGGATTAAGTGGTTCAGAAACATCCCCAAAGCTGAACCGATATAGAGCCGATCGGTTCGTGGTTGTCATTTCCGCACTGACGCCATTCTCTAGCTGGATGCTGAAGTATCCAGGCCTAGCCTTGACGGAATCCTTTCTCCAGACAGTTGCCCTGCTGGATTGCTGCCATTTACAATTGCTAAGGTCGTCTTGCGGACAGTTCGGGTGAACAAAAATGGGGAAATTGCCCAAAGATGGTGACTAGTAGAGGTAAGCCATCCCTAGACATGAAATGAACCACACCTGTAGAACCACTTACACCTCCAGTCCCAGAGTCATGCATATGAGAAAAGCCAGTGACCATGGTTGTGTCATAAGAAAAGCCACCCTGGTTCTCTCCCTGCGTGTCAGCCACAGCCTTGGCCATGCCTATTTCTGAGTTAGAAGGATGATTGCAGAATGTGCGAACCTGAAGGAAACTCACCAAAGGGCAAGGTTGCTCCAGCAAAAGAATGTCCTATTATTTTGATTAATCAGTGGGGCGTACAGAGGGGTCCAGTGAGTATGTTACCTCCATTCGCTGTGCCAATTAGGGGATCAACATAATCTAAGATGTCTCTTTTGTGTCCATCACTATCTTCTGCACACACAACATAAGGTAAAAGCACACAGATTGTGAGTTTACCGACGAGTTTCATATAATGGGCATGTAAGGCCATGCTGGAGCGTATCGAATGTGCCAGCAGGGTTATTTCGGAAGAAACAGAGAGTCAGGCAAATGGTATCCCAAGAGGCTTATATTAGAAACGATTTACGCGCCCAAGGCCTCTTGTTATTCTCGCTCCATAGAATGGTGATTGTGGCTGGATGAATGCTACCCCTAACAGAGTCACATGGGACCACATTCCACGGAAGTATTACTGGCCCGATGAGTGAAAATGGAGGAGCCAAGTCCATTGACGCCTAGGGTCATTGAAGGAGAGACGATGTGGACACTGGGAGCTAGGCATCTCGAACGTATCCAGTAGTCCTATCACATCAGTAGCACCCCCGCACAGAAACAAAGCACAGCGGCAACGGGCAGCAACGATTGACGAAGAAACTACCCAAACAGGAAGGCTAACCTTCTGCAGTCACATCAGTCCAGTGGGAATGGTATGCATGCAACACCGCAAGGGGTCAGTCTAGCCACTAGTGGCTCGAACTTTCGGAATTTGATCGGAACGCCATTGTTTCCCCGCAATTCTCGCTCGAATCTGAAAGATGAAACTAAATTGAACAATGGAGGAATCCAACCCCACGAGTGTAAATAATTCTGTCAGTTGTCAGTTGAAAGGGACCGACCTAATTGTTCGGCGTATTGTATCTGTCTATTGCTCCATGGTCCTGAAATATTATTCATATTGTTCGGTCGATGCAGGGCTGACCCTAGTATCACCACAACCGAAGGAAGCGTCAATAGCCCATTTTAAAATGCATAGTTGCATTGATTCCCAGTCGGTGGTGGCTCTTTCACTGCAGTTTTCCAATCTCTTATCGTTTCCAAGCAAAATCGTATGCTGCACTGCCTACCTCAGTGCTAACGATTGAAGAGTAGCCGTCAATCCCGCCCACTAATCTACACAATGGGAGCCTTTAACGAATAACCAGATGGTGGCATAATAAGCCTCAATTCCGTTGTAGATCCCAGAAAGGTCAAAATCGCTCTAGAACAAAGAATTCGCATATCGAATTCTCTCCGCTCGTAAAGCATAATTCTATCGTTAATAATGGTAAACTGGATGTCTTTTTGTGCCAAGGGAATGAATTGGCGCATGCTGCATCATCCAGGAAGCCTTAAACGCCACATTTCAGGGCACAAAGCCTGGCCAAACTCAAATCATGTTGATCATAATTCTATCCCAAGATTTTCCGCTTATGTCGTTCGCCGATCTTGGTATATTCATGGATGTGTTAACCGACTGAGAATTGACAAAAGGCTCACGTGTCGGTAGGTTTGCATTAAAGGTAATCTCTCATGTTCTTGTTGTTCTTATGCCGTAGGCCAGCGCTCTCCTCTTGTAATAGCCGAATCCCATCCTCCAGCAAATCTCGCGATTCAAGAGCCACCATCATTGATCCTAATTTTGAAAGAAACTCCGGTGAAAGTTCCTGGTCGGCAGAAAGTGCCCATTCGCGACCAAGAACTCTTTGGCCCTTGACAAGTAGTCGGGCTGAGCTGTAGTAGTTGATTTGCTATGTGGGTGGCTATGCTTTCTATCAGTTTCAGGAGAAGACGGAGCCGATACATTGCGCAGACCCAGAAAGAGGGGCCTGACGTTTCTAATGGCCTACGATTATGAGAACCCTTATACGCCGAGTGGTTAGCAACCCTACTAAAGCTACTCACATTAGGTGTGCCAGCCGGAGACAAATTGGATGATGCAAGAGACGTGTCAAACTGGGGAACTGATTCGTCTCATTGATACGGTTTACGGATGGACACTAGAACCGCCCTAATTGTGGTAGCAGTCCTGCGACGTTTTCAAGGCACTCCCACAAGGAATCAGACGATCCGGATTGTTACATTCTGAGCAGACAATGTTGTATTGCCTCCCAACCCCTGAAAGAAGTCAGTCGAGGGTATCTGATATTTGTTTTAAAATAAGGTACTGACTGGTCCACTCCTGGTCCACTCTTCATAGACACGGCTTTTGTCTACGTTGCACATATCCAGCGAGCTGGCCCCACAGAGCAGGTAATATGGCATCGATTGAAGAATTCGTTCATCCTCCGGTTGATAATACGAAGGATTAGTTACCACACTGCTTTGCCGCATGCATGGTTACCATGGGCTTACGCTGATAGTAGAGGTCTGAAGCATTCTCAGTGATGATGCTGGATCATTGACTTGCCGCGATACAGACTGCCAAGCACAAGGGGAAAACACTCGATATCGGCGCAACGATATTCCGGATCGCGTGTCGTTGCTGAGTCAATCGCCGACGCACTTGGAGCCGCCAAGGACCCCTTGCTAGAGAAGCTTTCTCCGATGCAAGTTTCGAGGCCAAGAATGTCATCTCGTTCTTGGAAACTAACTGTGTTGATGGTCACAGAGGGTATGAGATGGCTTTGGATCTCCCTGGGATGATGGTTATTTTCCGTGGTCGTGCGAGAAGACATTACATCCCTCCCATTTGAGATCGTGCGCGTATTGCTGAGAAACAATGCCCGGAGTTCCGTCCAACAAGGCCTGTGAGCGCTGTAAGAAGAGGCATCTCAAGGTATGTCCTCACGATGACACACTGCTGCGGCCTTAATTTAACCATTTCTAGTGTGACGAGACGCGTCCAAGCTGCCAGCGGTGTGCCAATGCTGGCGTTGAATGTCCCGGATATGTCCAGACTCGAAAATTTATAGACCAAGGTGCCTCAGTAAGGCGGCGATATGCGCCATACAAAGAAGGCAACCCTAAATCGAATGCGGCGAAGACATCAGATAGTGTACGATCATCCCCCTCTCCCTGAATTTCATGTCTATGGCATTCGTCCAAACTGACATTTATGTAGACGGCCGGTGATCATCCACCAGCCAATGCTACTTTGCTGCGTTCCGACTTAGCTGCCTCTACAGGTTGGCAATCTGGCGCAATGAACTACTCTGATATGCAGTCACCCATCCAGGATCTACGAAGCGATCAAGTGAATGCACCTTTTCATGTTGGCCCAGCCGCTCAGATGACAAATTCCACCGTTGCTGAAGTAGTGCCCGTTGACGTCTCAGGCCCGGGGCAATCAAGCAATGGTTCTAGCAGAAGTGTTGATCTGAGTCCAATAACGCCAAATAATGCACCCACTGAGCCATTTAGTGCCATGAACAATTCGTACCGCGAAAACAGGCAAATGCAAAGATCTCCGAACGCGGGTTTGATCCAATCAACGAGCCCCTCCCAACATAGCGAGAGGGAAGAGTTTCAACATATCTTTTCCGAACTGATGAAAGGTACAGAGCATGAAATAGCTTTTCTCATCCGGTATTTCTCCGAAACGCTTAGTACTTGGTACGTTTTGTTTTGGTGAATATTAATCTTTACATATTGCTCATTCTACATAGGCTAGATCTCTCAGACTCGCGCAAGTTCTTTGGAGCTTATGTTCCAGTACGCTCTATCAATGAATCATTTCTCAAGTTTTCCATTGCGGCCCTTTCCGCGAAACACCTTGGTCGCATGAAAGGAGCAACAGTGCACGTTACTAGTGGGATGTTCACGAGCCCTGCAACAATGGAGACGTATCCGAACGCCGCGCAGGTAGACTGGTTTCTTAAGGCTGCCAATTACTACTTCCTAGCTGTTTCCCGTATGAACTCGAGCATTTCCGATACCTACACGTCGGCGTCCAGCTCTGCTATTTTAGAGTCGCCAATTGAGATCGTTCGGAAATGGTTAAATCTCCACGTGCAGCAGCCTACATCTCAAACACTCGCGGAAGAAGCGACGGCTAGCACATTCTGGAGGAAAACAGAGAACCTGTTAGCTGCTTCGGCAATCTTAACTATGTACAAGTTACTCGATGAAAAAGGCGAAAACTGGCAATCGTAGGTGTTCCTTGCCATCATGATTTCCTTCTTCGTGAGCTAATTGCACCCACGATCAGACAGCTCAGAGGCATTAGGCCATTATTTGAAACCTTGTTGGAACTGCATACCTCCAAATCAGACCGACCTGAATTCTCCCAAGGCGCTACAGCGGCATTTTGGAACTTTGCCCGGCAAGATTACCTCGCCTCATATTACACACGTTGTCCACCGCACTTCGATCACCAGAATCTCCCTTTATGGCGAGCTGTAGGCCTTCCCATCGACCAGCAAGGGAACATATTGTCATTCGAATCCCGTTCTCCCAATATAGCCACTCCCCGTTCGCCCGAAGACTTCGCAGCAACCAGTCTCATCTGGCTCCTCAACAAAGTTATCAACTTCCTAGCCGAATCCAAGAAATCCCAATTAGAACAATGGACCGGTCAAACACCCAACGTCCCTTCCTCCACCCTGACAATCACCCCCACCACTACCACTCCCCCCCGATCCTACCCAACAACATCAGCCTGGCTCAAACTCTCCTTCGAATTTCAATCCTGGCTTGAACGCATACCCGAGACTTTCCGCCCATGTATACGTCTCGAACACCCAAAAGACGTCTCCAAGCTCCCTGAAATCCACCACATGCCATTCCCCGAGATCTTTTACGGTCTTACCTCCTGTGCCGCAGCAATGCAGCAGTACCATTTCGGTCGTCTCGCGCTCTCGTTAAACCGCCCATCAGACGAAGTCACGGGGCCAAGTACCGCTTTCGATCGTCTCCAGGGCTATCGCGATCTCATGAAAGAGACTGATTATAGATGTAAGGAGATCTGTGGTATTGCGCTCTCGCGTCCGAAAAGTGCTGCGCGCTTCTACATGGTTCCGCTTTTGTATGCCGTCGGGCAATGTTTTGAGAATCCGGAGGAACGTCAGATCGTTACGGATTTGCTGCGTGGAATCGAAGCAGACTTGGGGCTGGCGACTGCGGAACAGTTGCAGAAGTTGCAAAGTGCGTGGTGTCAAACTTAGATGGTGGGTTTAGTGTTTGTTGGTTCTTCTTGTCTGGTGTTATAGACAGTTGCTGGATGATATCATGTGATGAGCATACTGCCTGGTTTGCTACTCTATCCTGGGCGGTTGATACTAACAAGCTTATTAACTATATATTGTATCATCGCGAGGGAATGCGGAACTATTCACATGAATGCTAGGATCCTATAAGTTTACAATACAAGCTGACAAACATAGACGGTTAATCATTGACTATGAGCAAAGTATATGAAACTGCTCAATCACATTAATAGCACTTGCTGTCCCCTTTATTGCCAGTCAAAGGACGCTCTGTGCATGGTTTTGTGCCATGCAATCCGGTCCAACGTCGGTCTATGGCTAGTACCGATTTCGTAGCTTTTTGCATACGCATATGCTGACTAGTCGAAGTGGGGAATAGTTGAGAGGTAGACATACCAGGTATATGATATTATGCCATTTTCCTGGCCGTCGTAATGGTAGATATCGAGGATAAGGACTAGATGAGGGTAAGACATGGACGTCCGCGTAGTGCCAATACTTTAGACAAGGGCCCATAGTATGCATGTTGTTTCCGACTGTCTCTATGTCCGTAAGATGGAGAATCCTCGGTGATGGTTGAGATCAACCGTAGATAGAGGGCCGGCTATGCAAGACCAACTTAAAATCACTATGGTGTATCCCACAGCCAGCCAAGAGGTATTACAACCATACTGACAAATACTCAAGTTTCGAAACACCCTTAATGTGTGCAACGATCAAACATCATCATCCTCAGGATCATACAGATCAAGATCAAGAGTAGCCTTAGGTTTCGGCGGCGGAGCACCCGATCTGCCTCCACTATTTGCCATCGACCCCGCATGAGCCGCAGCCTTCGCAGCCATATCTGCATGTTGGGTATCTTCCCCAGGATGTACATGAGCAGCCGCCTTCGCGACACCAAATCCCTCCGCCTCACGAATAAGCCGTTCCACCTCCTGATCAGGATCCAATGATGACCCGCCCTCCGCGGCAGCCAGCTGAATCTGACCCATAAGACCCATTCGTATCCGATCCTCCGTGGGATACGGCAGCATATAAATCTGCCGCGTCATATTGGCCGACTCGTCCAGCCAAAACGTCGCATCCTTGGTAACGGATGACACCGGCTCCGCAGGGTCAGTATCTGCCCCGTTGACTCCTGACATGTCCATGTCGTGATCATGCCCCTGCTCGATCTTCTTTCGCGCTTTGGCCTCGTTGATTCCCTCCGCTGCGTCTGCCGCTGCTTGATGGTTGTATTTGCTGATCCGTCGCGCGAAGTCCAGGAGGATTCGATAGTCTATCTCCTTCGTGCGTCGAAGTTCGGATTTGCGACCGAGCATAGCATCGTCGTTGTCTTCGTCGGGCCCGTCCGAGCTATCATCGGACTCCGACTCGGAGTCATCGCTATGGCCGCATGCTGTTTGAATATCTTTCTCGTAGCTCACTATGTCTCGCACTATGGTCTTGACCCTTTCCTCTAGACTTTCGGCCTCCGCTCGCAGCTGCAGTATTTTCGCATAGTTTGCCTGGTGAGTGCGGAGGGTATCCACCGCCGAAGTGAGCGAGTCGTCCGCGTCGAGGAGGTTGAGTGCGGCGGCGGGTGCCCCGGCGGCAGTGGGAGAGGTTGTCAGGCTGACGATGAGCGCGTTGAGTTTCGCTTCGAAATCCGAAAGGGTCGCTTGGAACTGCGCGTTCATCTTAGGCGAGTGCTGGTGTGTGTGTGTGTGTGTGTGTGTGTGTGTGTGTGTGTGTTTTAAACGCGTCGATCGTTCAGCGGAATGAGTGGCACGTGCAAAGTAGCTGCATCACATGATCCGCATGCATCCAGCCAATCGCAGTGAACGATGGGATGTTTATGAGTTGAAGTACAGGAAGAGCACAACAGGGATAAACAGAGCGGCGGCTTTAATTGTACTAATGGACAGGCAGATATACAGTCATAATCCCTACCATTATGTTCTGTTACTTGAAGTATATACATCTTCTGTCACTTCTACTCTTTACCAAGTTTGACAGGGATTACAAACAAGAAAATTGACCTGACTTAAGAGGCCTTTATCAAGACCTCCGCGTTCTCAATATGATATAACTATATATATGTACACAGAGATAAACGATAAATATATACACTGGGGAGAGAGAACACCGTCAGGCCTCAAACAGAATCGTAATATTCAGAGCCCGCTGAATTCCGGCTCATCCTGATGTGGGCCCGTCTATATATTTAAGCGTAATATCAATACTTCCAACCTACCCCGCCAAAATAATGCGCTAGCGACACGTACCTTCTCAGACAAATCCCTAGGATTTCACAAAACTCTATGGCTACATCGTCGCCACTTCTTCCCTCCTCTCCTGTAATCTCTCTCGGCCGCAATGTCATTCTCCAACCCCCGCTTTCGCGCTGCGGCCATGGACCGGGTCTAGTACTCATGCGACCGGGCAGCCACGCACCCTGCGAACTCGACAAAAAGAGCCTGGACCCGCCCCCGGTGCAGAAGTGGGCAGAGGAGAGCTATGCAGTGGTGCAGGTCACTCTGGATGAGGATTCGAAGTCCGAGTCGTTGGATGATCTGGTGCGGACGGGGATGGAGGCACTAATGTCTCTGGCTGAGTGTGATAAGAAAGATAAATTCGGGCTGTTAGGTATGTTAGTGCGTGCCGCTTATGTCTAGTTTGGTCTTGTTAAGGATTGATTAGTCTATGGATCTACGGCGGACTACGTATCCGGCTTTGGAGAGGCTCTCCGTGATGTCGCGCGGAAATTCACGGCAGTTGTTTCCTTCACTGATTGGGGTATTCAAGGTCCTGCCATGCTGCTCCACGTTGCAGGATTGGGGAAAGTGAATACACAGGCAGGCGATCACAGAATTTATTCGTATCCATCGGCCGTGTCGTCGGGTTTTATTGTACCTGGAAATGATGATTTCAGGCCCTCGGAGGCGACAGTGGCACACTCGCGGTCTCTTACTTTTCTCAAGGAGTCTCTAGATGGACCGTATTTCGATCTCGAAAAGATCTGGGACGAACACACGTACTATGAGTTCAGTGACCGGTCAGTGGAAAAAACCATGGCAACAATGGTGCAGGAGCCATATGTGAATCATGTGCCGACGGTGAGTCATATCCAAAATCCTATCCATAGCCTTGATGCCCAATTGAATTACTGAGTTGAGTAGTTAACGGGTGGAATCGGACATTCCAAACTAAGTAACTTCTACCTGAACCACTTTATCTTCAACAATCCTGACGACACGGCTATTGAGCTGATCAGTCGCACGGTCGGGATTGACCGGGTCGTGGACGAATTCATCTTCTGCCTGACGCATAATAAGCAGATCGATTGGCTGTATGTGCTGCATACGTTGTGTCCGTGGATATGCACATGTTGCATGATATCTAACGATCCACAGAATCCCCGGCATTCCACCGACTGGAAAATATCTCCGTATCCCATTCACGTCCGTCGTCAATATCCGTGGCGACCGGCTGTATCATGAGCATATAGCCTGGGATCAAGCAACTGTGCTAGTTCAACTGGGTCTGATGCCGGAATATCTCCCCTTCCCATATGCGCTACCAGATGGCCGCCTCCCAGGTCCAGGGAAGCGATTCGAATATCGTGTACCGGCCGCTGGGGTGGAGACCGCGACTAAATTGCAGAACGAACACCTAGTGGCGTCGAATCAGATGTTCGAGTATTCGATTCGCGAAGTGGATGCATGAAGGCACAGCATGTACATGTGGACCTAGTTTGAATTTGAATAAACCACAGGAGATAATCGTGTCCTGAAGAGAATTCAGGGCTTCCCCCACTTCCCCTCTTTAATCCTAGTAGTGTAAACCAACACCCCAATCTCATCGACCCATATCAGAGACAACACAACTCGTAGGAATTCACAGAAAAATGCTTCGTCGCACGGCCATTGTCACGGGTTCCGTACGGGGGATGTAAGTTCCAACCAACTGCACGCTGATCGGGACACAACTCACCATTCCAGTGGGAAGGCGATCGCCCTCCGACTCGTCCAAGATGGTTATTCCGTCTGTGTCAATGGCCTCCCCAACTCTGCACGGGAAATTCAAGCCGTCGTGGACATGATCAACAACAGGACTTCCACCGACAACGTTGTCCCTGACCGTCCCAAGGCCATAGGTGTCCCCGCGGACGTGACCTCTGGTAAAGCCGTCGAGGCGATGGTACAGAGAACCGTCAAGGAACTAGGGCCTCTCACACTGATGGTGGCCAACGCGGGCATTGCACAGGTTAAACCGTTGCTTTCTGCGACTGAGGCCGACATCGATCAAGTCATGTCTGTTAACTTCAAGGGATTATTCAATTGCTATACGCATGCGGCGCGGCAAATGATCGCGCAGGGAGACCCGCAGTTTGCGGCGGGGGTAGTAGGTGTGTACAAGATCCTTGGAGCGGCATCCATCGTGGCAGTGAAACCGTTCGCAACACTAGGGATCTACTCGGCCAGTAAATGGGCGGTGCGTGGTCTGACACAGGCTATGGCGATGGAGATGGCACCACATCGTATCACAGTGAATGCGTATGCACCAGGGATCGTGGACACTGATATGTGGGAAGGCATTGACCAGAAGTTGGGTGAGATCCAGGGGCGTGCAAAGGGGGAAAGCTTGCGGCCGTACTCGCATCAGTTCATCGCGATGGGACGCACCAGCGTATCCCAGGATGTGGCCGGGCTAGTTGGGGGCTTTTTGGCCAGTAGTGATTCAGATTATATGACGGGGCAGACGATGGTGGTAGACGGGGGAATTGTGTTCACCAAATACTCCGTAGTATTCACCTGATAGGTAATCGTGTTCACCTAATTTTGTTAGCGCAGGGTTCTGGTTGGAGATCCACTCCGATAACCTCAATGGCTAAGCTTTTTTTACCGCATTGAGGCCCTTCGTGGGGGCGATGACAAGGCTGCATTCAAACTGTGTATGAATCTGGGCAAATATTGTCTGATTTTAATGAGTATCGGATAAATACTACTGCTGATGGCTCTTGTATTCCTGTAGACGAGATATCATCCCATCTTCCTGAGAGAAATAGCCCTGTTGTGCAACAACTGGTGGGATCCGAGGGCGCCGTGACTGGCAGGCAACCACAATTCCAGTCCCGTCAGAGCCTGACACATGCGCTATACAAAGAAATGGGTCTCGGCAGGTCGATCACCTGCCATCATCCCCAGGCATCCACGTAAATCCCCTCACTCTCCTTTGTCTTTCTTCCCTATTTCTTTCCTTATGCCATCCGCAGTGTTGGCCAACCACCTCTTCTTTCTAGCCAACTTTGAGCACTCATTTCAACATGTTACTGCGCTTCCTATCTGTGACAGGAGCCCTCTGCCTCAGCAGTGCTGTTGCAGCGTCTCTCCCTCCTAAAGAGCCATCGGCCCGTCTTCATGAGGTCAATCTTCCTTACGGAGAATCTTCTCATCATCCTGCACGCTACTTGGTATGCTCTCAGGACATTATCTAGAGTACAGGATAGAGCAGTGTTTAACTCAACTAGGCCGTCAACTTCACTGTGGAAAACACCACTTTACGCGCCAACAACGACACCATCTTCCCACAGACTTTCCCCATGGAATTCACCGCTATCCAAAACCAGGGACACAAGCAAAAGTCCCTCCGAATAGCATACTCGCTTGAGACTCGACCAATCCTGGCTTCTCCAGACACTCTCGGCGAGGCCTACCTATTCAAGCTCAAATTCTTTGACATGCACGGTGATCTCGCAACAGACCACCTAGTGCTCCTCACCATCACCACCGACTCCAACGGGGTTCTCACAATCACAGAAGTAAACACCACTCCGCTTCCTCATCACATCCACTCAATGCAGACCAACTGCCTCGATCGTCCCAAATCCAACCCCGCCCCCCAAAAATCCTGGATCGCTCAACTGGGTGGAACCCTCAGGATCTTCAAATTCGGCACAAAAGGCTGCAAAGACATCATGACAGGGACCTCCGTACCCAAATACCACCAGAAGCTTCCTAGACTCAAACCCAAACCCAGACCTGGACCGAAAACCCATGGTGGGAACGACAAAGGCCACCACCACCCGGACCCTCACCGCACTGTCGCCCCTTCAGGCCGCTACCATCATCCGCATTACTGGCATGGCTCGCAACAGAATTTCAGCAAGCTCGTCAAACCGATCATTCTGCCTGCCGTACTGGGCGCCATCACGGGATTGACCGCATGCGTGTTAGGATTTGCATTGGGTCGGATCATCATCGCTCTGTATCATTGTTGCTATGGCAGGAATAAGAAGCAGAGACGACATGACGTCTCTGAGATTCTGATTGATGATGCAGAGAGGAAGCTTGTAATCTTCTCGGGGAGAAGAAAAGGCTACTGAGGGATGAGTGTAGGATGGAATAGCTTTCTTAGTAAATATTTCCTATCGGTTAGTTTCGTTAGATTCATACATATATTATATATCTGCACCTATACGCACTTGGTTTTCTAGAGCCACTGCAATTTTCCCCCTCTTGATGCCGCCGCTTTAATGAGGGTACTCAGGGGCTTGCTTAGTGAGTATTTCACATCAGAGGTCACTGCCACTGAGATTAAGCCAACTTCACTCGCGCGACCACGAAAAGGACCCAGAAAACTGATGGTAATTAAATGATTATTAAGTGGCAAATTGTCTGAAGCAAGTGCATATATTTGCAGGCTATAATAAATAAACTGCGCATTGTGATTTCGACGAAACCATAAGAATGTGTATTCTTCCCATGTTAAGGACTATGGATTCCATGAGACTTTAGAATTTTACTAAAAATTCATTCCATAATTAATCTTTCTTATTTTGTCCTGCTTTCTCTTTTATGCCCTTCGTTTCTTCCTCATTTGATGACCATGGGCAAAAGATCCTTTTAACCAGGTGAAGATTCCTGTGGAAAACACCGTGAGCGTTGCGCGGAAAGAGTCTAGAAAGCAGACTTTCAGCCGTCGACTTTGAAAAAGAAAGAATATAGGAAAGCATTAGTTCATATTTAACCTTCCAAATTGCATCGTTACCAAGCCCGGTGGGTTTAAGAAAGACTAGCAAATTATAAGCAGAGGCAAGAATAATCTGGAATACTTAGAGGGCAATGCATGCACCCGTGCCTTGTACATTACTATATCTGAACTAGGCTCTACCAGTAGAGCAGAGATGTCTTTCGCCGAGCTACTCTCCATTAATAAGAAGTTCCTATTTACAAAGCACCTATTAACAGAGTGCCATTGTAAGCATAGTATAGTGTATCTCCCTAATAAAACTCCGATTGATAGCTAAGGTTCCAAGACTACTTGTAGAGAGAACATCCAGGAGTAATCGAACATTTATTAATGCTATTTCTACAAGGGGATATGAACTGATATCCGTATTCGAACCAGCCCTAATTGTCAGTAGACTTGTGCATGTTAAACAGCTCCAGAATTTTGATAGGTTATTAGTTCATTTGGAGGTATCGGCGCTTTAGATCAGAGCGAGAATCCGCCGAGTTTAGCTCTTTTGTGTATGATAACTTGAGGAATGGATTTCCTGCAAGATAGATGTCCAACTCGCAGGGTGCAAAGCAGTTTGAGGAATTGACTGTGACCAAGTCCGTCTTTTCTGCATTGAGTAGCTCTCGTTTACCTTCTTTTAGTGCGCCTTATTAGACCTGCTTGAATCATAGTTCTTAGAACTCATAAACTCTTGTCGCCTAAAATCCCACAAGAGACCATTTCCAAACTCATCTACCCCTTTATCTCCCGCATTGTTTTCAACCTCCAATTCAAACTTCCGCTCCATCAACATCCACATCAGAAGATTTCCCGAGTGACTGCCGACCCGAATCTCCACCAGTCCCAGCTGTGTAGTCCGTACTCCCCTTGTGCAGAGCCTCATACGTATACCCCTTTCCTCTCGCAAACGGTTGAAGCATCACCCCCGCTACACCAGCTCGGGATCCATCACTCTCCTGTTTATGTTCGCAGCAAACGCTGGTCCAGCCAATTCCGGCAATCCCAAGGGGCGTTTGGTGCCGCCAAATCAGGAAGTTAGTGGTTGAGAGACAGTTGTCCATCTTTGAGCAATCTCTTCGAGCTCTTCGGTCGTGGCTTCGAAGATGAACTTGTCGAATTCAGAGTTTGCTTGGTTGCCTAGGATGTCGAGTAGGACGGAGATATTATCACTAGTTGGGAGACAAAGTGACAGTTCCGTTGCTATGGATTGAGCCTGAAGTGCGAGTCACCCCGACAGCCGACTGTTTGGTATGATGGCGAAATTGATGAGTGTGCGACATGGTCTTTGGCCTTATTTGCTCCCTTGTTACAGGCTGTTGTGGAATTCAGGGGAAGGGATACGCAGAGTGCTATAATCAGCTACAGGCCGACCCTTAGCCTAACTAGGCAGTAGATGTTATATGTGGAAACACCAGGAATGATAGTATCTTAACCAACTGAGTCTCTTACATTCCTAAGGTGCTCGACCTCTTCGGTGATCACCCACACTACATCTACTTCAGGGCTTGGTAGCTGACAATAGATCGACACATTGGTGTCAGGTTCAAAGAAGTCACTGTCGATGCCCAAATGATGTCCTAACATGGACTATCATGATTCTGACTGCTTCCACACACATGTATCTAGCTAGTTGGTTGGGAACCATACCATGTTTGAGATGTCCCATCTAGTCCGCTCTAGATTTATCATTCGCTTTCTGTCCATTCATCTATCTGCTATCTCTAATGGTCAAGATGTTTAACTGTTTACGAATAAATGTATGGTCATATGCATCTTTTAAATACTGGGTTAAAGGTTAAAATAGTGCTGGTGATGTACAATATGGATGAAGACCATACTTCTGAAGCCATTTTCAGTACAAGCTATTATTTGCGGTAACTAAATTAGTTTCAGGAATTCATCTTGATTTCCCTTAACAAGAAACCCCAACAGCTTTGCAGTTAAAGCACCACGTAGCTGATCTCCGCGAGGAAGCCGCCACTCCTACAAATATATATATACCTAAGAGGGAATCGAGTGGACACGCTCAGGGCCGCACTTGCTGGAAACCTGGAGTCCTTTGTGGATAAAACTACGCATTTGCAAGTTGAAAAATAAAATAAAAAATAAAAAACCAAGAATGTTCATTACCGTACAACCTGTTAACAGTTGCACTATTATCTACTCATTAACATAACCCGTAATTAGCATATACAATACAGTCGGGTCTATCGCATATCATCAGCTGTGGATAGCAAATCTTCGTGGCTTCACTTGTAACGCCATTCCGTGTCCCAGAATCCAGCTATTAGTCATTTAGAGTACGAAGGCAGCCACCAGTCCCAGGGCTCCGAGAGCGCCACTGCCAATGGCATTAAGGGGAGCAGCCGAGTTACCTGTCCCAGAGGTGGAAGGCGCAGTACCGGTCGCAGAGCCAGAGGTTCTAACGGAGCTCGTGCTCGATGCGCCGGATCCATTGCGGGAGCTAGAGCTACCAGTGCTCGCAGTGGTGCTCAGAGTAGAGCTCTCGGATCTGGAGCGAGTAGTAGACCCAGTGATCTAAATATACTTAGTACGCGATCACGCCAGTCTAGACCAGGGGCCTTACCGTCTCAGAACCGCCGGTTCCAGTAGAAGTATCACCGGTGGTGGTGCTGGAGCCGGTAATCGTGCCAGTCTCCGACCCAGTCATCGATCCAGAGGTGCCCGTAGTTTTACCAGAGCCAGAGGTCTTGCTGCCAGAGCCGGAGCTCGAGCCGGTGCCAGTGACAGTACCAGTTGGGCTAGCGCCACCTGTATGAGTTCCGGTGGACGAAGCTGAAGAGCCCGAAGAGCCTGCGACAGCAAGTCAGTTCGATTCTAGGGGATGCATTTGCAGAGCACTGTACCAGAGTCAGGGCAAGACGCCAGGGCAACCGCAACGACAGCGTTCGCATCGTCGCCAGGACAGGCCTGCGAGGTGCAATCGCGGACACCGAATCGGTAGTTGTCAGTCTTGCAGAGGCAAGCCATGTCACCGCTGGAGCAGCCCAACTCGGAGGCCTTATTGTTCATGTTGTTGATACACATTCTCTAACGGGGAGATTCGTCAGTACTATGTTACTTGGTCAAGGACACTGCAAAGCGAACATACCGCGCATTCACCGACCGTAACATCGGCGCTCACGATGCCGGCAACGGCCAGCAAAGCCATGGAGAGGGTGAAAGTCTTCATTCTGTTGAATGAGGGTATAAACGGGTAGAGATCTAAAAGGATGCGACTAAGTATTGCGAATATAGAGTTTACCAACTGTGATGGGAGAGGAGGATGACAAGTTAGAGAAAAAGGTAAGGAAAAGGCTGGACGACACAACTGGGGGCAAGGGCAGGTTTAAAAAGGTAGGAACCACTGCGCAAATCACAGACTCACAGACCACAGTTCTGTCGGCAAAAACAAGCTTTCGTATAGCCGTGATTGAATTTATTTTTTTTTTTTTTTGGCCCTCTTTCTTTCTTTTCTTTTTGTGGCTCAACTCTAAGTGAGATCGTCACTGGCCAAATTTCAAAGCTCTGGTGCCCAGCCAACGTGGCTAGGAAGAGGACTATCACGGGCCAATACCAAGTCCAGGTGAGGCCATTGATGGAGTACTCTCCACTGGTTTTAGTCTGCAAGGTCAAAGGCTACGCTTGGGTCCTCGGGTTCCACAACCCTATCAGCCCAGCCACGCAGACTCGAGGATGATCCACCCGAGACATTGTATTTCCTATGATAGGTGGACAAGCGTTGCTCCCATACGCATAAATAGCTGCTGGGCCTAGTTTGTGATAGCGTGATAGCATTGAGATCGCCGCATCTTGGGCCCACGGAAATACTCTAAGTGTGGTGAGTCTGCTAGAGCTTCAGAGCGAGAACGTCTAATTCTTCAGATGGAAATGCAGGCGGATGCAACAATAACCTTGGGGAGGAGATATGGGACAAGAATAGAAGTGTGTGTGACTGTCGTTTGCCGATGACGCATCGACGGCGCTGCCCAATGCGCCATCGTCAGAGCAACTGGAAGAAGCAAGTCCATTGTGAACTGGCCACCGCTTGGATGGCTGATCGCTGCCTTTCCAGCCACAGACTTTCCCGCCACCCACTTTATCTCGTCAGATCCTTAATTCCATTAGTCACAGGTCGACTTAACTATGTAGTTATCAGAGTCTCAGAGCAAGCTGGGGCTGGAGAAGGTATTCTTCTGCCATCTTTGTTGCCTACACTCCACTCGGTGTGTAGTACGACGTACAACGCGATAGCCGATGTGCTATTTGGGTGTTACTTTCTACGCGATAACAACATAGTAGGGTGCACAAAATGGAGAAAAAGACTTGCCAGTGACGCAAACCGGCTCGATGCCAACAACACCAAACTATGACCAGCTGAGATACACGATCGACAGCAGTCTTGATTTTTGCCCTAATCTGTTTTAGAAGGTTCTGTGGCGGTGCATCGATCTATGCCGTTCTCGGTTCCGTCGATGTACTCCAAGTCAGAATGGGGTCTCATTGGCTGATGGGAGCTTTCCACGACGTCATCATCTTCCTCAGCTCAGATGCGTTCATCTTTCGATCAGCAGGAAATTATTCTGCATCCAGTTGAATCCTCTCTTATTCACTCCTCAGACTTTTCTTGGCGCGACCGATCCCCTGCAGCTAGTCCTGAGCTCGGCGGGGCGGTCTTGGAATAGCCCTGCCAGGATCCTTGCTGGATGCATTTTTCATGCCATCTTATCTTCAACTCTACAATGTTGACCTGAGCATGGATTTAATTGGATGTAACGGTCATCAGTGATAAATTCGCAGTCCCGAGAACCTCTGCCATCTGCATTTCTGTTTAGGAGCTGGATGTGTCTCCTTTACTCCACACATCTTGATTTATTGATTTTACATCCATGCCACTATGGACGTCATTATCTGCACTTCTCAAACAGCATCTATCTGCCATCCTCGAAGAACGAGAATATATGACCTAAGTAGTAGGCAGAGATCAAGTCATGTCTGTAACCATGCTGCATCATCAAGTATGGTTTGTTGCACTGTAGTGATTGAGACAGGAAATACCACTGCCGATGCTCTTTCTGGGAGCGAGATGATGTCGTCAATAAACGTGGTATTAATTGCAGCATAGACAATATCAATATTCTCGAAGCTATCAGCTTATGATCATCTATAATCACCATGAAGCTCTCCATTTGTCCAGGGCGCCACATTTATTATGTAAATCAGCTGGTATTTCCGTACGATCCATCCTGCCCAAGCTTCTGTCCCTTAAATTCTATAGTACGCCCATGATCAAGAATATGCATGTTAGAACTGCTCTTCTAACGTTACATAGCACTGTATGCAACCTGATACTACTATAACTAAACGATTTTATTGACTCCATGCAAGGGGTATCCCTATCAAACATAAGACCAGTCCTAAGAACCACTGCCTGACCAATATACATGCATGAAATCTCTAATTTCTAATACAACGCATGTTAAATAAACAATGCAGATCAAGTCTCCTTCCATATGTCTCTAACAACAGGACACATGCTCCCCCCCCCTTAAGGGATAGAAGCTGAAACTATGGTGTTGATCTCTTTTTTGAGATAGTCTTGAATGGGAGGTATTTTTAGTCAAGGTTTAAGTAAGGTTAAGTATGCGTCTGTGTTTCTATTCTTACAGCAATGCTTATTAGTATCCCGTTCCTCTCAGCTGAATAGAGGATATCTAGAGGTCATATGATTGAATTCTTAATTAAACTATTGATAAATAGGGAAATGAACATTATGCAACGGTGTGGGTGATATTGAAATTTAACACAAAGTTTGATGTAGACTATATCCCTTATTGTGATTATTCTAATATGGCTATGGTGTAAGGCCATAGTATCTTATTTTTTGTCAATCTAGCCTCAAAAAAAAAAAAAAAAAAAAAAAAAAAAATTCACCTAATTGCTTTTGGACATATTATCGTTTAAGGTTGTGGCGACTGAGATGGCGAACCGTGGGTATATGAACCACGTACAGTCATGCCATGCCTAGGGTTTATGATTTCACAATAGCGTCATTCTGCCAGCAATAAGTGCTGATTAATTTATACAATAAGAGATAGCAGTACTAATCATCTGTTCTGGATTGGGGATGTACTTCCGAAACAAATTGTATATTGAATAACTATAAGAGGTTAATTTCGAAGGCACAATCCATCAGCTAGGATGGTCACTTTCGGACTTTTTCTAGTTGTAGCATTCCTATTTATCCTGCTCTACGAGCTTGTTGAATTCCCGATATTTCGGATGAACTAACGCTAGCTTCAAAACGACTGTGTATTGACACAGACATAACAGAGGAGTGTGTTCCACAATGCCGCATCACACTAAAAGCACAAAGCCCTTACTACAAAGCGCGCAACCAAAGAAATCACTGGATTCACCTTCTCGACTAAATGTACTTCTCACAAATGGTCGTTTTCCCGTGTCTCTCGACCTTGCCCGGCAGCTCACCCTCGCAGGGTGTCGTGTGTACTGTGTGGACCCTATGCAGTATCATATATGTCGGTTCTCCCGGGTGGTGAAAGCCAACAAAGTTGTACCATCACCGCGCTCCAACCCAAGAGGATACGTTGAAGCAGTGAGAGAAGCCATACGGGTATGGAAAATACACTTCGTCATACCAATACACGAGGAAGAATTTTGTCTCGCAGAGTCCATGGAGCCGGAGATCCTGGACAGGTTATTTGCTCCTTCTTGGGAGGTTCTCATGCTCCTACATAGTAAATGGGAATTTTCGAATATGATGCGGCGGTTTGAGCTCGACGTTCCCGCTGCTCAACTTTGCAGGAACATGGATGATATTCGGAAACTGGACCGAAGTAAGGAATGGGCGGTTAAGCCTGTCTTTGGACGAGCGAATACGAACGTCCACCATCTCAGGCCCGGAGAGCCTATTCCTACTATTCATGTTAGTGAGAAGGACCAATATGTCGCCCAGGAGTGGATCCGTGGAGCTCGATATTGCTCATACAGTGTGTTCTACCAAGGGTTTCTGAGGGCACACGGGGTCTACCCCGTGCTTGAAACGATCGACGGCAGCTCGTGTGTTTATTTCCAAGCCTGCAACCACCCCAAAATCAAAGAATATGTGGAGCGGTTAGCAGCGCAGTTGTTCCCAATTCATGGACAGATCAGCCTGGACTTCATCGAGACCGAGGACAGACTGGTGACGATCGATTGCAATCCACGCGCATCGAGCGGTAGTCACCTTTGGTCTGGGACTCCATTTCTGGCAATGGTCCTTATAGGACGAGGCACCGAGTCGTTCATAGAGCCGCCTCGTACCCTGCTGGGTCTTGCATTCGAGAGACAGGTGATCCCCGGAATGCTAATGTGGGAGCACAAAAACTTTACCCTGAAACGGTTCCTAAAGCATGTGTGGAGGCTGGTAAAGACTCGTGATGTCGTATGGAGCTGGTTGGATTTAATGCCGTCGTTGGCATCCCCATTTATGCTCACGTATTATTATTATCTGTGCCGGCAGCACAAGCTGACATTACCTGATCTATTTCAGTGGGATTTGATATGGGAGCCAACTGACGAAGAGCAAGAGAGGGTGAGAAATCTTGGACGGAGAATGCAGGGGCATGAGGGCCGAAAAGATGGTTGATTCAATGCAATGCCTGACGGTCACTTCCCAGCTTTGTGTACATATCACTTTTCCTAGGTCATTCATTGGCGGGAGATGTATCTAGCGAATGGCTGAATATATACTGGTTTTATGTTTTGTTGTAAATTGGATGATTTATCTGGGTCCTGTATAAATATGAATGTTAACGCCAGTGCATATTGCCTATATGGCTACTATTGTGCAGCTCCCCACACTTCTAATCTCAGAAAAGTCAAGTGAACCATGTAATGTCTCCTAAATTGGGACCAATAAGGATGATTATATTCCGGGGTCGCCACACTCTACTTTTCAAATGATTCGCCACATCACATCTCCCCGCATATATGTTCTTGCCTATCTACCTCAGCTTATGCCAGTCACCATACGACGACAAAGCACAATGCCTTGTGATACGAGTGTGGTGTCTTACCCAAGTAGGCTCACCCTCGTGGAAGGTGTTGATCTCGCCTGGAAATTATTCCGAGTTTGTAAGACCCCCTACGAACAAGCACCTTGTTCGGGTGACTGTTGAGAACAATTCACTAATGGAAGACAATCGCATAAAGTGGCCACTGGCTCCTTCGCGGCCTTAACGTTTCCTTTTCGTGGAAAAAAAACGGATCAAAGACCTACCGAGCCCATGTAACACATGCGGTTCTGCGGAAGCTCACTGCAAGTCTCACAGTGAGACAGATCCAGTGAGTAGCTAGCACAAATACATATTCACTTCCAGTATCTTTCTCCTGACCACCTATGTGGCCACCCAGACTCAGTACCACTACGGCCTCATACAAAAGATTCGCAGCGTCGAGAGGTATAGTACCACGGACTATTCTGTGGGGAGACACTGGAGAAGGCCATTGGGTGGGAAACCATGATGCCGCGAACGTCATGGTGTGGTTTCATGGTATGATCCGATTTCATTCGCCTCGACATCGTACATATTGGGTTATGCGAGATGACTTAAAAACTTCTAGGCGGCAACTACTACTCCCCGGCTCATCCAGCATATTTCGAATTCCTGCATAATCTGGCTGATGCCGTGTCTCAAGCAGGCAAAGACCTTGCTATCTTCGTGCCTTCGTATACACTTGCCCCGCACGCGCAGTATCCATTACAGCTGCGTGAAGGGCTAGACGTACTGCGATATCTGATTCACAAAAAAGGAAAACTTGCCAGGAACATAGTAATTGGGGGAGACTCAGCCGGTGGGAACCTGGTCCTCGCAATTCTCTCCCATATTGCTCATCCGCATCCTGAAATCCCCACGAGCCATATGCCAGATGAACCATTCGCTGGTGCGCTGATGTTCTGTCCTTGGGTTACTTTCAACCAGACATGGCCGTCGATCGAGAGGAACAGGAAGAAAGACTGTGTTGCGCTGATCCCAAGCAGCCATTCTGTGAAATACTTCCTGGGGGGATAAGCCCCCGGATAATTATAATGAACCTCTCAGCGCGCCGATGGAGTGGTGGACGGATTTGAAAGCCCGTCAGATGATGCTGGTTGCTGGGGAGGATGACATCATGGTGGATTCTCACCATGCCTTTGCGAAGACCCTTGAGGCTACTAACCCACAGAATACGAAGATCTTTGTTGCGCCGGGGGAAGGGCATGTGGCTCCGGTGTTGGATCTGATGCTGGGGGATCGGTCAGAGTTTGAAAGTAGTAAAGCTATGAGGGAGTGGTTATTATCTTGTCTATAGATTTAGAGTTCCTAATATCGTTCTAATAGACTGCCTTGACTTTTTTGTCTCAACCTTCTCGCAGAGTGCAGCAAGCCCTTTCAAATCGACCACTGTAAGAAATGCTATTATGAAATTGGATTAGTCTAGTTCTTCCTATCAGTGGGTAGTGTGATTTGGACAGTTAGTTGTGAATACAGGCCATCTGTGATGATTCGATAGTTTATACTGCAAGATATCTCTAGAGTTTATTTCCATTAGATACTAAGCCTTAGTACTATACAAAAGACATGTAGTCTATCAATCACTGCGCTTTTCCTGTTGTTTATTCAGACAGAGCACTATTCATACTTCACCTGAAAGATTCGCTTGACTCGTGGTCACAGTAATCGATATCACATACTCCAAGTGAGACAGAACATGGAAAAGCTCAGTAAGCGAATTCATCCCATGCACTGTAAGGTAAGCATCAAATATATGATCCTCGGCTGTCTCTACATCTGCTGAGAGATCTCCAACAGTCGAAAATCGAAACCGAGTGTCCACTCGCTCCAAACGCACCACCGATCGAACTTCAAATCCAGCTTCCTGAATCTCTTGCAATAACCCCTGCAGACCTCCTTCTCGATTTCGATACCGTATAACAGTTGATATCCCCATTTCATCACGAGCATGGAACCGACCCCCGAGCGAACGCCACAGAAATGGACAGATCAGAACAGCAACAAAGTAAAACACGTTGGTGATACACGCCAGGATTGGAAGACCTGCTCCGCATGCCGCACCAATTGCAGCACTTAGCCAGATGGCTGCGGCCGTCGTGAGGCCTCGTATTTCGTTCTGCTGTTTGAATATGATCCCGCCCCCGACGAATCCTATCCCAGATACAATTTGAGCTGCCATCCTGGATGGATCGAGCACGATAGACTGGTCGAGGACGTCAAAAAAGCCGGACTTGGATATCAGCATGAATAGCGCAGATCCGATTCCAACTAGTGTGTTGGTGCGAAGTCCGGCACTCTTGTGTTGGAGCTCTCTCTCGAGGCCGATTGCGGCGGATAATACGGCGGCGAGTCCTAACTTCCAGATGTTTATTAATTCCTCGCGCGTATTCTGATATAACTCGTGCATTTTGGATATATGCCTCGACTGTAGATTTGGAGTTTTGAATGTTCTGTATCTGAGATTTAAGGCATATTTGCATGTGTGCTTGGTTTGGAGTCCTAGTGAGTCTTCTCTAAGAACCGGGTGGGTTTTCGAGACGATACATTGTGGTCAGTGAGACGGAATATGCCATTTATTTCTTTGGCAATTCTTTCCAGTGGACAGCTGCGGGACCACGGTTCTGAAAAGCAAGATCAACGAGTTCTATCAACTCCGAAGTTTGATGGCGAGATGAAGGACCAGACAGTTTCTTGTTTTGCACATGACCGCAAATTTATTAAATTTTCCACCCATAATGGTAACTTAGCTGTAATTAATGGTGCTAGCACATCGAATCAATAATAGCGCCACACGGTGCCTTGGATCTGGTACTGGCTGGAAACAGGTCCCTTGATTGTACTTACGTTACCTAGCCTAGATTATGCTACATACGTCATGGGAACTCAATATGACATCAGAGGTTTCCTAGATTAAGATGAGATATAAGGTCATATGCAAGTACTAAATAGAGTCCGACAAGGAATAGTGTCCTAGGGAGCAAAGGCAGCTATATACAAAAGATGAATTATCCACCATGATTCATCCGTCTTCAACCCTCAAGCGAGACCCTGAAAATGTCCAGGCCTGGCTGGTCGGCAGTGGGATTCCCTCCCTAGCAGCAGCTGTGCACTTGATCAGGGAAGCTAACGTCCCGGGTCGCAATATCCATATTCTGGATCTGCGTCCGGGCTCTGGTGGGGAACTAACCACTCCTAAAGAAACACTGGAAGGGTACTTTCTCCCATTTGAATGCCATCCTCATATCTACAGTAACTGTACAGAAGCCCTTCTGTCCCTCATCCCTGATCGAAATAACCCAGGCAAGTGTTTAATGGATGACATTCACGAGTTCGAGCATTCTGCACAGCCACCACAAGAAGATGAGTTCACCCGAGCGATAAGACTGGGGCATTCGGGACCACAGGCAGTTTATACAAGGGGAATTCATCTCGGCTTTAAGTATCGAATGGACTTGATTCGATTTATCTTGCAGAGCGAGACGGCATTAGGGTCCAAAAGTATTTCCGATATTTTTGATGAGCACTTCTTTGAAACTGGGTTCTGGATGCTCTGGTCAACAACGTATGTTGCTCACTTCGGTGGGATCATCCTGTAGGACATCTCTAAGCTAACTAGATGATAGATTTGCGTTCCAGCCCTGGCACAGTGCAGTAGAATTCCGAAGACATCTCCGGAAGTATCTGGAAGATATTCAATCTCTCAACAATGTCAAGAGATCTCATCGGACAAAATACAACTTGTTTGAATCAATTGTTGCTCCTATCATGGAATACCTGAAAGAGCAAGGGGTCGACTTCCTCTTCCACGTTGAAGTTAAAGATCTACTATTCTACCCTGAGAGTGATCCAACGACTGTTTCCGAAATCAAACTAAACAAATCGGACCGCGAACATCTGGTGACACTAGATCCAGAAGATATATGTCTTGTTGATCTAGGATTCTCCCGCTCCGGCGTGGCTTTTGGTTCGAATGATCTTCCCCCGTCCTTTCTATCATCAAACTGGGAAGATCTTATGATGAAGGAATGGAATCTGTGGCAGACACTTTCGAAAAAGACTCCGAAATTCGGCAATCCAGCCAATTATCTCCTCCGAGCTCTGGAATCAGGCATTGAAACATTCACAACCACTCTTCAGGGAGCCACATTCATGGAGTTATATGAGAACATCACTCATAATCAACCAGGAACCGGTACCATGCTCTCGCTGGTAGACAGTAACTGGGACATCACACTTAGTATCCCACACCAGCCAGTCTTCTCCACACAGCCAGGCAATGTGAACGTCATTTGTGGATATGCTTTAAACCCCTCTAACGAGGGAAACTTCGTCAAGAAAGCCATGTTTGCCTGCTCTGGCCGCGAGATTTTCACAGAGGTCCTCTCCCACTTCGGTATATCTCATGAGCAATTTCGGGATACAGCGACAACTATCCCCTGTGGAGAGCCCCTGGGTACAGCGGCTTTTCTGACGCGCAGTGAGGGAGATCGTCCACTTGTTATCCCTGAGAATACAACCAATATTGCCTTTATCGGTCAGTTCGCGGAACTCCCGGAGGATACAACATTGAGTATGGAATATAGTGTGCGAACTGCGCAGACGGCTGTGTATGAACTACTGGGTCTTGAAAAGGCACCGTCAGGCGTCAAGAAAAATATTGTTGTGGAGGTGTTTGATTTGCTGAAATAAGTAGTCCTGTTGTGTTTCAGCCGTCTCGCTCATATTTAATAATATAACTTATAACTAGGGGCTAATCCGGTTATTGTATGTCCGCAATGCTAATCGTGTCCTGTATTTATAGTTACTGGTTGCGGGATATGCATACGATATAGTATAAGGAAAACTGTGAATATGAAAATATTGATTTTAAGATTACCATTTCTGCTGTTACATACTGGTTCAACAAAAGAGTACACTCATGCCTGAATGATATAGTCCTCAATGTCAAATCACACCCCAACATGCATATAGGCCTCAGCAAATGCCAATAGAGAGCTACAGTTGGCTCTGAACGTCGTCTACAGTTTCAAGTAACACAACTGCAATATACGATTATGTATGGTCATGAGTATATGTTTCCAGCATAGTTATCCATGCCGCTGATTGTGCATTTCCCAATTTATCAAACGGTAAATATATGAAATGTGTTACCTGGCATTTTATCGTCTCACCAGTCTTAGTGGAGCAGTCATGCGCCAAATCAGAGTGACGGAAGATAATTTATATAAACATCTATTCCCTGTAGCAGTGTCACTAAAGAATAAAATCTCCAAGAAATTGATTAATTCTTATTACGTGTACGTACCATCTTAGGATCAAGTACATAATTTGTTGGAAATCTCTAGAAGAGTACTGCTAAGAAGATCAAGTCAGAAGTTTACCCTTCTTTCTCGCCCTTGATTCTGTAGAGATTAAAAGGGTGGTGTGAGGTGGATTCATAGGCTATTTTCCATACAGCGACCAGCCAGGCTCCATTCTATCTTGAACACAAAAGTTTATGCCGAATCTATTGCTGAAAACGAAGCGATCATTTTTTATGGAAAATCCTAGACATCCTTCCAAACATGTGACGCCTTAGAGATTTATCGAATAAATTCGATGTCTCTGTAATTTGTTTGGTCTCATGGTGATCTGGACCAAATAACTTTTTATAGCCTGATCGCTCGTTTATCTCTTTTGTCTCCTTTAGCCTTCCTTGCTCGGAGTATAGAGTACCAAACTTCCTGACTGTAGTTAGAATAAATGGGCCATAGCCTGCCATTGCTCGCTGGTACATCTTCTCCGCCTCCTTTGTCCTACCCTGGTCGGAATAGATTCCCCCAAGGTTATTGATTGTAATAAGGGTAGATATATGATCTGGACCCAGTACCTTTTCTTGAGCTGCCAGTGCTCTCTGGCACATCGTCTCCACCTCCTTCATCTTTCCTTGGTCGTGGTAGAGGACACCAAGATTGTTGACTATGTCAACGGTGAATATGTGATCTGTACCTAGTTTCTTTTCATAGCCTGCCAGTACTCGCTGGGACATCTTCTCCGCCTCCTGAAACTTACCCTGGTACCTGTAGAGAATACCAAAAGCATTGACTGTGTAGAGGATAGATAGATGGTCTGAGCCCAGTTCCTTTTCATGGCCTGCCAGTGCTCGCTGGTACATCTCCTTTGCCTCCTTTAGCTTACCCTGCTTCGAGTAGAGATTTCCCAGATTATTGACTATGTTAAGGGTAAATGGATGATCTGGACCTAGTATTGTTTCATAGCCTGCACGTGCTTGCTGGCACATCATCTCCACCTCTTTCAGCTTGCCCTGGTCATGGAAGATAATTCCTAAACGAAGGGATGCATCCCATACCACAATATTATCACCTGACCAATTTTGGTGGAGTACATAATTTGTATGTGGAATAAGCCGCCACTCAAGCTCTGAATGGTTTGTATCGCTTTTATTAGGAAGTGCATATCCAAAGGATATCAGAGCGAGTTCATCGAGCCGAGTCAAATGCGTATTTTCCCTTGTGTTAGCAACGTGAAGACACCAGTCTTGTAACTGGATCCATTGCATGGCTTCCATTTTGTTTCGTCTCAAGAAGAGAAAATCCGATGAGAGTTTTGACACGGATCTTGAAAGCAAGTCCGCTTGAAACATGCCTTTCAAGCCTGGCCGGGTTATTCAAGCTATGAGATGCACCTTTTACTAATTCATACCAGATATCTTGATTATCAAAGTGGACAGGTAGCAGTAGCAGCTCTGCTGTATGCGGGTCTTGCTTCTGGATCTAATGATATGAGATAGCTCATGTTTGAACCATATTACCATGCTGATTCTGGGATCCAAGACTTGATTGCGACTGTAGCTCGTAACAAGATTCTCCGTAATACTCTAAGTACTCTGTTATGCTGGCTCCCGTTTCACGGATAAATGCCCCTGCAATGACAATCGCCAGTGGTAGCCCATCTAGACGACTGGTAAGGGCAAGAGTATCTATGGAGTTAGTATCTTTTCACAAATTTATATGTAGAATGTCAACGTACCTGTATCACTCTCAATATTCTTTATAGTATTCCTGACAGAGAGCCAACTTCTCTGTAAAAGTAGTCGAATAGAATTCTTAAACTCAAGTCTCTGAACCGGGAAGGACATTCCAAGGTCAGTTAATCTCTGGAGTCGGGAAGTAATGATAATAGAACCATGGTCTGCTGGGGGAAAGAATTTACTGATGTCATATCCATCATGAAAATCATGCTGTTGAGAGAGTATTGATCAATATTATCAAAAATAATTAGCCAGCATGAGTTTCCCTATACTGCTAGCCACTGTAACACATGCCTAGCTCTTTGCTCCACGTCTTCTTCATTGATCATTTTAATATCATGGGATGTCCCTGGTAATTGGGGCAGAGTAGAGGTATAAGGGATTGTAATACCGTGTCCCGATATTTGCTGTTCAGCCAAAAGATGGCTGTATAATCATGCTTGTGATCTCGCGCGAAGTGAATGGCTAGCTGTGTCTTTCCCGTACCACTAAGCCCTTGAAGAATAGCAACTTTTTGTGACTCGGGATTTGCTGGCTGTAAATGATGGCATAGGTCTTCTAGCTCGTCTTTTCGTCCCAAAGAATTTTCAATTACAGGCACTGTAGTAAGGTTTTAATGGAGCGCGAAACCTACTAGCTAAAAACATGGATATTAGCCAATACACTGGCTATTATATTCACACAAATAAATGAAAGGCGGTAGAGCTAGGTATATGTAGTACCTGAGCCTGACAGACTATTCTGTGCAGTCCGTGTGCGGTCAATATGGCTGATTGAGGTCGCTGAAAGAAGCTCTTTGGCATATGCTGCTACTACCGCGGCGGCATATCCCTGCCATGCTTTATTTTTGTGGGAGTCTGCATAACCACAATTCCACTTACCACGAGGCACGGATAATTATTCAAGCCCGCCGCTTCCATTTCTACACAATATACACCCAATTCACGACCCAGATTATCCCGTAGATGACTGTCTTTTACCTCTTGATTCGCAGACGCAATTAGACCGTAGTGGACAGCAGGCTCATTGTAGGTTCGAGATTGTCGTGAAACTGTTTTAGTTATATCACAGTCATTACAAGTCTTGGCGTTGATATTAACGTGATTATAGTCAGTTACATATAAATGATCTGCTAGCATGCTATATAGTAGCGAAGGCTTTAGTCTGAGCAATATACTGGGTTCAACCATGACACATTTTCTTATATAGTATTAACAATTAAATAGAGGACCATCGGAATTGGGGATCCGATTACTCCTAGCGCCTTGGCGAGCGCTCAGCGTCATCTCCTGTCCATTCCTTTAGATAGAAATGAAGGAAAAAGAACACGTTGGTGAGCGCGTTGATTGCGCAGTCAATACAGTTGATATTGTTATTCTCCCTAGTAGGCTACCGGCGTGTAGCTGGTATAGTGTTCTTCTGCCTCCCATTCCTTCCCCAGGGAATGGTCAGGGTCAGAACAAATATAAAAGCTGTATGGAAGGTACTTTAATTCCTACATAAGGAAACAGAGATATATATATAATCAGTTGTAGGCAACTTGGCAACAAGCCAGGGAGGAGCGCGGTCAGAAATCAAATCCTGAGCATTAAATTTATATCTGGTACCCCCAGATTTCCAGCTTACATAGAGATGATGCTGCTGTTTGTCGCTGAATGGACTTATTTATTTGTCTTGGTAATGAATTGTATTCAGATGTTATCGGTATATGCGAATGCCATGAAAGTCGGTCAATCTACAAAAAAGTAGCAAAATAGAGTTCTAGAGTTGTACTTAAGATACCAGACAGGTTAGGACAAAATCAGAGAGGGCAATAAGCTCAAAGCTCGATCTGATAACATCTCCTGAAATGGATGAGACACGTGAGTAGAGGTAGTGACATATCCCTTGCATGTGATTCCTTGGCATTGGAACAACCACATTTTCATATGACAAAAGTCCGAATCAAGTAGAGCAGAGCTGCACTTCCTGTCGTCCGTTGCTTGGATCCGTTGCTTGGACCAGCTGATAGGAACAAATTATGAGACAAAATTCGGAGGAATGGCGCGACAATGTATGACGGACAAACCCTAGTCAATTGGAGTTTGGCGCCCGTTCACCCGACACCATGCAATCTATGTCTGTAGGGGTTAGGAGGGGGTAGCAATAGCATTGGCAGGAATACAGATGGGAGGCTAGTTCCACCTACGGGCAATCCCTTTGTACTACCCCTGCTCGTAGTGCTGTTCGCAGGTACCTGAACCGTCTGTGATCACAGTTGCGGCATCTCTTCGGTCAACTTTCCCCGGACTGCGGATAATTTGTTGATCCGACCCGAGCCGAGGTTCAGGTACTCCGCGGAGCGTCGTCGGTCTCCTCCTGGCTCACTCGGCTTCAGCCGTTCTCCAGGTATCGCGGAACCACTTTTTTTTTCCCTTTTCTATCTTTTCTTCTGCTTCTTTTTCCCATTTGTGAATATTTTTTAGTCTATATACGCGCTCTGGCTTTCTGTTGACTTTGCCCGCCTCTCCTTGCTACCTAATTCTCTTCTCCCCTCCCTTGTTGCCTTGTATCCTTGCCCCGCTCGAAGGTTTTCGCCGCCATCATGTCCGCCACAACTGCTTCAACCCCTGAGACCATCCGCGACGATGTCAAGGTCGCCGAGGTTAAGCCCGTCAACCAAACCATTGCTCAAATTCGCTCTCTTGTCGCAGGTGCTGCAGGTGGTGTTTGTGCGGTAGTTGTTGGGCACCCGTTCGACCTGGTTAAGGTGCGGTTGCAGACGGCAGAGAAGGGTGTTTACTCGGGTGCAATTGATGTTGTGAAGAGGACAGTGGCCCGTGAGGGTCTGGCTCGCGTAAGACCCTCAACCATTTCCGGCCCTTATAAGGCAACACGCTGACTGAGAACAGGGTCTGTATGCTGGAGTTTCTGCTCCTTTAGTGGGAGTTACTCCGATGTGTAAGTGTCTTGTTTCAATCGAGGTATAGAGGAAATGGCTAATAATGAGGTTTAAATACAGTTGCTGTCAGCTTTTGGGTATGTACCTTGGGCGAAGATGGAAAGAAACAGACTCCCTCCTTCTCATGAGCCGCTTCTAATCATCCGACCAGGGTTATGATTTAGGAAAGACGCTTGTCGGTAACTTCTCTACCGTCCGCGTGGAGAATAACACCCCCAGTATACCATCGGCCAGATCTCCGCTGCCGGTTTCTTCTCGGCAATCCCTATGACACTGATCACCGCTCCCTTTGAGCGCGTGAAGGTTCTCTTACAGATCCAGGGCCAAAACCCCCCGCCGCCGGGACAGAAGCCCAAGTACTCCGGTGGAGTGGATGTGGTTCGGCAGCTGTACAAGGAGGGTGGCATTCGCAGTGTCTTCCGTGGAAGCGCAATGACTTTGGCCCGCGATGGTCCAGGATCGGCCTGTTACTTCGCTGCTTATGAATACATTAAACGCACATTGACGCCCAAGGACGCAAATGGAAACGTCACCGGTGAATTGTCTATGCCTGCGGTTTTGGCAGCCGGCGGTGCTGCGGGTGTCGCCATGTGGATTCCCGTCTTCCCCGTCGATACGATCAAGTCTCGGCTCCAGAGTGCAGAGGGACGGCCCACAATCGGTGGTACTATTCGCTCTGTCTACGCTAGCGGCGGCCTCAGGGCGTTCTTCCCTGGATTTGGCCCTGCCTTGGCCAGAGCCGTTCCTGCCAACGCGGCCACTTTGTATGTCTTCCCCATGGACGTCCCAACTACATCGCAGCTAACCATTCAAACAGTGCGGGAGTTGAGATTGCTCACAAGCTTATGAAGAAAATGTTCGATGAGTAAATGGAGAAAAGAACTCTGATTATGAATGTTTTGTAAATTTACCGATTCGTGCGTTAGTTTTTCTGGCGTTTTCCCTCGTTTCCTTTGTTCACTAGAGGCATTTGCGAGCATTTAGATCAGCCTGGATATCCTGTACCCACTTTTAGACTTGATGGTTTGTCTGGTTGTCTAGATTGGTTTCTAGGAATACCCACGGTTCTTGCGTTTGTTCTTCATTTGAGGCTCTTTAGTGGATTTAAACCAATCACTAGGTAGCCTCTCGTTATCAGAGTGTGGCCACCACTGGGCGCTATACCAATCTTCTATGGGCCACGCGCTAATAATGGAATACGGTTAGATCAAATATTTTCTGATGTTCTCCGTTTTGGGGGCGAAACAGAGCTAAACCCCTGGGTGTAACTGTTGGCAGAACGCATCGACTATTACGAAAATCTAAAACACTGAACCGCGAGTACTTTACGATAAATGTAGGTAGTCTTTGACACCAGTACGGTGTAATTACCATCCACATCTTTACCATGGTCCAGTCAGTGAAGGCGAAATGAAGGCGAGCTTAATAAGCGGACTTGCCGCAACAGGCAAAAATGGGGTCACGGGTCTTCCCGGCGATAAGCCCCAACACACTCGGGGGGACACGAATCCAAACGATTGGCAGCCTTTCAATCACTGCCTGTCGCTAAGCCGCACCGCTGCCTCTCTCACTGAGACGGTGTTGCGACTAAAAGAAGACGACACCCCCATCCCAAAACCCTTTGTCATTATCCTCTCCTGACCATCTAACTACCCGTCCATCTCGTCTTTTTCATCATTCTATCACAGAGTTTATCAACTATCATCCTTTATTTTTAATACCACTGCTTGAGACTCCATCATCATGGTTGTCTCTTCTCTTGTCCGACGAGGCATGGAGATCGCCAAGGAGAGAGCCGGTAGTCCTGAGGTTCCCTCCATCGAAATCCGCGGGTGGCAAGCTGGCTTGTTCTTCTGCACTGTTGCGGCTTTTATCTTTGCAGTCGTTTCGGTAAGTTCAGTCGCTCAGGGTGTTGTTACCTTGTCGATTACAGGCGGCTAATCTGGTGGCTCAAGGTGGAGTACACCTACGGCTTAGTGGTCACGACGCTCGCTGCCGTCGAAGATTCCAACCCCGATATTTACGTGCGCATCGACGGCAACCAGGATGGCAACAAAGCCTCTGATCCCACCGCTCCCGCCGACCCTGAACTATTGGTCGTTGAGGCTAAGCCCATCACCAGCAAACTGCGCACGACAATTAGACATCTTCGCGCCCGAGGTGGTTTCTGGTCTCGGTTCCGCGGCTTTGCCATCTTTCTCGTCTACACTCAGGCCCAAGGACTCTTGTCTACCATGATGCCTGTGTCAATTTACAACTTTGTCGGCCAGTTTCTCGTCCGCTTGGTCGTCGGTACCCTGCTGGCTAACCTGCAGTTGGCTTGGGTGCATATTGTGATCTCCGAGCCTTCTCCCAAGCGGTTCTACCGCCGCATCCCCGGCTACAAGAGCTGGGTTAAGATCGCTCCGGTGTTTGTCTTTGAGCAGGCTATTGTTGCTGGGGCATTCATCCTGCCTTTCCTCGTTGCCACTCGCTTTGGATTGGTGGACTTGATGTATGAGACCCCCGAAACCGATGGGCTTTCCTTTGCCAACTTTAGTCGGTTGGCGGGCGCATTTACTGTCCCCTCTCTCTGCTCCTTCCTTGCGTCGATTCCCGCTCGGGCTATCTTCATTCGCGTGGCTGCGTCCATGCTGCCCGAGGAAGATGAGGCTATCGTGCCTTTCGACCGCTCTTTTGGTGGAAAGGTAGTACCTGCCATCCTGGGAGGTAGTGGCAAGCTCAGCATCTCTGATGCTTGGAAGACTTTTGATTGCTCTGCCCGGGCCCGCTACTTCAAGGCCGTCGGCAAGGCTTTCGCCCTGGAGGTTGCAATTGTGGTCTTCTTTTCACTGGCTATTGTAGGTCAAATCTACGTCGGAAAATTTGGCTACAGTACAGAACCCAGCACGGATATTGCCTGAACCGAACGCCTGGACCTTCTTGTCTGTATTTGGTTGGATACTAACTTCTGGGTGAGCCCATGATGATGCCACCGGAGTGTACCACTGCCCTATGTGATGCTATTGGCTAGTGGATTGTTTTTGGGATAAATGAAATGGCTATAGTGGATATCGTGTGTATAAGAAATTGTATTGGCATTCATAGAGCAACGTGTAAAGTAGACCTCGGGCCACTAAGTTGACTGCCTGATGGAACGGGCAGCAACAACTAGCCCAGCGCCCCCACTCATAAGCACACCGCCTTGATGCCCTCATCCGCCATCAACAATGATTAATCTCTTCTCCCCACTTTTCTCTAGACTTTATGTCGGATTTTCTTTGTCCCCTCGTTGCCCCCCCATTTTCTTGTATGGGCTTCTAGTACCCATCTCCTACCCTTCTCCTACCCCCTTACTACCTACTCACGGACATACCCCGTCCCTCCTCGGTCTGTTTCACTGCCTGATACCAACATACTCCTGCTCCGCCACCCCCCACAATCAAGCACGATGGCCACAACCCCTGCAGGGCGTATGCTGTCTCGACAGCTGGAGCAAATGCAGGCCGACAAGGATATTCCTGGAATTAGCTGTGGACTGGTAGACAACAACATCTTTGAGTGGGAGGTGATGCTGATGATCTCCGACGATGTGAAGCTCTACGGCGGTATGTTGAACTTCCACCGCAGCAGGCGATAGTTAAGGCTTTTGATAACTGACTTCATTGTTCTACTTACTAGGTGGTTTCTTCCGTGCTCGTCTCTCCTTCCCATCGGACTACCCGCATATGCCGCCAAAGATGAAGTTCGAGACACCTCTCTTCCACCCTAATAGTACGTTTTGATATGTTCTCGCATGGCCGGGGAATTGGAGCCAAACCATTCGTGAATGCTGATTCTTGTGGTCTAGTCTATCCTAACGGTGAAGTATGCATCTCCATCCTTCATCCTCCCGAGGAAGATAAGTATGGATACGAATCCGCCTCGGAACGCTGGTCCCCCGTTCAAACTCCAGAGACTATTCTCTTATCGGTCATCTCTATGCTGTCGAGCCCGAATGATGAAAGTCCAGCCAATGTGGAAGCTGCACGGTTATGGAGGGAAGATCCGAAAGAATTCAAGAAGCAGGTTCGAAGGTGCGTTCGGGAAAGTCTGGGCGAGGAGTAAGGAATCGGTCCACTGTTTTTTCTTGTCCCTGCATCGAAGGCGGGCCTTTGTGTTTTTCCGCATGGTTGTTCGCTGGGCCTATCGATTGAGCGATCGAAGTCTTTTTGGAGTTGCTTTTTTTCGGCTAGGAGTTGTTGTTTTTTTTGCGCACAGTTTATGTTCATGGGTGTTATGTATGTGATTGATATTGGAGCTAGGTGAATTGCATTCGCTTATTGATATCAAGGAATGAATTTATGAATATGTTGAGAATGGTGCTGTATATATGTCCAAGGCAACATGAGGGTATAATATGGAGTAGGTGGTATAACGATAACGCTGATTCATGCAATACAATTGAATCCGCTGAGTCTATGGGGGATTTTAGGGATTAAGATAAATCATGTGCTGCTTTTAGCACCCTTCCGCAACGACGGAAGGAAGAAACCCGGATGGAATGTCGTGAAGGTCAGAACCGCAATGGCAATCATCCTGGGATATTATCAGCGTCGACATGACTCAGAAACACTGGAAGGCGAACTCACATGCCATCGAGCACTAGAAACTCGTCCTCCTCCTTCATTAAATCATTGCCCCATCCGCCTGCCATCTCCGGGATTCTATCAAGTGTCAGTCTTACCTACCCTCTACAACTTAAACACACAGCATTGACGGTACCTACCGATAGATACACCGGATCAAAACCGTCATGTAGGCCACTCCCTCTGCCACGATGATCAACTTCATACGCCTCTCGAAGGACTTCCCCATCTCCAACGCCTTCTCTCCCGCCAACCCCGAACCTTTACGAAACAACCGCAGGAAATAATCCACCGCGAGAGTCCCACACACAGACATCGTAACAACCTGGAACACAATCCCCGCAATAATAATATCATTCCCCACGTTCAACGTATCCGGATCGTTCGCCGCCGCAGCGACGCCTCCCCCCGCAGCCTGCAACAGCAACGAGCCGATATCACACCCGATGAAAATCCACGTGAATAGTCGTGGCCGCAGACGCGAGTGCTCCGGACCCAGCGAGAGAATGATATGTTTCAAAGTGAGGTAGATCCCCGCGGCGACGAAACTGGGTGCCAGCACCAGCGTCACAATCTGTAGTTTGAATGCACCGCTATCCCATGGGTTCGTGTGCATTAGAATCCGTCCAATATACCCGGCCATTTCGAGTAATGCGCCCACGGAAAGCGCCACTGTGAATGTCCACGCTCGAAATCGGATTCCAAAGATTAGTTGGAGTATCCCGCATATGCCGTACACAACCGCGAAAAATATATTGCCGCCTAGGTTGGGGTAGTAGCCGTAGGTGGTTGCTTCGACTGGACATAGCGGGGTCACTTCTGTGCATTTTTGCTTGGTCATCGTTGGGCTTGGGTAGATGTTGTGTTGTGATGTACTGATGATAAGAGGGAGGATGCATAAAGAAGCTGACAAGGTAGAGAATGACTTAGGCATGCCTATATTTCAAATAGAGTCCAAAATTTGGTCATCATCAAACACCTTTCATTGATTATCAACAATTCTTGGCATTTGCCTAATAGGTTAAGTCCGGATGCGAAAACGATGGCGAAAACGAAAACGAGAACGACATCCAATCTGAACCGTTAAAATTTTTCCAGTGTTGGGCCAGGCCCACCAAAGCGGGGGATTCCATCGCCATGTGGATAAATGACGGACCCCAGATCTTTGATATTTATGGAGTTTTACCAAAACAGACTATGGTAGATCAACTTCCAATCCTATGATAGGGAATTGCATACTATGTGCATACTATGTACATACAGCGACACGTGAACGATTAGATTCTTGCTGCGTCGATCGAGGCTGAGCGTGGTACCTAATTTGACACAGGCAACTATAATTCAATGTCTAACCTTATCTTGTTCTGGCCAAGTATAAGCGCAGGGGATATACCTGACTATAGGCTTTTGAACAGGAGTCTTACTAGTTGTTTATGCTGTTTTAAGTTCTAGCAACAGGAATTATAGTATTATGTGGTCAACTTCTAAGGAGTAGACAGAATCCAATCCTGCGTGAGAACTGTTAATGTCTTATACCTAATGCCGACTGAGCGGAAGGATTGGCGTCTATAGTGGTAGTTCACTGTTATATTTAGTATCTCAGGTACTAGTGAATAGGGATTTTGGAGAAGCCGTACTTATAACAGCGATGCATATCTTCTGTTTTTGAGAATATATCGAGCCAGTAGTACACTTCTGACCCAAAAAAGCCAATTCTACAAACTGCATCGCAATATTGATATCCAGTATGGAGTACTTGAGCAGAATTAAGAAATCCACCATCTGCGTTCCCCGGTTGATATTTGTGAGGGTGTGCCACGTGATCCCGGAACGCCACGTGTCTCCACGTGGTTTTCTCCCCGGATTTCCACATCAACGTCGGTCGTGTTGTTTCTACCAGCCGGTACTACCTTCGCGTAGTAGTCCGAGATGCCACCTCGAAGGGCACATACCAAGTCACGCAACGGATGTGATCAATGTAAGAGGCGACGCGTTAAGGTACGCTTTGCGCCTGGGTCCTGAACACCTACAGAGTACTCTACCACCACACAGCTAGATTTGCGTCAACCTATCACGGACTCTCCTGACGTATCCTAGTGCGATGAAAAGGGTCCACCCTGCACAAATTGCGTCTCTCGAGAGCTGCCATGCTCCTATATGCGAGTTCCTACATCCCGTTTCAACACTACTCCATCGTCTGCAAGTCCTGCGCCGGTGCAACTATTATCCCACGTGACTCAATTACCTGATGCAGGTAGTCGTGCATCCCCTATCACTGGCACAATAAGCCCACCGACTCTGTCGCGTCTGCGCGAGCTGGAATTAATGCACAAATACTCCACCGAAACCTATCAGAGTCTCAGCAATGAACCCGCCGATTACCATGTATGGCAGATGATTCTGCCTCGCAAAGCCCTGAAATTCGACTTCCTGATGAACGGGCTGCTGGCGATCGCGTCCCTGCATATGGCATCTTCATTACAACCTCCTGAGGCCCTGTCATATATCGACATGGCCCTGGAATATCACAACCGGGCTTCGGCCCCGTATCGCCTCGCCATCAATAACATCACCCCGGACAACTGCGACGCCCTATTCGCTCATGCCATAATCACTACCATCATTGGAATCTCCCTTCCCCGACTCACCGCCGACCGCGACGCAAGCTCCACCATGACGGAGAACATATTCGTGGTCTTCGAACTACTCCAAGGAGTCAGCAAAATCCTCAAGATTAGCCGTCCCTGGCTGAAAACAAATTACTTCACCTCCCGACACGGATTCTTCAACGTCCCGTTTGGCACGCTGGATCCCGACGCAGAGGCCTCGTTTGAACAATTGACAGTTCTGAATGATACACTGCTCGCCGGTACAGACACAGAACAACACGGTATCATGAAAGAGGCCATTAACCATCTTTATCGATGCTTCCGTAGATTTGCCCATTCGCAAGATGCAGCATCTGTTCTCTCGTGGCTGACCACCACGGATAAACAGTTTGTTCATGCTCTGAGATGTCGACAGCCTATCTCCTTCTTGGTCCTATTGCACTGGGCTGTTCTCTTGCACGGAATAGACGGTATGATGTGGTGGGCGAAGAATTCGGGTGTCGCGTTGGGATCTGAGTTATTGAGTGCTTTGCTCCCGGGTGATGCGCGGTTCGAACGAGCTTGGCGATGGCCGAAAAAGAGTCTAGATCTTTAAATGATGGAACAAAAAGATCTTGGCTTCTTCGCTTGCTCGGGATTCTGTGGACAAGGCTTTGCATATAGAAAGGGGGTAAATTAACCACGTATATGGTCTTATTTTACTGCTCGATACTGTTCTTCGACACTCATAATTGTTATGATTATAAACCATTTCAATATATACACGCCACAATGTACAAGTGATTACCCTGGTATTGTATTGGAATATTCAATACCACAAGATGCATAAATTTCCCATACCTAGCAAATATCATTAAAGTCTACATAGAATCTGCTGAAGTTTTCCCTAAGCCTAGGCGACTCGACCAAAAGGCCATGCATACCTTTCGCAGATCTTTCTTGGAATTATATTTCAACAGTATCGACAAGTACAGCAAGGCATATAGGCAAGATGGAGCCGCGTGCAGAACATGCAACCCACTATATCGTAACCCAGCTTAATCAGAATACGATTCCTCAAAATAACTGTCTTTCCATATCACTAATCGCATTGATTATGATTTAAGCGGGGATGTCTCCTTCATTGGCCAACCTCATGACCTGAATCACCTCATATGCAAATCGACCAAGTGGATACGAATCGGGCTTATGTTTTGTATAAATTACGATGCTTGTGGATGGATTTGAATGTCTGCTGCTTTGAGATGATATTGATTTTATGGCGTACTTTATTAGCTGCTAGATCACCGGATATTCTATACAGGATTGGCAGGGATAGATATAATAATGATGGGATTCTGAATATTGAAACAGAGGAAAAACTACTAGAAACTGTTTAAAAATACAGTCCCTCTTAGAGGAATTATTCTTAATATATTAAAGCTTTACTATAGAAATAGACTAGAAGAGCTAGGTACTAACTTATATAACAGAAATATACTAATAGAATGGAGGATGGGACTCTACTCAGTCAGTCCGAGGGAGAAGGGTGTTATAGAAACTATAGGATCTTCGCTGACAAGTCACTATATACCTGGTTTGCGTTGTTCATATATTACATGGGTTATAGCAAGTATAAACATGACCATGAAATTTCAGTTCTATAAATCATTCTTTATAAATAACGCTCGTGCGGTCCCAAAATAGTCAGACAGCTATAACTGTAGATATTCCTAGTATCTATTAACAGCATGTTAGAAAAAACAATGTGAGGAATAAGCGGGAGCCAACTAAGTGATCAAGTCCTATTAACTGTTGCAGCCTAATTATTAAGTCGATTTATGCAGGAGTAATACGGGCGTTCTGTAGAACTTTCGCCATTTGCCGTAGCTCCTTATCTGTTGCTTTGCGCTCGGCCCTACAGTGCTCGTTGTCGATTTCAACGGAGCGAACAGTGATGAATTCCAACAAGATGTCAACCCACGGGCGGATCCTATTGTTGCCGAATACAGTATCGTGTTGATTATGGTTATTACGAAATAGTTGATTGACTCCCTTTTCTAGGAGTAAGCGTAGCCCGGACTCATCGCGGCGGGCAATGGTGTACCAGGCACATGTACGCCTTGCTTTGTCTCGCGCTTCAATGCCCACTCCGTGACTTAATAGCATGTCTATGATGGCGACTCCCACTAGATTGAGGGTCTGCGCCCTGGTTAAACAAAGGTGCCACGATATTTTTTATGTCCGGCCTCCGCAGTCCATGTCAATGCAGTATAGCTTGTTTTCCTGGGGAAAGGGCTAATACCCGTTAATAGTCTGGCTTTAGGGTCGCATCCGTTCTCCAGGAGACGCCTGGCTAATGCCTCAGAGCCACAAGCTGCCGTTATACAGAGCAGCACGCCTTGTTCAGACATATCTGTCGGAAGGTTATTTATTTCTATATAATGCAGTAGAACAGAGGCCACTCCTAAATGGCCTTCCACGGTAGCAAAGCAAATAGGGTGCAGGGTCGGATTTGGGTTAGAACCATCATCAATTAAGAAGCGAACTATCTCTAGATGACTGCTTCTAGCTGCAAAGTAGATAGCTGTCAGACCCCCTAGATCTAGAGTCTCCCATTCATCACCCCCAGTGCATAGAATTATCCCATCCTCTATAGGAGTGTTTAGGTCGCGCCATGCGCGATTAATAGTCTGGCTACCGACTCGTAGCCATTTCCCACTGCCAATGAAAGCGGAGTCCCAAGAATTCTGGTCTCGCCTGTCCATCCGGTGGTAGGTCTTGGATCGAATCCTTTCTCTAGTAAAATCCGGACTATTTCTTCATGACTGTATTTAGCTGCGAGCGCCAGTGGCTTCCAGGATGATCCGGCACAGGCGTTAAGTGCGGCTCCCTCATCGAGCAATTTACGGGCAGTTGACACAAGCCCGTGCCTTGTTGCCCATTGCAAGGGAGTGCTGTGACCGAAGCGGACGTTGTGTCGATAAAGATGCAAGTTAACGATCGTATAGAGGCGGTGGGTGACCTGGGAGGGTGCATTGATATCCCTGGGGCGTTGGAGTCGCTCAGTGATGAAGAGAAGTATTTCGTTTGGCAGGTGTACTAAGCTCATGGTAGGATGTGAGTAAACGACGTGACGCTTTAAATGGGATAAAAACTTGATTCATTCCTGAGTCGGTGAATGATGGATGATCAGGTGGAATCCGGAAGATCTACTGTCTCCCCTTACGTTACTCGCCTCGAGGGACTCCGAAGAGCCAAGGAGCATACATACACATAGTTATACCACCATCAACACTTGTATCATATACAAATGTACAACACGCCCTATGTATGATAGTCCAGAATAAAATAAATACACAATACCAGACATATAATGCAGAGCTCACTTCGCGTCTAGACTGTGACCAAGTTTAGATCTCACGTCTTATTTCCACCTCCGCACCAGCATCGTCCATCTCCCTCACGTTCAACCTGGACCATAATGTCCATATTCTTCTCATGAAGAAAGTCGGTCGTTCGTTGCCGGACGTCTTCGAGATCCGCGCTGCGAGAAGCAATCACATGAATGACACCGAGAACGTTGGGATTGTGTTTTTCGTGCTCGTGCTCGTGCTCGTGGTGGTCATGGCAGTGGTTATGAGTCTGCTCGTCATGCTGACTATGGGAATGACTATGGCTATGGCCATGGCTGTGACCATGACCATGGTGATGATCATCCCCAGAACCGGCCGTATCGTCGAGCCAGAACTTGGGCACGGTGTATCCCACAACACCCCGTAAGGTACTAACGCCGCCCAGAGTGTCGCGGACGTTGTATTCCACATCTGCCGGAAGAGTAAGAAGCAAGGTCTTCGCTGTACTACTCACGAGCGGAATAGCTGACACAAAGATTAAAATCGCAATCAGGCAGGACGCGATGGGATCGTACCCGGCCCAGCCAGAGTAATGTACTAAGACAGTGGAGATAACCACGGCCACAGAACCTAGAGTATCGGCTAGAATGTGGAGGAAAATACCGTGCATATTTTCATTCCCATGGGAGTGTCCATGATGGCCGTGATCATGTCCGTGCGCGTGTCCATGGTCAAATGCCAGTATGCCAACAAGATTTACTAGGAGACCGGCAATGCTGACGACCAGAAGCTCGCCGATGCGGTTCACCTGGCTGCCAGACGAGAGCCTTTCTACTGCTTCGTAGATAATTTCAATGCTGATGATCCTGGAAGAGGTCAGTGTGAAATTCGAGTAGCCAGTTGAAGGAAAGCATACATAAGGAAAACACCATTTGCGAAACCCGATAGGGTGTCCACCTTCCCATAGCCATAGGGAAATCTAGCACTTGGCGGCCACTTGCTCATAACAGCCGCACATAGGCCAACTACAAGTGCAAGGCAGTCGAAGAACATGTGGATACTATCGCTTAGAAGACCTAGCGACCCAGTAAGAAAGCCGTAAGACAGCTGGACCAGCATGAAGCCGAAATTAAGACTGATCCCAGTTAGCTATAATTGTAAGGCACCAAACGCACTGATTTTTACCTCATAAAATAGAAGATGCGGCGTGAATCACTCTCCTTCAGGATGCTGTATAGAAGAGGATATGGCTCGCTGTAACGAATGATAAGGTTGCTCACTCGCGATGCATCGTTGGTCTGGTGAGAATAATGATGACGAAGATGATGATGATTGTGGAATTGGGCCGCAAGACGCAAATGTTTATCGTCAAATCGCGAAGCAAAGAATGAAACTGCAGCAAAGATTCCTCTGAAGATATAAACATAAACTCCGTCCTCGAGAGGTGGCGCGCATAGTACGACTGCGCTGCCAGTGCCGATCGCTAAGCCTATCTTTTGTGCGGAGCGCATACTGCTAGTAACTGGATATACTAAGCAGGCTGTGAATGCACCGGCGGTGGAAAGTAAATAAAACAAATCTATGGCCTGAAGTGACACACCACCAGACACCAGCGCAGTTGCAAGGGCTAAAAGGAGTCCGGAAGTAGCTGTGAGGATTGAATAGTCCGGGGAAATAACATCTGATGAGCTGGGAGTCGAAACTTTGTGTTGCGAGACTGAGTGGACGGTGTGTTCAGACGCAGAGATATCGAGCCCAGCTCCGGAGCCGGTGGAGGAGGAAGATCCCATAAATGGCGGACGGATGATGAATATCGACAAACATAGTGACATGTAGCCTAAGAGAGGGTGTGCGTCCCAAGAAGTGTTCAGGCCCAAATAGCTTAATACAATGGCTGCTAGAATAACTCCCAAGGTCAGTTTTTTCTGACTTAGCCTTCCCCGGTTACAATACTGTGAATTAGTTCCAGGAATAATTGTTGGAAGACCAGATGCTGTTGCAAGCAGCAGAGCAAAGGCAACAAGAAATCCGCCGACTTTCAATGATGCATAAATAGGCAGCGCAACAGAGCATGTTTTGCCCAGCGAGGTACGAACCTCATTTGGACCAATTTTCGGGAAGGTCAACACTGAACCACCACGCTGGGCAATTTGAAATAGCTGTGCGCCCCCAAGCATGATCATCGTTACCGCCGCCAGAAAGCAAGTTTTCCTCATTGTATGGTCCAAATGCCTAGTGCCGGAACTGGCCAAGATATCTTCGCTCGCAACATCGCTGGGAGGCGGGGCTGGTGATTCCCATTGCACGTAACGCCGATAATACCACGAAGTTGCAATCCACGGAAGTGCTGCTAGAAAACCGGCAAAGCCGTCGTTTCTAGGGGAGTAAGTCATTGGCATTACTAGATTGGAGAATTGAGCTTCTTACGTGCTGTTTGACTCGGAACTCGAAGATGCAATGGCATTGTCATGCACAAAGCTCGGCACACTTTCCGAATGGCTGTGTTTTGCTGTATGAGTGTGAAACACACCACCGTGGCTCATACCTCCCCACCCGTTTTCATGAACAGAGCCGTGCGAGTGCGAATGTAGGTGGCCGTAAAATGTTGTGTTTGACACGGAGCCATTGGGGGTATCCGTGCCCACTACAGGTGACGACTGAATCGTAGATGCATTCAATGCTGATACTGAATGGGATATAGGGCCATGCGACCAACGAGTGGATCGAGAGTGACCGCGACCGCGACTGGGTCCATGTCCATGTCCACGAGTATGCGGCGTCAGAGAGGTCGTATCCACACCGGATACGGGGGCCTCCGTTGACATGATCTCAGTACTCGTTTATGCGACCTTCGTAGACAGAGAATCGAACCGGTGATGACTAGGGGAGGCGAGAGGCAGGTAGGCAACGGAGGCGGGGCCAAAAAGGAGTGGTAAACGGAGCTTTTAAAAGCTCAATGGAGACCGGCCAAACGATTCCGGCAAAGAACGCGGCATAGCGCTCAGGTTGAGCTGTAGTACAGAAGCAAGGAACGAAGGCAAGGGAATAAGTGCCGTGGCCTCTTTGGACCCCAGATCCAACTCGGGGGGCGATGGTGGCTGATCGATAAGGATGACCGCACGTGATCGTCAGTTTTACAGTCACAGCGGCTGCCTGACATTTCAGGATGCAATGCTCCCAGCCGTCTACAATCTACCACTTGGGTCCTTGCTGATGGTAAAAGAGACGAAATCCATGAAATGCTACAAATTTAAGTAAGAGCCACTAGAGTGTCTAGTTCGCCTATACAGGCCTATTTATGCAGGCCTCTGCAGCCAAATGTCTTTCTTTTGGACACTATAGCCGCGCGCTTGATGATCCTTGTGTGGGGGAAGCTCGGGACATGTTTACTCCGTGTCGCTGTTCTCGACTTGCAATGCTACCAGCTGCTCAATGCGCTTCTCGTGGCTCATTCAATCTCTATATGCACAATGGTTGACGGTTGAGCCGTGTGTTTCTCAGGCGAAAGCTCACCATGATCGAAGACATAATTAGTTTCGCGTGTTACGTGTCAACCGCGCTCACCTTATTTATCTTACTTCTACCTTCGCAATATGAACATGTGTCCATTAGGCGGGAGCCTCCCCTCGACCCCACAACCTCTGTCCAAATTCTGGTACTCGGGGATATCGGGCGCAGTCCGCGCATGCAATATCATGCTCTCAGCATCGCTAAAGGGGGTGGCCGAGTGGAACTAATCGGGTATCAAGGTGCGCTTCTTCTATACGTGATGGGTATCTAGGACATTCTAGGGTTGCTAATATACAAGTACTGCAGAGTCGGAAGTTCATCCCGATATTACCTCTGATCCGAGGATATCGATCGTTGCCTTACCGTCCCATCCGGCCTTTTTGGAGACAAGCAATAAGCTCCTATTTCTAATTCTGGGCCCGCTGAAGGTCCTTTTTCAGATAGTTTGTCTATGGTGGGCGTTGGCTTATCGTACCAAACCAGTGAAATGGTTGCTTCTTCAGGTTGGTACTAAAATATGCATAAGACACTTTTCGTATATACTAAGTTATTCTATTTCTTTCATACAGAACCCTCCCTCCATACCGTGCCTCGCGATCGCATCCGTTACCTGCTTTTTACGAAACACGGGTCTAGTTATTGATTGGCACAACTTTGGATATTCCATCCTAGCCCTTAAACTCGGAGACAACCACCCGCTGGTAAAACTTTCGAAGTGGTACGAAAAGACATTCTGCAAATACGCCACAGCGCATTTATGCGTCACTAGAGCCATGGCTTCTGTTTTGAAGGGCAAGTTCAAGTTAAAGGCCCCCGTTCTTCCGTTGCACGATCGGCCAGCAAGCCACCTACAGCCCATTTTGGACGGAAAACTTCGAGAAGAGTTTCTCCTATCACTGCCAGAAACATCCTCTGTCCGACCATTGATAAAGTCGGAGGAACTCCGAGTCCTAGTTAGTTCAACTTCCTGGACACCGGATGAGGACTTCTCGGTACTTATTGATGCCTTGTGTCGATATTCAGAAATCGCAACCACCACAATGCCTCAGTTACCCACAGTCATGGCTATCATAACTGGCAAAGGCCCGCAAAAGGAAATGTATATGAAACGAATCTCCGAGCTTAAGAAAGCCGGCAGGCTACAAAAGGTCACCATTCATACAGCCTGGCTCAGCACGGAGAGTTATGCTCGCCTCTTGGCGTCCGCGTCATTGGGTGTTAGTTTGCATACCAGCAGTAGCGGCGTTGATTTTCCCATGAAAGTCGTAGATATGTTTGGGGCTGGTTTACCGGTCGTTGGCTGGGATCGTTATGAAGCATGGCCCGAGCTGGTGACCGAAGGTGTTAACGGGCAAGGGTTTGGAAGCTCAGAAGAACTTGCTGAACTGCTTGTTGATCTCTTTCGTGAGCCAAGTAACCTCGAGAAGCTCCGCGCTGGTGCTCACAAGGAAAGCACACGCCGCTGGGAGGATGAATGGAATCCTGTAGCAGGAAAGCTATTTGGATTGACACAGTAGGCAGCCATATGTAGTCGGCATGATTGTATTATATTAGAGCACCTTGATAATAGGGAGGGGAAATTAAGCACAAAACTTGCCATTGCAATAGATACAGGTATCAAACGCATCAAAGAGAATCCGAGTAGCTTCAGGAATATCAGTACCATAGGAAGCCTCAACAAGATCTTCGTTGAGGTACTCCGTCGCACAGACAGAGCAGAATTTTGATATCCCAGGATCTTGGATAGATAGGGACGTCAAGCCACATCGAACTATGAGATGTAATAGTGAGCATAAACAAAATATAGAACCACTCTTAGCGAGGCACCTACCGAAGACGTGGCCTTCAACACATTGTGCTTCCCGGCCCGAGTACCATGCTATACCAGTATCACAGATCTCGCACTTCTCAAATACCAGCTGGCCTGGACCGCTTAACTCTTTTGCAGACTTCGCACCTATTGTGGACCCAGGCGTTGAGCATTTGTTTATCTCCTCAGTCAGATTAGCAGGTATTTTATTAGCCAGCCACTTTAGCGCTTTCCGGGCCTGAGATAGTAAATCCGTGTCGTGGGATTCAACGATGGCGCAACAAGCAGTTGCATATAGTATTTTGTGAGACCATGGTTGCTTATCAAATTTGCCATCTTTGAAAAACAGGATGTAACCCAAGACTGTCTCACGTTTTGCACCAAGATAATCTGCGGAGCGATCAGGGATTGTCGGATGCATGGCCGTATCATCAAGTTCCGTGATCTGGGACCGTGCTCGAGAAAATATCAGAGTTGTGCGCTCCTCAGTTGCAGTGCGATATTCAATCATGTCTCCAGGTTGTATCGTAACTGCAGCGACAACGAATTCGCCATATGAGGCTAAACCCCAGAGTCTCCCAACCGCTAACCCCCCAAGATCACGGTCAATATCAAAGCGCTCGCGGATGTCGTCGAATGAATGCTTCCACGGTGGCTGGAAGAATGAATCCTCATTGTGGAGGAGCGTGGGGACCATAGCCAATGTATATCCACCAACCGTGCCAAAATGGAGGATATTAGTCTTTGTCTCAGCATCCAATACCGTAGTAATTGCTATAACTTATTAGCGAGGCCAAAAAAGTCCAAACCTATAGAGCTTACCACTTGCTGGCTCCCAGTGTCTTCGCTCATCAATCTGTGTCCCGTCTGCAGTTGTTTCAAGCATCCGCTCGTGTACCACAGCTTGACTAGAAGTCTCTACTCCATGATATGCCTCTGAAGTGAATGTCACTACAACTATCCCAGCCAAGGTACCAGCGGCTAGATAGGTTTCATCTGATCCCTCCTAATTGCAAAGTCAGCATGCTTCAGATATAGTATCTCACCAATATTACCATATGTAGCCACTGAAGGGGACCCGTGAAGTGATATGTATCCACACCTTGCTCGCGTGCAAGGGCATTTTCCTGACAATCCACCGATATCCGGGAAGCCTGAGATTGTTGATATCCCTCCTCTGTAGACAGAGTCAAATGAAACTTGATGATGACAAGTTTAGTTCCGTGCAGAACTGCCACGTTTGCGGCCGCAGAACAGGCACAGTGATCGTTCACACCGCCAAGATTATAGACCCATGGTCCACATGAGATGGATAGAGGTTTCGCTTGGGTCTTAAGCATAGTAGCAAAGACCGAGTTTGGTTGGACTTGAGGGAAATCCTGAGTGGGTTTATCAATTGATGTAACAGACAGTATGTCAACCGAATAAGCATCAGAGGAGATAACCTGTGCCGAAGATCTTCGAGCATGTAGAAGAACAATTTCGTTATCGTCAGTGGCAACACAAAATAAATGATGGCCCCATCTTCCCTCCCCACCTGCCTGGCAGAATTTCGTCGTACCCTGGTCCAATGTAGGATCTTTGAAAGGTGGGCACCAGGAAAAGGACGAGATAGATGCTTTTCGTATCCTTAGGCCTTGACTATCCGTGACTGTTTCAAAATATTGCTTCAGGTATTTGTTAATGACTGATACGCGTATCCATTTTCCCTGAGGGCCCACAGATTCGTAAAATGATACAAGCATATTTGACGTCAACACTGCTAGGACACAGCGCCGGTATTTACCAAGGCCAGGTGGTGACCACGCTAGGCCGACGACAGTACTGAGAGACTGCTCACGCCCAACCGAGAAGTAATCTCGTTTTTGCGGCATCATAATTGGCCACTCCTTGCTCGTGAAGACATTCGCTCGAAAGCGACTGGTGTGCCAACCACTTGCTCTGCGAGACGAGGCAGCATAATCTCCATTTTCTGTGTTTTCCTTTGGTGTCTGTACAGGTATTAGCTGGCGGTATTTATCTACTGGGGAATAGATTTTGGCAAGAACATACTAAAATCTGGACATATTCCCCGGCGGCGACAGCTATTTCACCGTCTGCGGACCATGCCAGGCAGTTGTAACAAGATGGAACGAGTTGCAGCTCAACAGGCCCTAACATATCTCTCTACTAACAGATAAAGAGACTACCAGTGTTCATGATTAGACAGTGAATAGTCACACAAAAAGTATCTCAAGATTAGTACAGTTTGTAGGCTGTCAGTTGCAAGTGGAGAGTTCAAATCCCCAAATCAAGAGAAGAGTTGTGGATGTTTTGGGTTAGCGCGTAAGATGTTCCTCAATTGGGAATGGCATATGTTGTCACGTGCAGTTATTGCTTAGATTTGCCACACAAATATGCATTACCAGTGGTATTTTAAATAACTATAATAAGTAGTACAGTAAACATAATTGGAGCGTTCGTCATTAAGCAGCCATATATACACGCATGATATGATTTGAGTCCTTGTCAGAAGGTGGGTATAGATTCATGCAGTTGTCACTTTTAAATTCGCATAAAAATGGCAAATAAACACAGCCCAAAATAAAAATAAAAATAAAAAATAAGAGCTATCACTAGATTGGGAATCAGATGAAATTATACAGGAAAGTGCTTTAATTGGCTAAGAGAGTATAATTTCACTCAACCTTGTCCAGCTTCTGGATAACCATGGCACTGGCGGCACCGCCACCATTGCAAATAGCAGCAACACCATATTCGCCGGCCTGCAATTGATGAAGCAGGGTTACCAGAATGCGGGACCCAGAGCTGCCAAGAGCATGTCCCAAAGAGATAGCTCCTCCAAGGGGGTTGACCCTAGCGTTTTGGAGGCCCAGGATCTGTTGCGCTGTTAGAAACATTCAGAAATTACACCAGGTAAGCCGGGACCTACCTTTTCGTTGGCCTTGATGACGGCAGCGAATGCCTCATTAAATTCCCACACGGCAACTTGATCCTTCGTAATTCCAGCCCGCTCGAGGGCGATTGGGACTGCCTTAGCAGGGGCAATAGGGAAGTCGACGGGATCGATAGCGGCATCCGCAGAAGAAACAATGCGCGCTAGAGCACGGTTACCCTGGCCGAATTCTCGGGCAATTTCTTTGCTGCCTAAAACCAAGGCTGATGCTCCGTCATTCATGGTAGAAGCATTGCCCGCAGTCACGGTACCAGTGCCGTCTCTGAGGAAGGCAGGCTTCAAGGTCGCCATCTTGTCAATGCGCAGATTCTCATACCCCTCATCGCGTTCAACCACAATATCTCCCTTCTTGCCCTTCACTGTAACTGGGGCAATCTCATCGGCGAATTTATTCTCGTCCCATGCCTTCTGAGCCCGTTGGTACGACTGAATCGCGTATTGGTCTTGGTCCTCCCTGGAAATCTCGTACTTCTTTGCGGTCTGCTCGGCACAAATGCCCATATGGAATTGGTTGTAGACATCCCACAGTCCATCTTTGATCAAGCCATCTTGCAACTTGATGTCCCCGAATGCTGGCAACTGACTAGACCGAGCCAGATAGTAAGGGACTCTAGTCATATTCTCCATTCCACCGGCGACCTGGGCATCTGCCAGACCAAGCTGAATATTCTGGGCAGCCACTGTCACAGCCTTGAGGCCTGAAGCACACACTTTATTTACAGTCATAGACTCCACGGTAGGAGAAAGGCCCGCAAACATAGATGCCTGCCGAGCCGGGGCCTGACCAACCGCGCCTTGGAGTACATTCCCCATGTAGACATCTGTTATTTTCTCCTTTGGCACTCCTGATTTGGCCACGGCCGATTTAATAGCCACTGCTCCCAATTCGGGGGCAGAAACGGAGGCAAAGGAGCCATTGAACTGGGGGGCAGGTCAGCAGCGAAGTACAAATAAGCATTGATATCTCAGTAATCAGCAAGGAAATATAACCTTCGCAGTGGGAGTGCGAGCAGCACTGAGAATATAGGCGTCCTGAATCTCCTTAAGGACCGGGCGCGCAGCACTGAACTGTCTCTGACACTGACGAGATGCAGGGAAAGACGCTCTCTTAGCGAAGAGCCGAGCCGTTAGTCCAGCTGATGTTTGGATAGTCATTTTGGGGGATAGGAGAACAACTGCTAGGTGGAAATGGAGGAGGTAGATGGTTGTGAGGAGAGAAGGCGTGCGAAACGCCGAGGAAGATGGACAGCCCTCCGTCTCTTCTCCGCAATGTATTCCGCCTCTAGCCGCCCGCTGCCCGCACGTTTTCGACCGAGGCAAATATCAATCACATGATGTCACGTGTGCATTTCTTAGTAACATCTCGCGGTGAAGATGAGGTAATCGTGCGTCATTGTAGATATGGTCAAAAATAGCTAGTTTCCCCATCGAGTGAGTTCTCCCGATGGCAACAGAACGGCGTGAGGGAAGTAGCCCAAAATAGCGATCTTGGTTGGATCGGCCGCTTTATTGTTCCCCTAAGACCCATTCCATCTTTTCCACTTCATTCGAATACCTCCTTCACGCTGCGAACTTCAACCTTTTGTTCTTCTACATATCTGATTTTCAGGTCACAATTTTCCAACTTGTCTAGTCTCTGGACCTGAAGTCACACCCACCACCTCCCCTCCTTCGCTCTATCCTCCGATAGCTCCCCGTACCCCGCCGCGATGTCTACCTCTGCCCGGCGTCGTCTGATGCGTGACTTCAAGGTACGTGCCACAGTAGTTCTTGTGCTTTATCAAGACTTCATACCGTGAATCTCGAGTTCTTGATTGTTTTCATTTGTCAAGCTTATCGCCCGTGTTAATTTGATGGAGATATCTAACATATTCTCACGGGTTAACCTTGGTGGATAGCGTATGCAAACAGATCCTCCTGCCGGCGTTTCAGCTTCTCCTGTAGCAGACAATGTCATGACTTGGTATGGCATCGTGACTTCTAAGTGCTATGTATGGCACTGATGATCTCTGCTCTTAGGAATGCCGTTATCATTGGCCCTGCCGATACCCCTTTCGAGGATGGCACATTCCGCCTGGTCATGCATTTTGAGGAGCAATACCCTAATAAACCCCCCGGCGTCAAGTTTATCAGTCAGATGTTTCACCCAAATGTCTACGGTACTGGTGAACTTTGCCTCGACATTTTACAGAATCGTTGGAGCCCAACTTATGACGTGGCGGCAATCCTCACTAGTATCCAGAGGTATGTCTTATTGGCTGCGACCCCTTCATCTGAATGCCAACTAATCACATCATGCTTCCTCATATTAGCTTACTTAATGACCCGAATACTTCATCGCCGGCAAATGTGGAAGCCTCGAACTTGTACAAAGACAATCGGAAGGAATACATCAAGCGCGTGCGTGAAACAGTTGAGAAGAGCTGGGAGGACTAGTCCTTTGCCTCCGGTTCCCTTGACCTATTAACTATTTTCTTGGTTTCATTTCGCTATACTTATGGTTATTCTCTCTACGACGGGATAGCGTTTCCGATCACGAGAGAAGTTGACGGCGAGTAGCCATGTTACTTGATTGAATTATTGTATGACTCATCGAGTCTTGAATTCGGGGAACTTCATGCTGTTTGATGACATGCACAGCGCGGGGTTTTGGCGCCTGGTGAATTTTCTTCTCAGTGTTGTGGATAATTGCATTTGTTTTGTTTAACGTTGCATAATGCATAGGCTTAACTCGGATTTTTTCTGTCTTCGGAATGTATATTGTAGTCAAAAAAACCACCCTAGTTTCGTTGCATTCTATAGAGTGTTACTTATTATTGCTGTGATGATGTGATGACCGGAAACCCGTCATTTATCTCTGGTTTTCAGTAAATTTGATGCGGGACAAGGTGATTTCCAATGTTTTTTTAGGTGGGCGCCAAGAACCGTCCTAAATGGTTGGTGTTCGAACCACTCTTCCAACCGACACTTCTAAGAATCACCCACGCGTACCTCTTCCGCCCGATCGGTGACATTTGACCTCACAGCACGCCCCTCGCTGTGAGATAGACGGTCACTAGTCGTGAATCAGCTCTCTCTTTCTTGGGTGGTAGTTCTTCTTACTGCCCACGTTGTCTGCGTGCGCCGCGCACGTGGACCCCTGACCCAAACAACTCCCATCGGTCCTCGATTACCACCGACTCGACCTTCACCGGGTTTGGAAACCAAAGCCCACAATTCTTCCCCTCCTCGTGGGGTACCTTTTCGAATCCCTTAAATTACCTGGGTACGCTTATTGAGCTTGGGTCAGAGTGATCATGGCGTACGTTTTTCTATGTCTCTCATTTCATTACCTCCTTTCGCTAAAGCATACTGACGATATGTTGTTTGACAGGTCATCTGGCCCCAACACTATCAAGGGTACGTGGTCTTTGAAGCGTATCCATTTGGTCTCAGTGATTTTTATTCAACTAACTGTTCATTCGCAGTCGTTGCGAGATTCCGACCGCAGAACAAGGTTGAATTAGCGTCAGGAGGGGAGCCCATCGTTGAGTTTGAAAATGAGCAATCATGTCTCATCAACGTGAGTCGGCTTTGGTCTCGAACAGTTATCTTTGTGTTGTGTTGACCAGAAGACAGTCCGGAGAATCTGCTTCTTTCACCTTCGACCGAGTGTTTCCTATGAACTCGCTGCAGGCCGACATCTTTGACTTCTCTATTCGGCCTACTGTTGACGATATTTTGAACGGATATAATGGAACCGTTTTTGCGTATGGTCAGACGGGAGCAGGAAAGTCGTATACCATGATGGGCTCGGATATCGATGATGACGTCGGGAAGGGTATCATTCCGCGTATTGTCGAGCAAATCTTCGCCAGTATTCTCACGAGTCCGAGCAACATCGAATACACCGTTCGTGTTAGTTACATGGAAATTTACATGGAACGTATTCGCGACTTGTTGGTCCCCCAAAACGATAACCTGCCTGTGCACGAGGAGAAGTCGCGAGGTGTGTATGTTAAAGGGTTGCTCGAGGTCTATGTTTCCAGTGTACAAGAGGTCTACGAGGTTATGCGTCGTGGTGGTACGGCCAGGGCAGTTTCCGCCACAAACATGAACCAGGAGTCCTCCCGATCTCATTCGATTTTTGTCATTACCGTTACACAGAAGAACCTCGAAACCGGTTCCGCTAAGAGCGGTCAGCTCTTCTTGGTCGACTTGGCTGGTAGCGAGAAGGTTGGAAAGACAGGTGCCAGTGGACAGACTCTTGAAGAGGCTAAGAAAATCAACAAGAGTTTAAGTGCTCTTGGTATGGTCATCAACGCGCTAACGGATGGCAAATCGACACATATCCCATATCGGGATTCCAAACTTACCCGAATCCTGCAAGAAAGTTTGGGTGGTAACTCAAGAACTACGTTGATCATTAACTGCTCTCCCAGTAGTTACAACGATGCAGAAACAATCTCTACACTACGATTCGGTGTGCGCGCAAAGGCAATCAAGAACAAGGCGAAGGTCAATGCTGAACTGAGCCCGGCCGAATTGAAAGCGCTACTTCGCAAAGCTCAAGGTCAAGTCATCAATTTTGAGAATTATATCTCGGCTTTGGAGACCGAAGTTCAGGTATGGCGAAGTGGTGAGACCGTTCCCAAAGACCGGTGGACTTCCAGGGGCAGTGAAACAGTCAGTGCTACGAAACCTGAGCCTCGCGGACCACGCCCTGGAACTCCTTCTCGACTTCAAGACACCCCTCGATCCGAGACCCCTCGACCGGATTCACGAGTTGGTGATCGCTCTAGCACACCCAGCATCATTCTAGAGAAAGATGAACGAGAGGAATTCCTTAAGCGGGAGAATGATCTCCACGATCAGATCGCGGAGAAGGAATCGCACATTGCCAATGTTGAACGCGGTCTTCGCGAAGCAAGGGAGGAACTGAAAAGCATGAAGGAGAACTCCGCACGCTCGGGTAAGGACAATGAAAAACTGAACACAGAGGTCAATGAGCTGCGCATGCAGCTAGAAAAGGTGTCGTACGAAAGCAAAGAAGCTTCAATTACCATGGATGGCCTTCGGGAAGCCAACGCCGAGTTAACTGCTGAGCTGGACGATGTCAAGCAGCAACTCCTTGATGTTAGGATGAAGGCTAAAGAAACCAGTGCTGCATTGGATGAGAAGGAGAAAAAGAAAGCCGAAAAGATGGCTAAAATGATGGCTGGGTTTGATCTCGGGGGTGATGTTTTCTCCGATAACGAGAGGAAATTGCAAGATCTCATTCAACGCGTCGACTCGCTGCACAAGGTCAGCGAAACAGGCGAAACTATTGCCCCTGATGACCTTCTCGAGCTCCGAGCCAGCCTCGTGGAAACTCAAGGGTTTATTCGCCAGGCCGAACTAACCATGAATGACCGAGGGGAACTGGGTGAGCTGCAGGACAGCCGTAGAGTGGTGGTTGAGGAGAAGCTGGCCAATCTCGAGCAGGACTATGAGAAGCTTCTGGAACGGAACCTGGGCAAAGAAGATGTCGGAGAGATTAGAGAGCGGCTGGAGAAAGTGTATGTTACTCGCAAAGAGACTGAACTGCAGGCCGCCGCCGAACTTAGGAGCGAAATTGCGCGCAAGGATGAAGAACTTGGCAAGTTGCGACAGTCTCTTGCGGACTCCCAATCTCGAGTGTCGACGAATGGCGCTGCAGGCAAGAATCTGCAACAACAGATTGCCGAATTTGACGCCATGAAAAAGTCACTCATGCGTGACTTGCAGAACCGTTGTGAGCGCGTAGTGGAGCTGGAGATCTCGCTGGATGATGCCCGTGAGCAATACAATAACGTGCTCCGCTCCTCGAACAATCGGGCTCAGCAGAAGAAGATGGCCTTCTTGGAACGCAACCTTGAACAACTGACCCATGTACAGCGGCAGCTGGTGGAACAGAACAGCAGTTTGAAGAAGGAAGTGGCCATTGCGGAGCGCAAACTCATTGCGAGAAACGAGCGGATCGCGAGCCTGGAGAGCCTGCTCCAGGAGAGCCAGGAAAAGCTCACCCAAGCGAACCATCGGTACGTCGTCCAACCCCTGTCTGTATTCGGTAAGGGATAACTATTAACCGCTGACCTCCCTATAGTTTTGAGGCTCAACTCACTGCTGTCAAAGAGAGACTCGAGGCCGCGAAGCAGGGGTCGACGAGGGGTCTTCCAACTATGGATGGCAGCAGCGGTTTCAGTTTTGGCGGCTCGAGGATTGCGAAGCCGCTCCGCGGCGGCGGTGGGGGATCCGAGAGCAGCGCTCCCATTGCTGGGGTCCAGTCGCAGGAGACGGCGAAACGTACCAGCTGGTTCTTTGATCGACGATGATCCACGATTTCTCTTTTGTTGTCTGTTTTATCCCTTCGCCGAAGATATTTGAAGTACAGATTTTTCCCCTTGGCATGCCGATATCCTCTATCTCTTGTTGTCTCGTCCTATGAATTTGGCCGAAGATGTTTGTTTTTTTCTTTTTTTTTTTGCAACGAAACTATTTCTCCTCTTATGCTGATGACAATTTTCTTCTCTTTTTCTCATTCTTCGTCCCCTTTTCTTGAACTCCTTGGTACATTAGATCGGGTACTTAACCCTATGGTTCTCATCGATACCCTTGTACATGAAAAGATAGAATGCATTACGAGAATAGTAGATGGCTGGTTGATATAAAGATGCGAGTAATTCGCTATATAATAATTTAGACAGGGGTCTACCAGTACAGAGGATTATATTCATGTAGGTGTACTAATTCTTGCGTTGGCAGTCGCCGTATAAATATATATACAGGCTGAGTTTTTAATTTTTCTTTGACAATAATTTGGAGGGGCTGTCCTATTACAGCTGTAAGAAGGATCTATATTTAATCACTAATTAAAGGACAGGCTATATATAACCTTACATACAGCATTCTATTAATTAAACCTCCGGGGTTGAGAGTAGTCAAAGTTTAGGTGGAGATAGTGGTCCATCCAAATATAGTACTCACCGCAAATAGTGAGATACGACTGTAGCCACGGTTCTCGGATTTGCCTTTGAGTAGTAAAGCTGCCCGGTGAATTCGAGACCATTCTGATTCCAGATCCGTCTCAGACGGATAGTAGAAGGGATTTCGTATTGATTCCGACATATCTCAAGTTGCATATTCGCGTCTTTTCGGTAATCTGTCTCCTATATAGCACATGTATCCTATAAGACGAGCGGAGTATCTTCTGAGAGACGTTCAGATCATCTGCCAGTAAGTCCATAATGAAGATTCTGTGCTATTTGGAAGAAATAGAGATGTCATTGGGTTCCCGGATAACATGAAATGAATACAGAATGTATGTCATATGGCAACTGTGAAAAATGTGCAATATTGGCGCACAGAGAGTATGCAGTAAATGGCTACCGTGGTGTCCTCATCCATATGCATCTCTTAGTTAATCAGTGTATTCCTGTCATCCGGAAAATGGAAGCACGTCATATATCATTATACCTTGTTTTAACCTTACCTTAGCCGGAATGGCGTTATTCCACCAAAACCGTACATATAGATACAATGGGATGGAGATATGCAGAACAATTTACTAAGTAGGGTTTTACAATAAGCAGCTAGTCTGGAAGGGGCGGTGCTAAAAATATGGAGCTTACTTTTCCGTTGATTTGGCACAGTGATTCCATCACACCCCAACCCTCTATTTCTTGGTATGAGACAGGTCTTCAGCCCTCCTCTTGCAAGAGCCCACGAAAAGAGCCCATTCAGGTTTTGCTGATTATGGAATTTAGTGAAGAAAATTGAAGAAATATTATTTGCAGTCAGTATTCGAACCTGATACTGTATACACGCGTTTTCTCTGATTCATGAGGTCCACTCTTGCATATTATTGAGTAGTGGAGTTGCCTACGCCCATACCCATTATAGATAACACGGAAGTGGCGAAGTTAGGCTTTGAAAGATTGTGTAACCATTGAATACAATGTTATAGCCAGCTCGCTGGATTCTACCAACCACAGATAATCGCTGTAATAGTTCTAGTCCCTTTTAGATCCTCCACCATCCGAGATACATAAAGTCTACGTGGTAACGATCGTGTCGACCGACAAGCTAGTCACTTTAAAACAGACAAAGATATTATAATAGGCGGAAGCTGGATTGTCGCCTGAGCACAAGACGTACAAGCTAGACCAAGCAAGCATATAAGGATAAAGGACCACACTGGGTTATAGCATTATTATCTAAGTTGTGATGAAGATATTGTCATTCTCTAGATACTTGAAGGTATGACCAAGCAGCTCAGGTTTCTCTGTTTTCCTCTACATACAATAGTCATCTATTTTATTGTGAATAGTATCAGCAATATCAATCACCTTAGGTAGATTAGCTGTGAATGTAGTAGACAACATTGTACATTTCTAAGTAAAGAAAGTGGGTGGTGAGAAAGGCCTTAGGGAATAGGACACATCTATTTGTTCACTTGTCCGCAGTTCTTGATAAGATGTATGTCCATACATCATCATGATTATTTATAGGAGAAAATGGCCCAAAAACGTCCTTCTTGTCCAACATTCCCCCTTCAAGCTATACAAGCAGGGCCATACCTGTCTTCTAATTTTTACTCTACATTCATCCCAGATAAATCAAAATAAACAGAGTATCCTCAGTATGTCCAAGAATTCTCTTGTAAGAAACCAACTCAATTGTGCAACGAGCCATGGGAATACCCTACTATGCAGCATCGCAGCATCATGCTCTGGCCTACGAAAGGTGTCATGGCTCTAGTTACAGTATTACATATAATTTCAAGCCGTCACCGAGTCGGCATGTATCTGAAAGGGAATGCTGAAAGAAAAATTTCCGATGGCGCATGACCATTGAGGACATCAAGGACTCGAAACATAGTTAGGTATAATGAAAAACTAATGACTTATTGAACGGCGACCAAGCTGAAAGAGCATATTGAGCATTGTCCACAGCCCTTAACGAATACAGTATGGGCGATTTCGATTCAAATAGCCAGGTGGGAGCTTCCGGAATTACGGCAGGGCGACTGGTCTTGGTCGTGGCTTACGGTCGATCCTGGCTCCCAGCATTAAGAGGCTACTACATTCTTTGCGAAGATTTGTTCAAATCTATCGGTACCTGCTTAGCTGATATAAGCCAAAGGTCTTCGACTAGGTTGACATGATTTTACGCACTAGAATTACGATATTGGTAACCTTTAGCCAACATACGGAATCCTTCTTTGGATAATGCGGTGGTCCACAATTCAGAAATAAAAACCACAATCTCAGCAGAGGATACAGCAGTCGGAAGATTTCTAGAACTATCTGAATAGTCGTGATATTGACTATCACTGTATAGACACCCCTCTACTGACAGGAATATTTCCGTACCAATTCCACACAAAATTCGAAGAAATACAGAAAGAGATGGCAACACTGGAACCCTAGCAACCAAGCTGGAAGCTTTTCTGGTAGCACGCAACTAAATCACGGTGGGCTTTACAGTTCCGTCCATTGCAAGTCTCGGGGTTGAACATACCGTTCTTACAACAGAGGGTAATAACGGAAGCTCAACCAAATACAACTAATAAACTAGAGCAAACTCGAGCCCAACAATATCACCAGCCTTCGAAGCTGGTTACAAGCCATCCGCACGACAGATGCATGTATTAACACAACCGGGATATCTGTATGGATACTATTACCGCTATATTGGGGACCGAAGATATTTGCTGGTATTATGCCAGAGTGTCTGTATAAGCAACCACAAATATCTATATATCTAAGACCATCGTGCAAATAAACTGAACAAGATTGCATTAGTTGTGTTGTATTTAAACATCCTTGCAGTCGGGACCACGGTATGACACATTAACCAAGCAAGACATGGCTATGCTAACAATTCTAGTAAATGGACGTGGCAGAAAATGAATGAAATACCCTCGAAGACGCGAATAAGTACATCGGCTTGATTAATCGGATGAGAGAGTCAATCATATATCTTGCCAAGACAGTACCTCTATAAGATAGAAAAAACTTTCTTACAAATCTGGGTCCGCTGAAAGGAAGCCCGAGGAAGTTTTTCACGAAGCATATCCAAATAGAGGAGCTCACTGCTTCCTAGTTGGAAGCGTTGAAAACATTCAATCCAATTTGACTCTAAAATGATCACCACAGATCTTAATATTAACGGGGACTTTTTTTATTGATATTCGACCCATAAAGACTTCATGCAAATACCTGCTTTCGTTTCTACAATGGATATTTTCATCAAATTCAAGAATAACATGGATAGGTGCGCCCCAGGGAGCAGTAGTACTACTGCTGCTGATAGGTGTCTTGAAATCCAAAGCACCTACAATAAGGTAAGATACGAAACTTCTCATTTGGATAAATTAAAGGCGAGTGAGGAGACTGACACGATCACTAGGGACGGGCACGTAGGACACTCATTCTGGAAGGCTCTAAAATAACGGAACATCAGCTCATAGAAGGGAAATGGGACACAATGTTTGTCTTATATGATTTCCTTAACACAAATACCGCATATACATGGGAATTAAGGAAGTGTTTCGCCGTTTGATGCCACAACCCGAGACAGTCTAAAAAGGATGTTGCAGAACTAGCTGTCAGTGTCACCAAGCCGGGCCTATGATGCGTCAGAAGCCGTTTGAACCGCTGGATTTAGCAGTATGTTTCTTTCTAATTTTCTAAGTGTATAATGTACTAGGCAAATCGCACGAATAAATTTATCTTGTCATTAGAATATGATATTTTACAATCACAACTCGTTTCTACCTCGATTTAGTCCGCCGAAGGCAGTTCGGGCGTCTGCGACAGAGTAAAGAACATGCGATGCATGCAAATATAGGGGCTAGGAATGCTTCTTCGACTTCCATGCCCTTGAGAAGTCTGCAAAGAGGAAGGTTAAATCTGTGTTTCCCAACGCATGTTCACTTAAGCTTTACACTAAAGAATAAAGTCCACTTGATATTAAGAATAGCAATAGGAATAACCTAGCACTTTATAGAAGGAAAGCTAATAGACGACATTGTACTATCTCTGCCTTTAGTTATACATGTGAAGCCAGACGCTAGAAAAGTGGCTGGAAAACTATGATGTGGAATGAAGAAAAGGCAGAAATTTGCGCAAGTCTCTTCGGTATCTATACCTATCTGTAGTTCCTGAGCTGGCCTCAGGTCCTCAGGACTAGAAAATGCTAAGCCAATAAATAATAATGCATCAAATAAACCGTCATGGAAATGCGGGGATACACTTAGGCTTAAGGCGTCCGTGGAAATGTTTTTATTGGAATGGTCTTCCTATCAAAAGATGTTGAAACGCCGATCTGCTCGGATAGATTCCGTACCTAGTTCCGTAGGGGAGGATGTGTATCATGAAAAGATGGCTCTCGGCGGTGTGGTCCAATGGGGGATGTCTAACCCGGAGGTCAAACTTAAGTTATAAATAGGTTATGTGAACACCATAAATCGATGCCCTGTATACTAGGTATTCAACAGCCATGGCTAAGTACAAGATCGCTATAATCCAGCTATACCCCAAGGTAAGACCACCCCCGATAAGAGATTCTCATACCTAATCAACGGTAGCCCTACAACATCGACAACAACCATGCTCGCGCGGTCGCTCGAATCCGCGAGGCATCCAGCCGCGGAGTCCAGCTGGCCGTACTGCCCGAATTCCACCTAGGGGAATTATACCCTCCGAACCCTGACTTCCGCAACGATTGCAAAAACTGGAAGCAGTATCTGGACGCGTATCGCGCCCTCGCTCGGGAATGTCATATCTGCATCGTCCCGGGGAGTTTCGCAGAGTTGCACGTGGACGCGGAATCAGGGGAGGAAAAACTCGTCAACGCCACGTACTTCATCAACCATCACGGGGACATTTGTGGACGATACGAGAAGAAGAACCTATGGCATCCGGAGCGGGAGCACGTCCAGGGATCGAAGAATCAACCGCATATCGCGTTCGACACCCCCCTCGGAAAGGTCGGAATGCTGATCTGCTGGGATTTGGCGTTCCCGGAGGCATTCCGAGAGCTTATTTCGCAGGGCGCCAAGATTATCATTGTCCCCGCGTATTGGAAACTGACCGACCCTGAGATTGGGGTTAAGAGGAACCCATTAGCCGAGCAGATCTTCCTCGACTCTGTTATTGTCAGTCGTACATATGAGAATACCTGCGCTGTGGTGTTCTGTAATGCGGCGGGGCCGGCAGAGGAGGGGTTCGCGGGTCTGTCGCAGGCTGCAGTGCCGTTTCTGGGGTCGGTGGGGCGATTGGCGACTAGTGATGAGGGAATGGGGATTGTAGAATTGGATATGAGTTTGGTGGAGGATGCTGAGTTGGACTATAAAGTTCGTGAGGATATGGCGAGCTCGGATTGGCATTACCAGAGTGTGACACAGAGATAGTATCTGCCTTTCCCTTCGCAACGGAATCGATTCCGAAGTCCTCGATCTGGATAGATGCCCTAGTTTGAAACGTGCCCAGAAACTTGGCTAGTTTGACTTGGTGTAGGCAACGATCCTATCGTCTTCATGCTTCCCTGCTTCCCCGCGTTCGTTGATTCTTTCGTCAATAGCTCCTAATAAATGTGACGGAGAAGATAACATACGATCGCTCCTGGCGAGTCTGTGCTGATGGTTATATGTATAAAATAGTGACAAATGTCATGCCCTGTACCTGGAGGATAGACATCAGCAACAATGTCCTCACAAAGCCAGCCAGTTGACCCTGATTGGCCCCCTGGGACTGTTCAAGTGGAAGGTAGGACGAACTCAATCTGAATACAGTCTGCTAACCCGATAGATTTCTACCAGCATAACAGAAACAGGGTGGTGCTGCAGCCCCAGCCGTCAAGTGATCCCAATGACCCTTTAGTACGTGAGTCGTCCCAGCGCGAAGCCTCAATTAACGCATTAGACCTGGCCAGAATGGCGGAAACATCTCAACTTCGGTCTCGTATCATTCTACGTCTTGATGGTGATTTCCTTGTAAGTCACTCGTCCCTAACTCTGCATCGCCTGATTAATTGTTTAGTACGAATATCGCCACCGTCACTTGGGGACCAATAAATGAAGAACTCGGATTCGGCTACTCCATCCTGAATAACAGCTTCGCGGCAGGATGCGGTGCATTTGCCATCGGTGGCATCTTCCTTATCCACTTCGCCCTCAAATATGGCCGTCGACCAGTGTATATCTTCAGCACAGCCATCCAATGCGGACTAAGCATCTGGTCGGCCAAAATGCAAACCATTGCCGACCTCATGCTGGTTAATATCCTCAATTCATTCGTCGGTGCTCTCTCCGAGATCATCGTGCAAATGACCGTGGCAGATATCTATTTCGTCCACCAGCGAGGTCTGGCCAACAGTATCTATATCTGGTGCATGACCATCGGCGTCTCCCTGGCTCCCCTGGCAGCCGGATATGTGACCAACTCGCAGGGCTGGCGCTGGGTATGGTGGTGGATGGCCATCTTGTTCGGCATCGGCGTGGTGGTGTTTTTCTTCCTCTACGAGGAAACCATGTACACTGTCATTGAAGGAGTGACTCCATCGTCCCCGTCCCGTCCGGATGAAGACACTTGCGTGAAACCCAGTACTGATCCCCAGTCCCAACATCAGTACCAAGAGCCCATCCCAAAACACGACAAACCGCTACTCACCACCGTGCAAGTCGACACTTCAATCCCTGAGAAACCATACTGGAAAAAACTTGCCCTCTGGACCTCCTCCCCGGCATCCTTCACGTATCTCGTCTGTCACATCTACCAGCCTTTCCTGATAATGGTTCACATCCCCGCTGTGTTTTTCATGTCGCTCATGTACGGAGCCATGACGGCGGCGGTAACGGTCCCCACTGCCACTTTCTCCACGTATCTGACCATGCCACCGTATAACTTCACCTCGGTGCAGATCGGTCTTATGGGTCTGCCTTCGTTCATTGGAATCACTCTGTCCGTACTCATCAGTGGACCCCTCAGTGACTGGCTCATTCTGCGCATGGCAAAACGGAACAACGGGATCTACGAGCCTGAGACTAGACTCTGGATGATCCTCCTTTTTGCCCCGTTCGTTCCCGCAGGTCTCCTCCTGTTCGGTATTGGGTTGAATAATCATCTCCCCTGGCCGGTCATTGCCCTCGGATTGGGTCTGACTACCTTTGGCACAACCACGGGGAATAGTATCCCCTTGACTTATTTGACGGATGCATATACCGATGTGAGTGAACCCGGAACTGTGGTGTGGAAGTATGTAAATTCGGCTGAGCTAATGGGGTAGATTGTGGCTGACTCGCTCGTTGCTGTCACTTTCGTGAGAAATGCCGTCTCGGCTATGTTTGTGTTTGCTCTCATGCCTTGGATTCAGAGGGACGGGTTAACAAACGTGTTCATAACATTTTCTATCGTCCTAACGGTCATTTTGGCGGCCAATTTGATCTTTATTATCTGGGGGAAGCGATTCAGGGTACGGTTTGCACAGAGATATATTCAGTATGCGGAGAGAAGGTTGGGTTGATTCGTGCATTGCATTGGATTCCATTTCTTAATACAACATGGTTAGGGTTATCTAGTCTATTATCTACATCATTAGTGTCTATCTAATCCATCAATATGAATTTCCACAAACTGAATCCTCCCATCCACAACCGGACTCACAACTGGAAACCCATCCACCCTACCAGACACAACAGCCCTCCTGGCCCTTTCAATCCCCATATCATGCACACTATTCCCTTGCACAGGCTCTCCGTGTTCAAAAACCTGCAACATAAGTCCCGTATCCGTCATGGCGGCTTCCGCGCCCACCAGCGTCTCCTCTTTCGGAAACCATGTATATCCGTCAAACCCCTGCGCAATGAACCCCGCTAATGCGACGGTGTACATCCCTTGCGGGTTGATTCTCGTGTCGTCGCGATCGAGGAACACGTCTAGCACGCGTGAACCCTGCTGACGCTGCCACGTGGCGCGGATTCGCAGACCGGAGACTTGCAGGAATCGTCCATCGGTGTGCATGTCGCTGATAGAGTTTTCAAGTGCTTGGTACAGGGTTTTTCCTGAAATGCGTTTGACGAGGAGGGTGTTTTCGAATGGACAGATATCTGTTTTCTTAGCCTATTTGTATCATCATGAATATGTTGAAAAGGGGGAATAAATATAGGTACTCACTGATGATGTCGCGCACTAGTAGTGGTTTCCCACTCACTGTCTGATCGATAATCCTATCGCATCGAATGGCTCCGCTGTTGAAAAATGCTATATCGGTCTGGTAAAATGCCCGCACCGCGTCCGCGAGCATGTTTCCCAGATTTGTCTCTTGGCTTCGCACAACGGTGCTGCGACCGTCCAGCGGAACAGCGCAATGCAGAACTGGCTCTTGCACCAATGCTCCCACCTGGTCATGGATTGTCGTGAGCATCACCTTTTCTTCAGGTGCAGGAGAGATGGGTTCAATCGCGGTTTGGATATCGGTATATTGTGTTACTGATCTCATTAGCCACGAGAGACAAGACAGTGAGAAGGGAGGGAGAGGGAGAGTGAACTTACATTGTGTAGAAACAGAGACCACTCCATCCGTCTTATCTACCAGCATCCGAACAAGCGATAATCCCCTCCAATCCGTCCCACTCTTCACGATGCGAATATCCCCCCGGCAAGAGTCCACCCTCCCGCGATACACTATCTCCTCGTTCGCTCGTCCCTGCTCAATCACCTCCGGCTTCGTCTCCGTGTCATGTCCATACCGTCGTACAACTTCATGGTCATGTCCCCCGAGGAGTAAATCCACTCGACTCTCTCCTGATATCGTGGCTTGCATAACCTGCATGTCCTCCGCGAGACGCATATGTGTCACTGCAATGACGACGTCGCATCCCTCGTGCGTGCGTAGCCGGTGCGCTAGACGTTGCGCGGTTTCCACCGGCGGGAGAACAGTTGATAAGGGGAGGTTTTCACAGTTAGATGGCCAGTCTCTATTCATTTATCAATTGAAGTTTGATCTGTTTGTGCGAAACGAGGATTGCTTACGTCCCGGCTAAGCCGAAAAATCCAATCTTTACCCCGTCGACAGTCCAGGTAACGGATTCTTGTGCGCAGGCGAGAAGCCGGTCCTTCTCTCCGGCGTGGTGCGCGTTTGATAAAACCCATGGGAATCGGAGGTGGCTAGATAGTTCCACGAGTCTGTCGTTGCCGAAATCAAAATCTATCTATTATTTTTAGGCACTGCATGGATGACTTTTGATATAGAGCAGAGAGGCAGACTGACCATGGTTACCGTAACATGCCAGATCAACGCCTACATAGTCCAGAACCGGACCCATATGTGCACCTTTTAGCACGCTGGCTTCCAGCGATGGCGAGAAGGCATCACCGCTGAAGATAGTCAGGCCTGCAATGCTGCCTAGGAAGGATTGTTGGATTCGCGTGAAGCGGGACAGTAGATCGGTTGATGGGAGATGGTACTTATCTTTTCTTAGTTGTGTATATCTAACTGGAATGGAGGGGTACTTACTATGTCGTTGAAGTGGACAATTCGTAGTTCGGTCTGCATGGTGATGAGAGAGGTGAAAAGGAATTGGTGGGGTAGCCAAGACGATAGATGGAATTGTTGAACCCTTTGCTAACTAATAGTATGTTATAAATTTTTCTATATAATAGTATTTTGTATAGAATAATTACTAAAATCGTATAATCCTTCTAAATAGATATGCTTATCAGTTACATATGTACTTGATTTTCTGGACAGCTTGATGCCTTTCCCTTTCCGTTTTAGTGCTCACCCCTCGCCGCTTTTCGCTCACTGAGCAGGGGCTGAGAAGAGGGGGGAGTAGCCTGAGCAAGGTAGCCTCAATAAAATGCACCACGCTAGCTTCACCAGTGAACCATCTTCCGTCGTATTAGTGGCGGACCTGACCACCCACCGCCTTTCCGCCGGTGGGTGGTCGGCGGCCTACAGGCATTTTCACCCTAGAGGCTGATTTTTGAAGCAATTCGTAATTCAACACCTAGAACCTGTAGAATCCATAATAAAAACCTGACTACCCGATTCCTCTGCCATTTTACTATGGGAGACAGGATTTTGATCTTCCGCAGCAGGGGCGTGGGGGGCGAAGCCGTACGCCTCTTTAAATGCCTTATCCGCTTTCTTCTTCTTATTTAACGCCTCTTTGGCTCCGTAACATAATATGTTGGAGCATACCGCCATCCATGAGCGCCTGCCCTCGGTACGACCTCGCTTAATCATCATTTATGTAAGTAGAACTTATTAACCAGTTAGTAGCTGCGCGGGGGAATATCAAGCGTATCCAAAGCATCAATATATTGACACAGAGCAAGATCCTGAGCAGGATTAAGCTTTAAATTGTTTGGTTCTCTGATAAAGTAAGAATTATGACCTTTAAAGCGTCGTTCAAGCCGTTTTCTTGGGCATAAAATGATTGAAAATTGCACTAGCTCAATCTTGAAAGAAGCGCATACTGATCCCTCCACTTCACCTCCAACGGTCAGTCAATTTTGGTTGAAAAGCTGGCTATCTCGCCATCCTAAATATCACCGAAGGCGTACAAGGGCTAAAGGCACACAGTCGGGAGATGCTTGCAGAGTAGTTTAAAACCACCCCCCTAGGTAGGGGAGTAAAAATTCCGTGTTGTGGGCAGTACATGTTGATTCCAATGCTGTAGCAGGTAGTAGGGTCTACTTGTGCACCACTACAGTTTACCAGTAATGGGAAAGTTAAGCAGTTTGGAACCATGATTAGTGATGAGTCCTTATGTAAAGAGTATTGTTATAAAACAATGCCAATAATTCTCGTTAAAGGGATACCTATTCTCTTAATATTCAAGAACTTGCTCGCTACACTTCTGAGGATATTTCTTCCTCACCCGCTATCTTTCTCGCCCCAAATTACTCTATGTTGTCTCAATGGTTGATTTAAAGCTTCAGGCTAGCTATCAGCATGCATATCGCTTTCGTGCAGTGCTTATGGCCTTGGTGTCCGCTCCTTCTCTCTTAGCTAGCTATACCAGTGACCGAGAACAACCCGCACCACCACTCCCCCATAACTAAACATGGCAAAGATAACAACCAACGTAAACTGATACAGCGCCTGTCCTGGGTGGCATTCATCCCTAATCCTTCCTAGTCCTAATAGAGGTCCGTGATGGCAGACGTATAGATACGAACCGAACCGCAGGATAAACAAGTACTACCCTGTGGTATATCACTGCCAGTCTTGCGGTTTTTAATCCTTAACGGCCGATTTGCTATCTTCTCTATAAAAAAAAAAGAAGAAGCTTCTCCTCTGTAATTGTACTACTATCTCAGTACGCCTTCCTGGCACAGAAGACCTAGGATATATATAATAACATATTAGACGCAACTAAGGATTAAGGTAACCAGATAGATCTACCTTGAATTCTTCCTGCCTTGGTAGGTAGAGTTGCTTGTATTCTTAGGCCTTGAGTCATTGACGCGTATAGTGAGGACATGCTGGATGTTTGCGCGTAGTTCGGCATTATGGGCAATGTTGATCTCCATGCTTCGGTGGCAGCGCCGATGGCTGTTCCTACAGGATATTATAGATTTCCTTAGAGAGCTTAATCCGAACCCAATCATAAATGAAGCCGGAGAATAAAGGGTACACATATGCACTATTTAATGCGTCCTGACAACCTGGATGAATGTGTTGTAACGTAGCCGGTAAGCGAGCCGGACATGTAAGCCAGCCGGATACTGCTGTATGCCATATTAAATGACACTTTTAAGGACCTTAATATCTCAACTAATATTATATCTACAGGGCTAATTTTGGGTCAGATATATTATATACATACAATACATGCTGAAATCTATAGAGATCATGCATTAATCTATAGTAAGCATAAGATAATCACGCATGATACTCTAACCTATCTCTGCCAGTTATTTAGGTAGCAAATGGGATCTCCAGGACGCCAAGATGTATATGTCAACTTAGGCAATCACCTAAAATATTGCTCAAAAGTTTCAACTTTCTATTATAGATTGATCTCGAGAGATACTGTACATTAGTCAACACAGAGGATGGTCTAGCAAGTGTGATACACTTACCCATCCCATCTGTGTACTGGATACAATGTAGTGTGGCATTTGATTAAGCTAGATCAGCATACAGCCAGATATATTAATAAGTTACTACAGTTCAAAGATATTATATCAATTTCATTGGAGGATATTTAAGGACAGTAACTCCATTTCACTTCCAAGATGCCGATGCTTCACTAGTATAGCCCCGACGCTGGCGCTGGGTCTCCAGTGATGTCACGGATCCAAATTGGCATCGAAGTACCAGGCCGGATTTGTTATGATCTCCCTACAGTAGCAGCATTAGATCCACATGTAGAAGATTGAATAAAGAGGATGGCTTACATAAGTTCTGCTGCTAGGCTGAACGAGAGCCGTAGGTATTCGCTTCAAAGTCCAGAGTAATACACGCGTCCTTCTTGAACTTATCACTCCCACCGTCCGCCCAGTAACTTTGCTTCCCATATCCACAGGCATGGTCTTCCGAAAAGGTAGCTCTCTGGCGATGTGCCCCATAGGCTAGCACTCGAAAAGATCGGGTTGTAGGGACATTGTTATCTCTGCAGGTATTGTCCCATACATTGATTTCCTTGGCATCGCCCGAGCAATCTTTACCGCTAAATGCACGGATCTTATAGGAAAGGGCCCCAGAGCTGAGACAGAAGAACGCGATAGTCTTTCCGAGATGCATGGTTGTTGGTAGATAGTAGGCTGAACAGTAAATAGTTATAGGTAGATAAAGGCGGCACAGTAAAATTATGTTGAGTTTAGTTCAAGGTTAGCTAAACTTGAAGGCCAGAAATATGCAGTATTCCTGTTTTTAAGAAGCGTGTAGCTGGCATCTTTTATACCCAAAAGCGAGACAGTGCCAAGTCTCAGGAATCTGGTCTGATCAAGTGCAACAAGCCCTAAAGTAGCCATATAACTCATCCTTGAGTTGAACGCCTGCGATTATTTTGCCTCGTTCAGACAAAGGTGTAGTCTTTGCCTGCTTGCTAAGCCCGCTTACTGGGGCGTTTACTCGTGTTCTGCTGACTGACGCCGATACTTAGGATTAGCCTTCAGTAATTATTCTAAGTTGGGATCGAGGGATCAACAGATCAGCGCACGGCTTAACCTGATCAGGTCTCATGGACCGCTAGGTTGGATGATGGCGATGGCAGGGACGACGACCTAATGCATCGATACAGCCACCCCCGGACGCTGCGGCTTGATCTCCAATATGTCAAGGATCTTGGCTAGCATCCAAACCCCTTGAGAGAAACGCCCAAAATTGCCCATGTTTGTTGTAAATATCAGTATTGTTCCCATCGGTGGGTTATATCCTGGGCCCATCAATCAACCCCATATTGATACAGCGTGTGGTTCACACAAGCAGCATTCGTTCTTCTCAGCCGCATGAGGCCTTCTGTACATAAATTGGAAGATGCGCGCTTCGGACCCTTGAAACGACGAAAAGTGTATACAGTAAAGGGCTGGAGCCCGTTTGATTGAACCTATTGGCCTTTGTTACGGAAATAATATGATCCGCTCCGACTTGGCGGTGCGGGAATATGAAGCCGTTCAACCCCTCAATCATTGAAAGAGTTGAAGCACCGTGTACGGAATACAGGAGACCTTTGGATAGGTAGTGTTGTGGAACTCAGGGGAAATGGGGCGTAGGGAGCTATTCCATCAACTACAGGCCAACTAGCCTAATTAGGAAGTAGATGTCATTCAGTGGAAACACCAGGAATCACAGTATCTCAACCAACTGTCTCTCTTGCATTCCTATCTAGGTGCTCTTCTCTAGATCTTGGGTGCTCAACTATCTAAAGGATTCAGGGGTTGAATCGATCGTCAGATACTCCGCACCGCCAAGTCGGGCGGATTATAGTGTTTCCGTAACAGGTAGAATACAGCGATTCCTGGTGTTTCCACCGAACGACATCTATTTCCTAATTAGGCTGGTTGGCGTGTAGCTGATCTATAGCTCCCTGCGCATCCTTCCCTGAATTTCACAACAGCCTTCGATGACCCACGACACATGGCTCTCCTTTTTTATTTGTTTACCTGTCCCTTTTTCTCTTCCTTCCCCGCTCAACCATTTTTTTTGTGTATAGCTTATCCTACAGGTTTTACGGGTTCAGCTCCTGACAAAAGGATAGGTGTTATGCGTGGGGTTGGTAGTGAACTGAATGGTGCGCTACGTACTAATGGTATGCATATATAGGAGGGAAGATAGGGGCCACGTATATTGCACAGCTAATCGCTGCACCAGACTAAGCATCTGTCAGATGGCTAGTCCCGAAGAGGAAATAGAGTGATCACTTGGTCTTGAGAGTATGTCGTGAGCGACGGACAACGGTGTGACTGGCTGCAAAGTCGCTATCAATCGAGCCTTCGGCCCGTCAAGCATAACAAAGCCATATGCATCGCTGCTGTCCTCTTCTGTGGAGCGTTCGTCGTCTTGGTCGTTGTTTTGATAGTCGTCACTGTACTTCCAAACAACATCTGACGTCTTAGAGTCATTATAGTACTTCTGCCACAAGTACTTCGGATCAACGGGCCAGTTCTTTTTGTATTTAGTAGATGGGTCACAGCAGAACGACCACTATGAGTTAAGACTTACCGAACACAGCTTCACACTGTGATCGGGTTCGTTGGGGAGGGTGGAGTAGCGGAGCAAGGCGCCGGCCACCTTGACCGTTCCAGCCGGGCAAGTGTGAGGGATATAGTATGTCTCCCATCGTTTTGCTAGGATCGTGATCTGATGGACCAGGGTGGTTGGGACAACACAGCTCGCTTTTGTAGCGGTCATGTATGGGAGAATCAAATATGTCGGAACACCATGGCTTGCTGTCGGGCTTGTCAAAACGAAATGTTAGAGGATCCATGTGAGCCGGGCATTTAGCTGGAAAGTCAGGATTTAATGGCCCATCACAGTCATTCCACTCGCAGTTAGTAAACATGGGAGTGGAATCGCAGCAAAGATAGCGTGCCCCAGTAAAACACTGACCTTCTCCCTTGGCATCGAGCGCTGTATCATGGCTCAGCTTGAAATGGCTACTACCTGTAACCTGATTGTTATAGTTACAATATAATCATCTTGTTTTCCCTACTTCGATAACATAGCCGACCAAGGTTGAAATAATGGAACAGAATTTTGATCTAAACTAGGAGAAAAACATTTCAACATGCGGTATTTATATTGAAGGATTCAGAGCATATTCAACTTGCGACATACATATACGAATGAGGTGTTAAATACTGTCAATATAAATTACCTCTATCGGAAAGATCACACATTCCTGTATACTAAGTTCGCTCATCCAATTCAATGGCTTAGTTCACTCTATTCAATGCCAATTCCTCCGACCTACTGTAGATTCACAACAGGTAACAAACGTAGAACAGAAAGATGGCTAACTTCAAAGTTCCGTATTGCTACTCTTTACCGCATGTAGTATCTTGCGGTAAACAGCTAAACACGGCTGCGAACTGTAGGGGTTATAAAGTCTACTTTGTTAAATTAAGCAAGACATAGGGCTATTTTCATGAACTATTTAGTCACTTCAAAAAGTTTATTTTATATGATTTTTTTTTTTTACATTTTTGTTGCGTTCTGTCATACGATCTCATTTTGCCCTACTGCTCGACTGGTCGGTGTTCAACCTACGATCTCAAAGGCTTCAACCATACATCCAACTGAGAAGCGACACTAATATCAATGAGATTGTCTGCTTTAGTTTTCCCCTTGAGCTAAACGTGCGACAGTGGTCCTGTTGACCGTTGTTCCTATTATCCCTATTAGCCCTCGAAGACACATACAGTATCATGTGATTATATCCCTATTTATTTACCGGTTTTTTCCTTCATCCCATTTTTAATAGTTCCTTTTCGTACGTAGCCTATTTTATAGGTTCTACGGGTTCAGCCCCTGACACTAAATATATAATCAAGCATGTTATTCTGCATTCTGCTGGCAAAATCTCAGTCACCTCAGTTACCAACACTCCTCCATGCCGATTCAATATTTTACTTGGATAAAGTGGTCCCCCAGGCATTCTAAAAAAAGCGGAAGAAATCCCTCTTTGTAATAAAGATTAGGCCCTGCGCGGCAAATAAATACTTGTCTAGTTTATTGCTATATGCCTTGGCCAACAGTCCAAAAATACTAATATCAAGCAGCTGTAGAGAATACGTTAAATAAGGAGGATATATTACTACAAGGATTTTATTAGCTGTATAAAAATTAAAAAACCTCCTTGTGACACGAGATCCGTGGCTATCAAGCAGGAGAAGCCTCCAAGATCTCCCTGCTTTGACCTTGGTTTTAGGATTAAAAATATCTCGAAGCCATGTAAAACCCACGTTGTTATTAGTCTAACTAGTTAGTGAAGAGGTAAAAAAACAATCCTGCTTGCAAGGATTATAATCTTGAAGCTATAAGTCCTGTAAATCTCCCGAAACAGCTTAATATATCAGAACTGGAGGCAGCAAGGTCTGATTAGCGTAAATACAGGCGATCACAGTAATCCAGTCCCTGTTCCCATCCTGGATACGTTGTACGGAGCGATCTCTTTTATATTTTGGTTTGAAAAGATTCTCTTGCTTTTAGAAATAATTCTAATAAAAAATCCTTTCTTATCTATATTATACATATTTCCTAGTTGGATCTTGTATTCCTCCATCTTTCTGGCCAATTTTTGGAAGTACAGCGTGTATTTCCATGCTGAATCTATTATCTTGCAGTCGCGGTCGATACCGGTTGTATAGCGACAGGTAAGCTCTTTTTTATAAGCACGAATAAAGCGGCCAGGCCACTGGTATCCAGGCCTTGTTCCACAGATCTCCTAGGTAAAATTGCGAAGCATCTTATGCGTAAGATAAAGGCCACGTTTTAACAGTTTATTAATATATTTTATAAGCTCTTTGGCCTGCTTGTTGGAGAGCAGTTACTGGCTTTCATATTAGTCCGCTTTTGTGCCTTGAATCCCTTGGTGTCTTCTTGCGAGAGTTATACGGTCAACACCAAACTCTTTGGCAATATTGCGGTAAGAGAACAATTCTCCAGGCTTCCTAGATTTGATCTCTGCTATCTCTGCCTCGATAGAATCCATATTGGTGGTGTTGTGGTGGTTTAAAGACGTTGAGTAAATGTCGGTGTAGATGTAGGTGGATCGTCAGGCGGTGTGGATCGTCAGGCGGTAAAGTACGTTAAGGCATGTTCCATGTTAAATGTATCTGAATATGCAAAGTTACCATACACATTCTATGTACCACCTGGTATCGTGTAACCAGTGGTTATACTATGGTTACGTTGGTGTTTCAGAAATATAGCTCTTGAAGACATCAACGATTGAGGGCTACATTAACAGAACTCAAATTAGGCTGAAATGTCAGTTGAATTTATAGGATAATGTAGCCCCGGAGTTTTTCTTGTTCGTTGACCTCTTCGGTCTTTTGAGCGGAGGTTTTTAACCCCTATTGTTGGAAACGATCGCTTATCCTATTGAAAGTGTGGCCGGGTGGATGCTATATGTTGAAGGAATCTAAAAATATGTCAAAAATCCGCAGACGGTTAATTAGCTCTCGTTGAGGTCTCAAGTTAACATCTGTGAGCTCAAAAACCGGATCCGGAATTAACGTCTTCCGGTTGGGCCCTGGTGGCCTGGACCTCTGCCAAGCACATTTTAGAGCCGACGAGCACATGTCAAGGAGAATTTTTAGACCCTGCTGAAGTTCTTCCTGCAATTTTAGACCCCAAAGTGTATATGCCAAGTGTGCCCCATCTCTAGCCCAAGGTGCCGTACATACCCAAGTCTAGTTCTATTACAACAGAATTCAGCACGGGTGCCCAGGGGCCTAACCATAAACTGGGACTACAATGCCAGGCTTGGATACAATTTTTCGTGTCTATATTCGATAAGATAGTGAAGTCATAATGTCCGGAGAAGGGAACACATCAGCTATTTTCTGACTGTCCTGTGTGCACCCTTCTGTCCATCCCTCTCACTGGATTGGCGCAAACGGCGTGTTGCTGACCACTTTAAGTGGGGGACTCATGTTCGCAAACAAATAATCTGTGGCTTTTATCAATGGATCCTGATAATTCCCATATGACATATGGAACACGAACTCATACATATACCTTAGCTCGATCGACTTTCAAAGGCTGACAAAGGTTACATCGGCATACTATTAGTAGTATTCACAGATTCAGCTCTCGTATTTTATCTATATGGATGCTTGGCACTCAGCAATACGAGCCTCGACCTGGCCATACTTTGATTTATTCAAGCCCTATTGGGTGGACCTGTTCCCGAAGTCAAAGTTGATGTAGTGATCATTTATGGAACTTGTGAGAATAAAGCTACTCCACATTGGGACATCATGTGAAGTGATATAGCGACGTGGCTATATAAGCCATGCCTCCAGAAGAAGAGGGGTAATGACAACACACATCACAACGAATTCAGAGATTATTCAAGCTCTCTTATAAATCCACATATTTCTAACGGAATTCTATATACCTGCAAGGGAGGGGTGTGACATAAATACTCTCTGCTGTACCACCGCAATCTTCAGAGTCTCTACAAAGTCAAGAAGAATAGAACCATTCAACTAATCTACCATGAAATTGTTTACAATCATTACCCTCTTGGCCTCAGCCAGTGCAACGATCGTGTATCCCTACACCAGTGCCTCTTGCGGAGGATCGACAGTCGGTAGAATCACCTCATGCGGCTGTACCAACATGGGTGCCAACTACAAAATCAAAGGCGCAAAGCTTAACTTTCAGAAAGCGACGGCTTCCTTCTACAAAGGCAAGAACTGTGAAGGCGTGTTTATCTCCAAAGCTTCCGACCAATCCTGTGTCAAGCTTCCTGTGGGTTGGAGTTCCTTCGGATCGGTCAAGATTCATGGAGGTACTTGCTAAACGGACTTTTCCGCGAGATCATTCAACTCAGCAGTACCTAGCAAAGTGGGGTTTGCTTGCTATGTGTTCTCTCAGCTTTTGGCTGGCTTTATGTTCTATATTCATGCTACTGTGGGAGGAAATATAATTTCATTACTATCTGAGAGACTAAAATCAATGAACTATCCAAACCGTGCAGTGACAGGCAATCTGTACCTGGAATCTTGAATCATGGAAACCAAAAGTTTGGACATTTTTAAAGGATATTATTGCCTGTAGACATAAAATGTAGACCAAAACGCATATCTGTAATCGTCCTTTGAGTGACACTTCTACAAATCTGACACTGAATCAGGCATACATCAAGCAATAGCGACGTTGGATATTTGCATGCGGAGAGATGACTTCTGTATGGGACAGTCACGATTTTTAGCTATCTCCCATTCACCAATTCCGTACTGGTTCGGTGCAAGTTTTATTATACCACTGCCCCAGGCAAGTAGAACCCCAGGTCGATTTTCTGGATTGAGCCTCATATGATTAATGGCCGAGATATGGATATTCGCATCACTGGGAATATCACGCACTTCACTGCAAGGCAAGGCTAGCGAATGGGCATATACTCCATCATTTTCCAAGAAAGGACCGAGATTTATGGAAGCTCGTTATGGAATTGAAGATAACCATGAATTATTCCGGCTGTACTGTTCTGAGGCAATCGCTATTGGGTCGCTCTTGTGGTTCTCCTAATAAACCCTGTTCTGATCTCAGCTCTGGGCGGTACTTTGGATCATGGAAACAATTAAAGTCCTTCCTATTCTTAATGCTGAACCGAACTCCAGCCCGCTGGACTTCTTTTAACCTCCATACCAGTGTGGCATGACTCAGAGCATATAGACTTTGCCACCCTACAATTTACAACCACCGCCTTTATCGGTGTGGCAGCCCAGAAACAACACCTCCTCAATATCCTGTACTGTATGTTCCTCGTCTTCCTCCGTCGCAGTTTGCAACCATTTCTGCATTCTGAGAGACATCAGTCCAGCTCGCTTCTTTGTACTGCTCTTTCTCATGGTGGCTGGTAATGATCAGGATGGTATGGAGATGGACGTGATGTCGTGAGAGGGATCCCGCAGCCGCGCTCCTCGTGTGGTCGAGGTAGTATTATTTCTCCGATCAGGTCTTACCAGAATTTGCCCGACGCTCGTCAATACTGACGGCAAGACGAATTACCTCAAGAAGACAGCAGTCTCACCTTTCTCAGCATCGAATATCTTGCGATCAATTAGCGTCCCTGCTAGAAGGCAAAGTTTTTATTCCAGACACATCTCCATACAAGCAATCACTCTTGACGGTATCAAATAAACCTAAGACACGTATCTGAGACACAGGCCGGCTAGACGGGCTCCCTGAGATAGGGCGACGAATATATCGCCATAGCTGAGGTCGAAAGTAAATATGGCAAACTTCAAGTGTCAGGTCGACGTGTTGATCCTTATTGGGGCGGCAAGGGCGAGAGCTGTATTGCACAGAGCAAGGTGTTCCACCTTGATCACTTTGAGAGCGCCAATGCTACCAGACGTAAAGATAATATACGCCGTATTGCACGGGACGACGGCGATGGGTACGCCATGGGTGCTGCGGAAGTTTTGCTACTAAGTGAGAATCAAGAGTAACGATGTGCTTCACGATTCCCTCGAACAAATGGCAATGCGTAGGCTCAGCCACGACTATTGATGCATGAGTGGTTTGGAGAATCTCCAGGATTCGGCTGGTTGGATACGAAAAGTCAATAGCGACGAAGGCGCCACCTGCCTTCATGCTGCCTAGCGTGGAGATAATTGCGACGGCCGATTTGTCGAAGCACATTAGTACAAGTGTCTCCGGCCTCACCTCTGGAGACAGGCATCATGTTTGGTTAAGATTCAGGTGAGGATATCGCACTATTTGATTGTGTGAGTACTTCTCTAAGTAGTAAAATGGAGAACCTGGGATGTAGGCTTATATTTTTCCTGTCGTTTGCTTTTCTTGCCGTTGGATTTGTAGGGTAGAATTGAAAAGCGGCTAGTTTCCTAGCCCAAGAAATCTCTGTAATAGAGTAGTTGCGATTCTTCAAAGTGTCGTCAGACCATGTTTGCATATCAATGATTGTTTGAACCAGTGTAATATCGGGAGTGATATGTGTGGCAGATGAGGATACTCTCAGATTGTCCGGGTGGCAAAAACAATTCAATGTTTGTGAAATATCCGAACGTTACATCCTCCACCCCAGATGATCACGATGGCCCATGCTGTTTGGATAAGATTGCAAGGGGAGACGCCGTGTCGGGAGCAGAATTCCTGGATGGCCCGGTGTTTCACGTTGAGGTCGACCGTGGTTTCTTCAAAGCCTTTGCGTACATCAGGACGACAGCGGAAGAGACACGGCTCGAAGTCCTCTAAGAAGAATTTCTTGTGCTTGACAGCACGCTTGGCACAGGGAGGGCGAGGATTATCGACCGCCACCATAATACTTATTTTTCATGGGACGCCTACACTCTCGACAAGCGGAAGTACCAAGAGTATCGGAACAAGGGATTACGCACTAGGTAATAGGAAAACCGGTATCAACCCACTACTGCCTCGATATGCACCTATTTCTAGCGGCGTATCAAAGTGTTTTGGCGTTTTGCCTAGGATTCGCACTAAGAGATTAGTACAGCCTAAAGGAACCCTGTACAAACCACCCTATATTGAGACTAATATGCCCCATACTAATCGACCCGTCTCCCTGAGAGCCGCGACCGAACTGTTCAAAATTGCTCCTCCACAGGCTGAGAACAGTCCGTGTAACGGAAGCATCTCTCCACTTTGTTCATCCGTCCTGGTGTCAGCTAGGAGTACTAGATGGCACGGCCTGAAGACCTCGAAGAAAGATTGCACATATGGCCGATATCTCAGCTGGTAAGCCCTTTTTGACCCTACATTCCAATCCTTTCTGAACGAGAGCATGAACATAAAACAGAATGAACAGAGAATCCTATGTTACAATGCATGTTATTCCTGCTGTGGCTATAAACTGTAATGGATGGACACCTCTTAGATACGCTGGGACCACCTCAATCTGAGTTGAGTACATAATAACCAGAATTCCGTTTTTGTAAAACGGGAGTGCGAAACTCAAAAGGACTTTACACTGCTTTTGTATGCTATATCCACCTTCACGTTTAATATTGTGCACGTCTAGATACAGACCTTTCTATAATAAGTTTGCACTAGTTTTATATAAGTAAGACATCTGTAGAATTGCCCTGACCCAGGTATCTCATCACTGTGCCATAGTAGCCGCGTCAGACAGCACCGACGATATTGCGGCCGTAGCACAGTGCTTCAGATCCTCATTTAGAACAACCACAGACTCAAGGCCTAAACTTCCTTTCACCAGCCTCGGCAGACCACCATCAATAACCTCCATTGTGAAGCTCTCAATGTTGTCCATGTTCTGGGTCTGTGTCCGGCGAACTTCAGTAACACTTGATAAAGGGAACAGTTATAATGGTAATATTTTTTGTCTCTTTGGCCAAAAAGATAACTAGAAATGGAGCCATCAGGCTACAGACTCTACCAATAGTCCAAAGAACACAGAGAGTGCTTGGTGGTGTTTTCAGTGTACTCTAAAGATCAAATAGCAAGCAGACTGTCAACATCATACAACATCAAGCTGGCCCTAGTTTCATAAATACTCTAAAATGGGCTTTGTCTTTATGCAGAATGATCAGCGCTTTATTATTTACATCCTTCTCTACTAAATTCGTTACGTTGAATTTCAATTCACCTACTTATTAGAAACGGACGCTTCCAATCTCTGAGACAAACAAGTTTCAAATAGAAAGAATAGGAGCAACGAAAATCTAGAACATGTGCTTACATATAATGTGATACCGGCTCCTTGCTCCGTGTGTAGTACTTCGTAGTTGCATTTGGGAGGGTGAAAGTGGGGTGAGAAAGGCAGTAGAAGCAATATTGATGTTGGAGATGTCTGTTAATTGGGTAATATTGGAGCGTCTTCTGCGTCCATAGTTCCTATGTTGATAGGGTAAATAACTAATAGTCCTATTTTAGTCACTTCCTTCCGAGCAACCGTCCTTCTTTCTCCCTTTCACCTGTGCTCGTTTTGGACATGAAGAATGACTAAAAGAACTTTTGATTAGCACCTGTCAGTAGGACCTGTTAGTAGGACCCCTAGCCGCACTAATCCTCCTAGCTTTGGAATTCTCTTTAATAGCCTGGAACAGTGACGATGCATTTGGGGCATGAGGAATGAAGATATATGGTACTACTATGGACATACGTACTTGGGGAGCCACTAAATGTGCCATGTTGAAGAGCTCAGTCACTTAAAAATGAAAAATATCTTCTTATAAATACTTCAGCCATATATCTCACTGATGGTTGAATTCTCAAAGATCCGGCTTTGGTTCCCATGCAATGCTATTTCTACCATTGCCTTCGCTAGGACGTCTACTTTCACAGAGGGTGCCAAACCCCGAATAAAGTCTCCTATGGTTCGCTGTTTGGTGAGTACCATTCCCGGTCGCATAATGTAAGACTCGAAGGCCCTTTGACTCTTCTCGGCGTGTTTAAGGAGAGCATTTTCCGCCTCGCCCTATACAGGATACAAAATCAGTCAATCTGTCAACTTGCCCATCCGGTTTCACCGTCATGGAGCCAGGAAAGATCCAGCATACTCGGATTCGTCGATAGTCCTGATTAAACCAAAGAGGTTTTAGCGGGTCTCGCTCCACTAACCCGCCACTAAGATAGATAAAGCGAAATATACTGTCATCCTTATTGTTCTGGAGCTGGCTAATAACTTTTATAGCGGCCATAGTATAGTCGATGCTGACTTTGCGCACGGCGTCATTGTCAGGCATCCGTGCTTTCCCTAGCGACCTATGCATATGTGGGTTGTACATAAATATCTTTCATCGTGGACACTGTAATGTAGAGAAGAATTCCATCACAACATACCATATGCATGCCTGTGCACCTTGAAGCTGGTTTATTACAGAGTCCTGATAGTTCAGAAAGTCGTTCATGATCACCACTTCTATTTTGGTGTGATTCGCAATGGCAGGTGGAAGATCACGGCGAGAGAGCACAACTATTGATCTGATAGATTCACTCGCCAGGCACTGGGAGAGAACTTCACCCCCAATAAAACCCGTAGACCCGGTTAAGATAATTTTCATCCTTGAATCTGTCATCCGGAAGCGAATCGACTATGATTAAGAGGGAGAGATGGAAACACACTTTACTCCTCTCTCCACGTTCCGTTAAGGACTTCTGACAAGGCGGATCGGATGAAGTTGCAGACTCTGAACCAGTCACGTAATGACATGGAAATATATGGACCCGAGCGCCTAGAGCCTGAGCATCCTGCGGGGTAACTGCGGACCTGCCCCTATCCCTAGAAGGGAAAGAGCGTTTATCAGATGATATTTGAGGCAATATGGATACAATCAAATACGGTCATTAGTAGGCTACCTACATGTAACTGGTATAGAGTTCTTCTGCCCCATTTTCTTTCAATTATAGTAATCGTGTCGAGATCGCTTCTCCTAATAATGGTCCGCATCATCAAGAAATTATCTGTCTGTAATCTGTCTGGCAATTGGGTGCAGGGTTGAGGCTGGCCCTCACGCGCAGTATGTCTTGATAGACCGCTCTCATGCAGCAAGAATTTTTTGTACGAAAGGTGATATATACTTACTTTAGACTGGCGGCAAGACTTATATTCTATAATCCTATAGTCTGAGATTCGCATAAATTCACTGCAAAAGGCCGCATTACGCAATGCACTTTTTATCTATCCTGCCCTTGTTCTCCGGCTAAGAAAGCAATACCAAGAGACATTTCCACAAATTCGCCGACGCAAACCGCTGCCATCCAGTGTCTCACAGCCCTCGATGACCCATATGACGAGACTTTTCACCTTATTTGTTCACCTGTCCTTTTCCTCTTTCTTTCTTTCCTTCTTCAATGATTCCTTTTGGTATATAGCCTGTCGTATAGGTCCTACGGGTTCCGCCCCTGACATGGTCCCTACAAACTAATTGACTTCATTCAGATTCCAAAAATCAGTTTGTAGTTAGAAGCTCGGTAAGGTAGAATAATATACAAGCTACTCAGGTTTTCAACTAGGTAGGATAACTAGATATTCTTTATTCCCATGCGCTTCGGCAGTAGTGACCGATACTCTTCTATTTTTGCTCGGGTGGGACCTTGTTGAAAAGTCCAGAAACCGCGTTACCTACAGGCAGCGGGTAATAATGGCAGGACTAAATTCCCCCACCAATGATGACTTGCATCAGATCCTGGTAAGTCTGGTCCATTGCCAGGACCCGTTAGTCATGCTACTATGAGATCGCTAACACATGTGTTCGTCGCTGTAGATAATTGGGTAGGGACCGACCTGCAATCTGTTGGCTATATATAGGCTTCCCCAGCCCCGTCCGAGTCAGGTCCGAGTCGGGTCCTACAAGGAATAATCGCCGTGCTTGTATAGTTAGCTTGATAGTGGACGTTTACGTTATTTGAATTTTGGCTGGAAATCCACTGATAGAAGAGGCCAAGTCTCAACATTTCACATCTACTATGCATAGCCCATGCACTAACAATAAACACAACGATAACGATAATACATATATCTACTACCAAGGAATAGTCTTCATCTCACCGTGTACAATTCCCAACTGACTATCACTCTATCCTTTCCCTCCTCGTCTAAAATTAGTCTAACAACAGCTTGCGCATCATCTTTCGGATTAATCCCCGCCAGGCTATAGTAAATCCCGTCTTGAGTAGACCTGGTGTGAAGGAATAGAATCTGCTCATCATTGGTGACATCCAGTCGAATACTATCAATCGTTTCTTGGACGCCTTCCATCTGCAGCTCCTGCTTAGCCTTGTTTCCAGCCTCAAAGTCACGACTGCAGAATATGTAGACTGCGGGAGGCTCTCGCACACTGGCGACCCGGAGGATGGCATATTCCACTCCTTGATTTGCGCCTGTAAGCAAGACAACGTCAGACATGACTGTTTATTAATCGGTGGATATAACGGAGGGAAAGGAGGTAAAGATGAACCAGAGCTGGGGAATACTCTCCCTTACTTACCTTTCTTTGTGGATGTGCATACATACATATGTACTATACGTGCTGCCTAGTCAAGACCATCCAACTGACTCGCATTGCCACGTCAGCACACCCTGCGACTCGATACATTTAGAATAGCCTGTGAGATGACTGAAATAGGAGTCGGATTTCTGACAGACTTTGGAATAAACGTCACTCCTCTCCTATAGTGATTTTTTCCCTGTCATCCATATCACCTCAGCTGCAAGCTTTCTAGAAATTTGTGTTCACATGTTCTACTTATTCTATCTCTAGAGTACTTACTAATGATGATTATACTACTATAGACTTTCTGAATCTATGAGAAAAGTAAGAGCATTTTTGTGTAAACTAATAAATCTACGAACAATACTATTAGGCGTGACCTTTCCAGGATTAAACATTGAGCCAGCGGACTCGCGCTTCGCGCGGGTACGAATCGAAGTGAAGTCTATGTTCATTATTGCAGCTTTCTAAGTCACTGAGCATCTTAGCAAGCCATCTAAACAAATTATCGAACGTTCAGAATATACAGAGCATGATAAGTTGATATTTTTCGACTCGATAGGATGACCAGCTATCACTAATTTGTATACCTTTCTAGAGAATACCCTTCTCGTTATTGATGGAGTGAAATTCTAGTTGCTAACGATCACACTCTCAATAGTGGGACAAATGGAGAAATAGAGAGCGGACGGAGGAATTAAGAGACTGACGAAAGATGCCTGTCACAAACTTGAGGGACTGAGTAGCTTCCTGAACATTACGGATGCCTCATTTGAGTACGGAGCATTTGCACAAGTACTGCTCTCTGAAAGCACTACAAGCTGGTGCTCTGATCGCCCACTGATCTGGATGATGAGTTTTCAGCCCCCAGCTGCTCCATTACGGTTCGCAGCAGTCCCTCTACTGTGTGCGCGTCTGAGATCTCAACCGGACTCGAGACCCAGGGTGCATCACACCCAGTTCTTCACCTCGATTGACATTAACGAATATATTTCAACCAGAGATAGCTGCTTCTCTCCGATCGACTCCGCCTGTGGTAAATGGTTAGTCATGAGCCGCGCCATTTTTTTTTGGATGGCGAAAGTGGTCTCTTCATATTTGAGGATCGACGGGTGCTTCCACTTTGGCGAGCAAATGGCGTAGTTGGCTGTTTAGGACCTCAGTCTCTCAGTGGATAAACGATTCCAGACGGGGGTGAGAACCGAATGTCCTGATCCCACGGTGTTAGCAATATGGGGTCGGATAGAAACTTGGCCACACCGAGCCGAATAATGATAGGTGCTAAGCATGGGAATTAGAGATACAAAACGAGTTGTACGATTGTAATGACTGGGTCATGGCAAAATTGATGCCTTGTACTGCCTCTGCCTCCTTCAAGGTACACACCTCCGCCGTGCTCATGGTCTGGAGAAGCTGAGGCTGCGGCTTACCTAGCCTATCTCGTCGACAGCACCTAGGGCCATCACAGTGCAGGGAAGGCCCCTTTGCTGTCCATACTGAGAAAACTGTACAAGAACATATGGGCAGTGGCACAGTCTGTATGGCCAGGGTTGCCCACAAATGCCAGCTATGGAGCCGAAAACGACAAAAAGTCTAGTTCGTGTTACTTTGTGGCGTGATGAAGATTCCATGTGCCTTTCTCTTTCGGTACCAACGATGATGTCCATTCATCATACACCATTTGATAGAATTGCTTGTCTTGCGTGTCAGCTACCCTCCGTCAAAAGTGGCCAAGAACGGTTAGAATGTTCTCTACCATGAAGACTGCGGAGAGGTGCAAAACTCGCAGAAGCATCGTGTGGCAAGTAACTGCATCCGGGACATTCAAGAGATTGTCTACACCCCCCGTAACATATGATATAGTACATCCCAATGTTGCGAGTTCCCGTCAAAATGAGCTAATGTCGACAGTCTCTCCGGAACAAGAGAGATGCACCGAGTGACGTGCTCCCTTCTAGGCCATCCAAATGGAAACCGCCAGCCCTATATCCCCAAGGCCACCCGGCAGCAAGTATAACACATCTGAGCTGAACGTTATGGATGCGTTGGGGACTACACTGGGAAGAGCCTCTGGGTTATCAGCCAGGTTGTCGGGGATTTGGATCAAAATCTCCCCTATATGCGTTCCCATCTGCATATATCGTAAGGCATCCAGGTCCTCTCTCGACTTCAACGTTTTAACTGGACGAATAGATCTGATATTCCGTTCAACATATAGTTCAGAAAATTGCACGTGTAACCTAGAATCGAGTCTCTGTTAAGCATGGAATAAGTTAATCTTTATGCACATTAATAGCTGGGTGTTAGTGAATGTTGCACACAACTAAGTATAAAGGAGGTCGAAATGCAGGAACTCCAGGCAGAGAATAACCTAACAGAGACCTGGAGCCGTGGCCGGTCTGTTCTGGAGTCGCGATATTATGATAAGGAAGATAAAATTGAGGATACTAGCCCTACTCCTGTTGCTCCGCTTCTTTTATTAGCTGGTGGCAAGATATTGTAGTGGAGGAACTAGGGGGATTAGTACATGACAGTTGTATGGATAACTATTATTTTAAGTCCTTGTTTAATAAGGAAATAAACAATTAACAACCTTCTTGCAGCTCTAAGAGCGCAGTTGTGTAAAGGGAATAGACTGCGGCAAAACCGCGGTTTTGGGTATCATAGTCAAAACAAACCACAACCGCAAATTTGCGGTTTTGGATATCACTTTGAAAACCACAACCACAACCGCAGATTTGCGGTTTACCAGGTTACCATGATAACGCAAGAAAACGCACTAGCATAACTCTCGCTTCTTTAACCAATCTGGATATAGGTGACACTTATGCAGCTTACATACTCTTGTTTTTAATTTAACAATACACCTGTTCTGGTTAATACATGAGCCCGGTTAGTGTCACGATCCTCCGAATCGGAACATTCGACGGAGAAAACCGCTGCGCCAGGAGCAAAAGACTAGGATTCAAGGACAGCGTCCTTGAACTGTTCTCGCTTTATATAGTCAGGTTGTACAGCGCCGTCACAATGGTCTCCCACTTCCGGATATGCTAATTAAGGATTTGAGGAGAAGACGCAGGCGCAGTCAGGGAGGGTTCGGAAGAGGCCCAAGCTACCTGAGGGATTTGAGATTGATAAGCTGTAATATTAGAGACTTAGGAAAGAAATCGAATTTGGTCTAAAAGTGTATTTTAAAAGTTTTAAATTAAAAAACATAGGTAATCTATTACATACTAGATACTCCAAAAATACTGCGAAAAGTGCACAATTTATGTATCCACAGGAAAGTCACAAGTTTTAGAATGTTTGTAATGTTTACATATCCATGGATAACCGCAAATTTGCGGTTGTGGTTTTGGTTATCCGCGGTTGTCCATGGTTTTGCCGCAGTCTAAAAGGGAATGTTGTCTTCTCTCCTACTAGAATCTCCTTCTTATTCAACATTTGTCGGTCAGCTGAATACGCGTATGAGCTAGTATCACCGATTATATAAGAATATGGATATGCATTGAAGAATTGAGGTCTCTAAGGTCTCTAACTATCTGAATCTATCTGGGAGAGCTGGATGAAAAAGGGTGAAAACAAAGGAATAAAGTCGGACCGAGCGGATGCTGAATAATGGGTAATAACGGCCCACTTTGGTCGACACACCCCCCCAGTATCTGCGAGGTCAGATGTTGAATAGCTGAATGATAATGATTGATTACTGCAGTTGAATGATGAATGTTGCCGTTTAGGCCAGAATGCGGTCTTAATGTTGACCAAACCAAGCATCTTGATGAACTCTTGGTGTTTCTGGTCAGGGAGAGCTTGGTCAGTCCATCTGCGGGCATTTCCGCGGTGGGAACCCATTGGACATGGATGTTTCCATTTTGAACTTCCTGGCGAAGCCAGTGGCCATGAAATCCACATGTCTGAGCTTTGTGCGGAACATGGGGTCTTCCTTGGTGAGTAAACCGATTGTTTGGCGATTTCACATTGGATTGAGATGCAGTGTTCTGGGTCAAAGTAATTGCATTAATAGACGTTTCCACCAGAATATACTCTTCGCAGCTTCTGAATTGCAAGAAGTTCGGCTTAGTGGTTAAGTGGTAACTGTGCGTTGTTTTAAGCTTCAATCTATTGTCCTCCATAGAGCTTGCAAAGGAGTCCCTCTGTGCTTTTCGGTCTAGGTTGTCTGCAAATGAAGCGTCGCTTGCACATAGAAAAATTGGTTCTGATTGGTCAAACCAGAAAATTCAATAGCGTAGAAGCGGGTAAAATAGAGATATGCAATACTCGGTCTAGAGCTTCCAAATTGCTTGCGAGGGATTTGAATAAATCTGCTAGCTTATTAACTGTGCGTGCGGCATCGGCCGTGAAATAACTGTTGTATAAAGAGAGGAGCCGATCTTTTGCTGTAGTGATAATTAGCTGGTAAGCATTTCTGGTTAGGAACTAGGTTGTGGGATCCCCAGGTGTTTTGGGATAGGTGGTCAGATCATTCAGATGGTATCTTGTAGCCATGTGCTCGATGTAGGCGTCTTGGCATAGCCACAGCTTTCGGTTAGTTCTATCCCGAATAACTCGAATTCCGAGGAACCAGCTAAGTTCTCCCATATTGCGGAGTTCATATTAAGCTTCCAGAGCTTGTTTGAGCTTTTGAGCATTCTCCCGGGCTTCCTGATTGGGCATATTTGCAATGATAATGTCGTCCACGTATACTATAAGAAGAATATGGTTATTTGTGAAGAGGCATTGGTCTTCGTTGACTGGTTCAAGCCCAAATTCTTGAAGGGTTGCAGATAGATCTTTCTGCCATAATCTAGGTGATCTGCGAAGACCATAGAGAGCTCGAAGAAGCTTCCATGCTTTTCCTTTGATCCCATATCCCTGTGGCATTGCCACATAGATGTCTTCATCCATTAGGGCGTTT